ACAGAAGAACGTCAGATGGGGGGGCGGAGTGCCAGCCGAAGGGGCAAAAGCCACAGCTCCTCCGGGAGGCATGGGCTGCCCTGATTTTCTATGCCTCCTGTTCGTTTCGCGTAAGCCCTAAACCGGCGGACTTGCGCCGGTGCGATGACGACTCGTCATCGATATCCGCGCCTGACAGATGCAGAAGGGCCCAAGCAGATCCCGAAAGCTGTATTCATCGTAAGTAGATAGAGTAGCTGCACAACACACCAGCACACCCATTCCCATACGTGTGTTTGTGTGTGTATGTGGTGGCTGCAGGAGGACGTTGAGGATTACATCGGGCCTGCCAACCCACTAGAGGTGCACCGGAACCTTAATGAACTGCTGCAGTAAGTCAGAAGGCACACAACACGTGCAGGAAGATGACCGCCAGACAGACACACGCCGCCCTCGCATGTGTGTGCGCGTGGCAATGTTTGTGTGTCGCGGCTGTGCGCAGGAAGTATCGATTCATGGAGGAGGAGTTCGGCAAGAAGCAGCGGGCGCTGCAGGAGAAGCTGCCCGAGATCAAGGAGGCCATCACAGTCATCAAATTCCTCAAAGACAGAAGAGTCAGTCAGTATGTCTGAGGTCGACACAGGAATGAACGTCGTGCATGGTCGGTGCTTTTGGTTGTGTGTGTATGTGTGCGTGTGCGTGTGTTGTGCAGGGTCATGATGAGCCGCTGGAGACCCACTATCAGCTGGCCGACTGCATCTACGCGGAGGCCAGTGTGCCGCCCACTGAAACGGTCTGCCTCTGGCTCGGGGTAAGCAGCGGAGGGAGGGAGTCAGTCAGTCAACACCACGCCACACCGCCACCCCGCCCGCCCCTGCTGTCTTTATTCCTTCCTTTCTCTCTCTCTGTCGATGTGGATGCGGTGCGCCGGTTGACTCGACCCATTCTGGATTGATCAACAAAGGCGAATGTGATGTTGGAGTACCCCTTGGACGATGCTTTGGCTCTGCTCGAACAGAATCTCAACACCGCCGCGGCCAGCCTCAAAGACCTGGTGCGTGTGCATCCAAGTCACTCATCTGTTGACCGACCGACTGATCCACCCACGCGCACACTGTGTGTGTCAGGGTGATGATTTGGATTTTCTGCGTGACCAGCGGACGACGACTGAGGTGAATGTGGCCCGTGTGCACAACCATATGGTGCACATCAAGGCCAAAGTCCTCGCCCAGGCGCAGACACAGGCGCAGAGCACCAGAGCAGAAGCCACAGGTACGTGTGCGCGACACCCGGGCTGTGGTGTGTGTATGTGTGTGTGTGTATGTGTGTGTGTGTGTGTGTGTGTCTGTGTGCAGACGGAGCCAACAACTAGAGGAGCCGATTAGTGGAGTCTGAAAGAGTTTCATGCTCTGTGAGTGTGTGGTCGTGATACCGTCGGTGATCACGCATGGTGCTGTGCTGTGCTGCGGTCTGTCTGTCTGTATATAGCTCTATACAGCTCTCCAGCTAGCTAGCTAGCTAGCTGGTCAGGTGTGCGTATGTGTCAGACAAAATATGCAATTGAGGATGGGTGACACACATACACACGTGCCTCCGTGCCTTTCATCAAACATACATGTATCTCACGCCCCAAGTAAGGCCCAACAAGCCTTTCTTGCGTCATTCATAGAGATTATCTATACACGCAGAGGTCCGGTCCGCCATTCCATCCGTCAGTCAATACATGTACGCATCCATCCCGGAACGAAACACAAACCAAGGTCCGTCCGGTCGGTCAGGTCATCTGCGCACACTAAGAGTCGACCCTGCCCACTGATACCGCCCACTCGACGCATGAGCAGCAGTAGCATGATGGTGAGCAGGCGGCCGGGGCCAGAGAGCACCGCCCCTCTGGCCGCTCTCCACAGATCCCTCAGCAGCTGCAGATGCGGGGTATGAGGGGTACACGGCCCTCAGCCCCGTGTGTCGCTGGTAAGAGGGGCTGTCGGACAGCTTGGCTGATGAAGGGGGAGGGGATTGCGGCACGGGGCCCGTGCCGCTACCTCGAATCAGCTCTGCCATCGAATTGCCCTCGTAAGCCTGATTGATACAAAGCGCAGCAGCACAAACGCGCACACACAAATATTGAGAGACACTGTGTCTGATTGCAATGATGTGGTTATGTCTGCTTACTCACCCGGATAGGCGCCTGGCTCCTGGGGAAACGCACCTGCCCTGCGGATGGCAGGGGGTAGGACGATGCCGCCGTCCCGAGCCTTCTGCTGCCGGTCCTGCCCTCCTCACCATCACGATTATTGAGCCGAGTGCCCCGCACATGATCACCCTCACACCCACCTGCACCACTACACGAAGACGGACACGTGTCCAGCCGGCTCCGCCACAGGTGGCCGCCCCCAGGCTCCCCCGCCCCCCCGCCTGGCCACCATGACGAGCCCGGATGCGGCTTGCGATCAGGATGGGTCGGCAGGTGTCGTGAAGACGGCGAATGAGACATGGCCTTGCGCGAATGGCCGTCACATGACACGGCTGGCGGCTGAGGCGGGAGGGGTGGGGGCGTAGTGGTGAGGGGGATGTGGCGGGCGGGAGAGGGAGAAAAGCTCGTCTGCGTGTCCCTATTGCAGCGGCTGTGGTGGTGGAGGTTAGAGGGGTTCCCTGCTGACGCTGCCCCACTCCCGTCAAAAGAGAAGGGGTTAGATGGGCGGGGTGCCGATGGCTGCTGGGGCTGCTCGGCAGCACCCTGATAGTGCCGCTGGTCACCAGAGGCTGTCAACCGACGGGCCTGTCGAGATGCGGGCGGTGTGCTGTTCCCTAGTGGAGCGTCATGGAAGTAGCGATGGTACACCACAAAGTTGTTTCCCTGACGGACACACAGCACAGCACAGCGAGCAGCAAGGAACAGACTGACAATGCGAAAAGGGGATGTGTCGTGTCGGCCCTTCCTTCCTTTGTGTGCCCCGGCCCGCACCTGTTGCGTGTATTGCCTGAGGCCATAGTGGCGCGCGAGAAAGTTGATCAGCTTCGGGGAGGGCCGGTCGTACCTAAACACACAGCCGCACAATTAAGTATGCACAGGGCTGCGTGGGTCCGTGCAGTGCACCGCCCCCATATGCATGTGTTTGCCCACGCACTTACGCTAATTTGGCAGGGGCGTGGCTCTCCTCCCTCAACATATGGTCGAACAGCGCCTGCACGCAAACATTAACCATCCATCCATCCATAAATCCATCCATCCATCCCAGAGCCCTTTCCCCCACTGCACTGGCCGCCCACCTTGCCATGGCCACTTCTCTGGCAACTCTCATGCACATAGAAATCTGACCTCTCACACCACACGAACCGAACCAACAACAGGCATAGGCATGGATGCAATCAATGCACTTACGTGACCTCTCCCGAACACCCACCCATCAGCTCCACTCCACTCACCCAGCACGCAGAGCGGCTCCATCTCCCGCATGTTGCCCAGAGGGTCACGAATGAAGAGCTTCTTCCTTCCTACCTGCATGCCATTGGCTGAGTGAGTGCATCCATCTCTCCGTGTGGTGTGTGGTGAGGTCAGCTCCCGGCTAGCCTTACTTTGATGAACCCGAGTGCCCTGTTGGCCTCGACTTTGCAGTACATTCGCGTGTCGGTGCTGAGCATCTTGACGTACGACGTTATCGGCACCTTGAGCCCCTGAGCCCTCGCGGACGCCTCACCCAACCTGTCGACGACGCTACGCACATGGTCCTCTGACACCAAGAGCACACACCACAAGCCACTAGATGGTGGAGATGCAACGACCGGTGTGCTTTGCCTTCTCACGTCGGTCATCGGTGTGCTGCTGCGGGGCGTATGAGCTTCCGAAGCCGTAGAGAGCGGCTGCACGCTGGTGTTGGAGCTTCAGCAGGCCCTCCCTATCAATGCACACAATGCCCTGCATCCGGACGCCCACAGCCAGGCGCACATCAAAAGGAAACTCCATCTTCTACCCGCCTCATCGCAATACCTTTTCCGGGCGATCGCCGTTCTCTTGTGTGGGGATGTTTTCCATTGTCTGGGCCATTCAGCCCGTTCTATGGCTCCAGTAAGCGTCACCCTACCATGACGAGACGGAAAACGGGAAAGTTTGCCACACAGAAGCCACACCAACATCATGTTCATTAGGTGAGCAGCATGACCAACCATATGTTGCCAAATGGACTGAAAAACGTCGGGCCACAGTCGGTGTACGTGTGTATGCATTGGGATAGACTTCCTCCTCCCCCTTTTGCATACGAACTCACGATAATGGCACAGCACGGCACTAAGGGCATTAGGAGCGAGCATGGAAGAACGACATCAAGCTACACACATCGGGGCCGGGCTGTACAGCGGGTGCCTATGCTAATATCGACACGCACCGCTCATACTCACTCACTCATCACTCACTCAGTCACTGACGTCATGTCAGCCTTAATCGATATTCAAACAGCGCCCACACGACGCACAAAGCCGCAACAGAGAGCCACGCTATGCCTCTCCCTGCCTCCCCGCTCGTGTGCCCTCCCTCTCCCTCCCCCGCCCTGATGGCGTGCAGGTGCTCCTCGACCTCCTCTATGAGCTGTGGCTGCTCCCCATCGCCGTTCCGCGGCACCAGCACCATCGGCCACCCGCCCTCACTCCTGAACGTCAGGCCGTCCTGTGTGACATTGTAGCACAGAGGCACGTCGGGTGACGCGGCGGGGCCGTCTGGCTGGGGTGTGCTGGCGTCCTCGGCCCAGAGGCGGGCGAGCAGGTTGCAGGCCTGCCCGCCTGCTTGGTATTCGATCGGTAGCGTGGAGAGGGGGAGGTTTTGGGTGAAGACCCCGAACTTGCCCACATTGCTCGTCATGACGAGAGTAGTGCCGCGCGCAAAGACATACACGTGGTCGTCGACCTGATGACAGACGAGGCAAGCAAATAGACGCACACACATGATGCACTCGAGAGCGTCTGTGTGTGCCTTCTTTCAACGCACCCATATCTCTTCCTGTGGTCCGTCGAAGACCCCAGCGTGTCTGAGGGAGTTCATGGTCTTGATGAGCCTGAAGAGGGGATGCTCTGTGCTGTAGCCAAGGCGCCAGAGGGGCTTGCGGTTGTGCTCGTCAGTCCACTCCTCCCCATCTACCTCGGGGCTCGCATCTACACACACACGCCTCCATGGTTTCTCTCCTGGTCTATGTCCGAGCGTACCGTCGCCTTGTTCAGTGCCGTAATAGATAAAAGGGATCCCTTCGGTCGAGAGGACGAAGGTCAGCGCGCTTTTGTAGAGCTGCACATCCTTTTGAGACCGCAGGAAGCGGGGCAAATCGTGGGAATCGACGAACACGCCTAATCCTCGCGGATCCCTGCACACACAGACAGGGAATGTGGGCATGACAGTGGGCGGGCTGCTCACTTAATGTTCCGCTTGACGTCATTGAGCGTCCCGCTGATTTTCCACATAGACCCCCGATCCACAAACACGTCGCGCAGCGCGAAATACAGAGGGTAGTTGAAGAGACCGTCGAGAGCCGTGCCGCCCGTTTTGCGGTCGTACTGGTAGGGCGCCACATCGGCGGCCTTTTGGCTGAGGACCTCGCCGATGGCGTATGTGTCCTCACCAATGGCCGCACTCAGCTCCTGCCAGAAGGCTATCGGCATGTGCTTGACGGCGTCAAGGCGAAGACCGTCGAAGCCCCACTTACTGGAGAGACCTGCTGTCCACTGATGGGCACACACACGACCGATGCACACGAGGAAGACAGATGGCTGTGTTGTGTGAGTTACGTTGATGAGGAATTCTCTGACGAATGGTATGGACTCGTTGAGGTCGGGCAGCTTCCACAGCCAACAAACCTCGTTGGAGGTCTCATTCTCAAAGTCCATCGGGCAGTAGGGGTGGTAGTACTTGGGCGAGTTGAACGGCACCACCTGCGTCCAGTTCATGGGCTCGGGAACATCAGTATTCGGACCCGCATTGTTGACCACTGATCAAGGAAGCCGCCCAATGGCACACACGACACACAGCCAGCATCATGTGTGCGTGTGTGTGTGTGTGTCCTCCCTCACCAACATCGACCATCACCCAAATGTCTGACTGGTGCGCCTTCGCCACCAGCTTCCTCAGGTCCTTCGCAGTGCCCAGCCGGTCGTTAAGGGACGTCCAGTCGAGAGGATGGTAGCCGTGATAGCCGCACGGCAGGTTCTTCATGATGGGCGAGATGTAGATGGCGTTGAACTCCATCCCCTTTATGTACGGCAGGTTGTTGGCCAGCGCCTCCCACGTGCCGCCACAGACGTTGCCGCCCGTGCAGTTGCCGATGCCGCACGTGTCCTCGAAGGAGGCGAACCGGTCCACTATCAGCTGATAGACCACTCGACGTGAGCTGATCCATTCTGCCGGAGATTTGGCCTCGCACGCCAGGGCCAAGAGCCACGCCACCAGCACCTGCAGCGACGGCCCTGTCCTCGTGCTGACAGAAAGCAGCATCGATGTAACTTTTTTGCCCTTCGCCCGTTGAGTCGACGCGTCCGGCCAGGCCTCTGATATCGTACTATTATTTCGTCCATGGGGCCGTGGCGAGACTGGCCAGTCGTGTACGCTGGCATGTGAATGTATCCGTCTTTGTGCGATGCGTCTGCGGTGAGGCAATCAGTTCAATCGCTGCAGCCATGCAGCTGGCAATGCAGAGCGAGCGAACTAGTGCACAGGCACACTCAGCTTTCGATTCTCTTGCCGCCACGTCCGGTTCTCTCTGACATGAATCTGTACAAGTCCAGCGCACAGGCAATCACGCACTAGCCATGCAGCGCCCCCACGCCAGCCACGCCAATGATGGGACCATCCCCTCCATTGTGGCAGCTCCCTCTGCAGCTCATTCGTTCTACACATCAGCTATCGGTGGGCCGACCTGGCGGACAACGATGCACCCAACACACACCACCGGCAGTGGAGATACGCGCGCATGCAAGGTGGCCAAACCGTACCTTGTCGTTGTCTTTTAGGTGTCAAGCGGCTTGAGAGTGAGTCGATCCCACTGTTCCCCCCGGCCCCACTCGACGTCGAAGCGCCCGTCCAGCCCTTCGATGGTGTCGCCGTGCGTCCGCTCCTCCACCAGCCGCTTGAAGGAATGCTCTCCAGCTGGCCACAGCGCGAACTGAAGCCGCTTGAGGCCACGGATCTTGAGCAGCGACTTGATGCACGCAATGCTGAACTCGCCAGCAGCGCCGCCATCGCCGTCGCCCAAATCCTGAGGTACTGCACTCATACAGACAGACAGACAGCATATAAGCAGCCTCGGAAGCTGATGCAGCCGATTGCTTCCAGCTCACCTTTGACGGCAATAACCAGCCGTTTGATGGTCGGCAGCTGGTCCGCTATGTCACCCCACGAGAGCCCCCCTTCCCCCACACCCGTCACCCGGCCGGCATCGAAATAGTCCAGGTCCCTCTCCCCGCCCACCGCCTGCACCACCCCCACCGCATCTGCATGAGTCGGGCAGGTCCCCCACAGATCGATGCTCTTCACGACGGGCATCTTGGCCAGCAGCCTGCGGCTAATCGCACACCCCTTGCTGCTGTGGCTCCGGAGGCGCGATGCGGCGGGGAATGCGTTGTGTGGCATGCTCTCCAACACAACGGGGTCGAGCTCAGCGTCAGCGGCAGGCTCCAAGTCGTGCGGCGCCGTGACAGTCACTCCCTTGGCGTTGGGGAACGTCAGGCACTGTGCGAGGACGCTCGCAGCCGTGCTAGGCGCGTGGAGAGGGGCGGTGAGATGGCGGGGACGGATGGTGAAGTAGGCAACTTGTGATGCGGCTGCCAGCTGCTGGATCTGCTTCTGCACGAAGAATGAGGGGGCGGGAAGGGTGGGGACGTCGCCCAGAAGGCCAAGGTCGAAACTGTCGATGCCGGCCTTGATGCCGACGGGGATGTCGGGCCTCACGCACACGGCACGGGTGAAGGTCTCGATGGCCAAGAGGGTCTCAAAGATGCGGCTGTCGATAAGATGAAACTGCACCTTGACGCTGAGCTTCTTGATGGAGCGACAGCCACGATCAACAAGAACGGCCTGCACAGAGATACACGCACATACCATGCAAGCTCTCGCCCACTCCTCTGTCTTGTGCATCTCGAATGCTTCGTCGCATACCTGAAGGCGCGTTAAATCCTCAGCGCTACCACTCAACATTCTGAGGGTCCCAATGTCTTCCAGCTGCGCCAAGGGGCCCGGCTGGCCAGCAGCTGCCACCGGGATGAACCTCAGCGAGTCAGCCATGACGTCAGTATCGCACTCCACGTGCAGCTCCTTGAGGCTCCGCGACGTGCACACCAGCTCCCCCAACACCTTCGGCCACACCGTCCCGTCTGTCTGCACCCTCTCGAGAGACGGCAGCCGCCAATGCCGCCCGCGGCCGAGGCAGGAGAGCTCGTCTCCGCCGGTGAGGGATGTGATGGATGTGAGGGACATGAGGGTGGGAGGCGGGTCGAGGGAAGGGGGAAGGGCCGCCGACTGCTGTCTGGCGGCTTTGATGCCGCGATACTCATTCTCGGCGACGGCTGTGTTTCATTCGCTGCTACTGAACTCGAGCGACTTCAAGGTGCTCCGCGCCTGCTGCCCGGTTGCTGCCGCCGCTGCGGCTCTCTGTCCCTCAATGTGCCCCTCCACTAGTGCTGTGGCGATCTTGCGGCCATCAGGAGTCCCACTTGGGAAGCGGAGGCCAGTGGGATACTTGACGACAATGGATCTGAGACGTGTGAGCCGCCGGCCCCACTCGAAGGCATCACCGAAGGACAGACCGCACCAGAAGCGCCGCTCGGCCGTGTCGTAGGCGTTCATCACCAGATGGGTGATCTGGGAGCCGACGGGGCGCCACAGCCGCTGCGGCAGCGCCGCCACCCAATGAAGCGACAGGAACGAGAAGACGTAGGCAACGACAACAGGCTGAGTGCCAACACACACCACACAGAGAGAGAGAGAGAGAGAGAGGAAACAATGAGGACGTGTGTATGCTTGCCGATGGTTCTGTTGGTGCATACAATTTGGCTGAAGCGCTGTGCAAAGGCCTCCAGATCTATGCGGTGCGTGACTTTCGACGGCGCCACCTGCTGCTGCTGCTGCAGCTGCTGTTGGCCCTCCAAGTCGTTCCCCTCTCCCTCGGCCATCCGCCTCCGCCGCTTGGATGCCGACTCACTCACATCTGTTGTCTATCTACCAAACATGCGTCGCCTGCCGACAGCGGTGCCGAGCCGGATTTCAACCAACTGCGACGGGGTGGTTGGTTGGTTGGTCAGTGTGTTTAACGACTCGTGGGGTGAGCTCCGGCCAGACGAACAGGGTGTTGGGTTCAACCCTAACCCTGAACCCTCGCGCGGCGAGCATCGAGTGATTTGCTTGAGTCCCTCATACATATGTCCGACATACGTTGTATCCATCGCTCCATCCACCCGTCCATGCAGCGCAGCGTCCGCCAATCCAATCGGCCTATCCACAAGTATGCACGGACGACGCCACAGAGCTTAGCCTACATACATGTGTGTCCAACACTGCCTGCCTGCCTACCTGCCTTACTGCTTGCCTGCCTGTCTGCCTGACTGCACATGAGCGTCGTACACCGGCAGGATACACCGGCAGGAAACACACAACCTGATGCACCTCTGCCTGACTGACTACATATCACTACTCGTCAAGCGGCGGCCGGCCGTCTGCTCAGCACCAGGCAGAACTCGCCCCTCGGCGGCCCCTCAGCACGCTCCAGCTTGTGGACAGCCTCCTTCAGCGGCATGACATAGTGCTCCTCGTAGATCTTGCTCAGTTCCCGACACACACACAGCTCCACACATCCCCATCCCCTCCCCCCAGCACGCTCGGCCTCTGCATCCCTCAGCTCCCGCAGAGTGGCGAGCAGCCGGGCGGGCGACTCGTACAGCACCACACGCCTACCCTTGTCAATCAGCTCACGCATCACCTCCTGGATAGCTTGCCGCCGCCCCCTTTTCACCGGGAGAAAACCGAAGAAGACGACACCCGATGACGATGAATGGCCGGTCGGGGGGTGTGGGCGTGCTTGTGGGCGGCAAAGGGCAGCCGATGCCGTGAGGGCCGCGGCCAGCGCGGACGCGCCAGGGACAGGGCTGCACGGGGGGGCCGGGGGCGACGCAAACCACTCTTTGCCATAGGATATCCCCATCTGCTCAACCTCTCGGTGCCTTTCCCAGGCCACAGCCGCCAGCTCGCCACCTGGATCAGAGATGCCAGGAGTGCCGGCATCGCTCACGACAGACACACCCAGAGATGGCCGCGAGAGAGGCGGATCAACAGAAGCATAAGCATGTGATAATGGTGGTGGTGAGGACACCGAGCGCATGATCTGCGGGATCCTCGTTCGCCAGTTGTGTTCGAACAACAAGGTCAGGGGCCGCTGGGTCAGGTTGTAGGCGGACAGGAGGGCGCGAGACCGCCGCGTGTCCTCTGCAGCCGTCAGGTGTGTCGAGTTCAACACGGCCACACCCCGGACAGTCATATCCTGCAGGAAAAAGGCAGGCAGGGGATGAGTTCACCTGGTCCAGTCAAAGCTTGGCGTGGCGTTGGTCGATTTGTGCTCGCTTCACTTGCCTGAAGGTTTCCAATGGGCGTCGCGACATACCACAGGCGAGGCGCGGGGAAGACGGACGGCTCTGCTGGAGGCTGCTCTGATGACCGTGACATCCTTCGGCGTCCCCGGATCTGCTTTGACAACAGCAGGAACCCATCTACAGAAGCTCCAAAGGCCATAAGCAGCGGGAAAGAAGCCCCAATCATGAGTTTCGGAAACCCAACCCTGCGAACCCTGCGAGCTTAGCTGAAGGGAGGCCAGAGTGCTTCACACAGGATGCAGAACATGGAGCAGTCGAGCGATCTCTGAGAAGCCCCCCAGCCGTCAGTCTTTCTGTCCAAGGAAAACCATAGCCATCTGCATCCCCCGTAGGCGACGAGGAAAAGCAATGGCGGAGGTGAACTTGAGCGACGATGAAGGGGAGCTGACCATCAGCCAGCTGCAGCACAAGGTGCGGGCTTTGCAAAGCGACCGGCACAAGAGACGGGAGTTCGCCGAGCGGTTGCAAGAAAAGATGAAGGCCCTCAACTCAGAGCTGGCGGCGAGGAGGGAGCAGGTGGACACACTCAATGAGATGCTCAGCTTCGAACGGAGGCGCGGACACGACGAGGTAATTAAAGCAACCGTCGGTCCGCCCGCACACACACACACACACACACACAGAGAGAGAGAGAGAGAGAGAGAGGTGTGCCGATTTGGCGCATGTACACATGCATTCGGATCATTGCATGCAGGCGACGGTTGAGAGGATGGAGCACGAGAAGCGGCTAGCAGAGCAGGACGAGCGCATCCGTGAGATCCTGGAAGAGGTGCTCTTCTCGAATGTGCCGCAGGGCATGGCCAAGTCGACCCGCGGCGGGCTGCTGCCCACCAACGTCGACGAGACCCAACTCATGGTCAAAGGGTGGGCGGGGCGCAGAAGAGACGCACCTCCAGGGGAAGAGGATGAGCAGCTCGCGGTTGACACGGTGCTTATCACCTATGTCCCGGAGAACAGCGACCTGCGCTTCAACCTCACTTATCGCATCGATCCGACCACAAGACTCCATGACCTCAGAATAGGTACGTCCACATATTCCGTTTGACTGTCTGTCTGCCCGTGGTGTGTGCAGATGCGTGCAAATATTGGGGGATCAGTGAGGTGGATTATGTTTTGAAGAACGAGGCCAACTCGAAGGCGCCCGACTCGGGCGCCGTCTCGTCTTTCTTCCGCGACGCAGAGATGGCCCGGCTCTACCTGGTCAAAAAGGACACACAGCAGACCAAGCTCAGCGAGGCCGAGCAGAAGGCCGTACAGATACGCAGGGGGGGCAGAATCGGTCTCGGCTTGGCCACAGAGAGGGGCGGACAGGGAGGTGGGGAGGGAGACAAGAAGCGCGGCATGGGTGTGACGATGCTGGGCTCGACGATGCTGGGCTCCACTGGCCCAGCGCCGAGCAGCATCGACTACCACGAGGTGGCGAAGCAGTTCCCCGGGCTGCTGCAGGTGCTCAAGGTGCACGATATGGGCCCCTCCTACCACCTGGAGAAGATCACACCCCCAGACATATGCGCTGTGCTTGCCTTGCTCACCATCTGCCTCGTTCTTTTCATCATGCAAAATCCTCCAGGTAGGTATTCGAAAATTGAGAGACCACGAGAGAGAGAAAGAGAGAGAGAGAGAGACATGGCCACGTATACTGTTTGTTTGCTTGTCTGATGCAGGTGCGTCGTTTTGGTTGCTGTCTGGTATGAGTGCCACCTTGCTGGAGCCGCGGTACGAGTCGGAGCTGGACAGCTGGACGCCCTCGTTCAGGTCCATCGGCCGCGGGGGGGATGCACTGCGGTGGCTCAACCAGTCACTGGCATACGCCCTCTTCGACGATACATCTGACTTCAGACGGTCAGTCAGTTTGACCAATGTGGGGTCTCTCGGAGGCAATCAGGTAGGTGCCTATGTCCGTGTGCAGTTTCAATTCAGCTCCTGGATTCTTGAGACTGAGGCAGCAGCGGGTGAGCAGGCAAGGCAAGGGACATCCACACACAGAGGCCGACAAGAATGCTAGTCTGTGTGCGGGCCTGTACGTGTAGGTGAAGTCTGAATCGTGCGAGCGCACCGACATGGAGCCCGTTGTGGCTGCTGACGGTATGCCTGCATAAACATTGGAGAGGATTCTCTTCCCTTCTTCCGTCTCTTCACCTGTTTGCCTTTGTTTGGCAGGATGTTATCCCGCCCTGGTATCATCGGCCACCCGGGAGACGGCAGACATATCGTCCGTCGCTGGTGTGCCAGTACAGCCACGATGCGTCCTCTCCACTGGCACTCAAATCGACTGCGGAGACCCTGCAACATTTGTCGACGCAAAGGTAGTAGAAATAGACGAAGACACAGAGATGAGTGAGTGTCTCTCTCTCTTCCTCTCTCCCTTATGCGCGTGTGCCGACCATCAGGCCAATTCCAAGGACCATCGTGTGTCGTCCTTGCAGGGTCGTGTGCAGCGATATGACGCGAGCGGGTACCAGACGGACGTGCCGATCATCGTTGGCGACACGGACACGTCCTCCACTCCTGCAGACTTCACACAGTGAGTGGCTCACATGTAGTCATCAAGCGTTGGTTTCATTTGTGTGTGGTGGAGTATAAATATCCTCGCAGGCATCTGACGAACCTAGTGGATGCCAAGTGGGTCGACGTGTCCACACGGATGCTGCTGGCGGAGTTCTCCGCCTACAATGGCAACTTCGACAGATGGTGCGTGCAGTGCAGTGCAGTGCAGACCTGCCTGCGTGACCCAAGACACACAACAACCACATCTGCATATCTCTGTGTGCGTGTTCCATGTGTTTGTGTGCGTGTGCAGGCTGTCATTTCAGTTTCTGTTTGAGCTGTCACCGTCGCACTCCGCCCTGCCCACAGCACGCATATTCCCACTCAGAGTAAAGCAATGCGACACAAACACAATGATCCACATGTGGATCATTCCTCGATGATGGTTGGCAGTTGCACACGGCGGAGACGTACAGTGAGAATTTCATCATGTTCATGGACTACCTGCGGCTGGTGCTGGTGCTCTATGTGGGCCTCTTCATGATACCCAAGGGCGTCAGACACAAACACAGACACAAAAAGGCCGGTGCGTTCAACCTCAACACACTCCCACACAGTCCACCCATCCATCGATTCTCTATGTGTGTATGTGGTCGATCAGGCTACCTGCATTTCCTCACTGTGGACGGTCTGGTGGACACGGCGACGGTGCTTTTGTTCTTCATCACGTTCCTCTCCCGGCTGGTGGTCTTTCAGCGCCGGTCGCTCAAGTCGAAAGAAGTCATCAAACAAATGAAAGAATCATTCCAAAGCTGGTCAATCAGAATCCGAGAGTTGGGAGTGTGCGTGTTGAGCGGTGTGTGTGTGTGTGCAGGTCAGAGATGGGCGCCTTATATGATTCGATGAACATCCTGGAGGGCCTCTTGGTGCTCTGTCTGCTCATACGCATTGTCACATTCTTCAGACTCGCGAGACCGGTGTGTGTATGCAGCGGGTGCCCATGGACTGCGCGCACACTCCCTGTGTGTCGCTCTCTATCTCTGTCTGTGTTTAGGTGTATCTGTTGTGGCGTGTGTTGGGTCGCGCCATTCCCCAGTACATCTACTTCGCCTTTGTCTTCCTGCCCGTCTTCATGGGATTCGTCTTCGCCGCACACGCCATTTGGGTACACACAACACACCGTGCGCAGAGGAAAACAGAGAGGCAGCAAAAGGCACACAGTGACATCCATCCATCCATCCACTCTCTCTCTCTCTCTCTGTCTTAATGACAGGGTCCTTATCTCGAGTCCTTCGAGAGTTTTGGTCGATCGTTCATCTCACTCATGATGTTCCTCAATGGGTCAGTGAGAGAGAGAGTGAGGGAGAGACGGATACTGAGAAGGGACCGAACAGGGGATGTATCGATGTGTTTTGTGCCGGTCTGCTGTCTGTCTGGTGTATTTGTCAGCAATCTGAATCTGCGTCCTCTGCATGATGTCCAGCAGTACTGGACGGCCGTCTTCGTGGTCAGACACACACACACACACACAGAGACAGAGAGAGAGAGAGAGACTCAAAGATTGAAAAGGTGACTGTGTGTGTTTTGTGTGCGCAGTTGCTCTTTTTCGTCGTTGTGTCCCTTCTGCTGGTCAATGTGTTCATCGCAATCATGGTCGACGCACAATACACAGTCCGCATCACTGACGGTCAGCCAACCACACAGACAGGCACCCAGCCATCCAGCCACATCATTACATGGTCCATTTGTGGGCGTGCAGATGGTCAGGAGGTGTCCAAGTACCGCTGGGGGGTGAGGGAGTGGATCAACTGGATGTTTCCCACCTTCATCGCGGGTGTCATGATCGACTACCTCGCACCCCTCATCCCCGGCCTGCAGACCGACAAGCAGCCTCCACATGTGAGGCAGACAGGCAACAGGGCGACACAGAGAGAGGGCGGACACGCAGACACGACAGAGTGGGACAGAGAGGGGGGAGAGGAGGAATGAATGACACTACCTACACATGGGGGGTTGGGGGCCTGTGTGTGTAGTTGGTGTCTTGTGTGTGCGAGCGTTTGTAGTTAGGGCATATGTGTGTATGCGATGGATGGTCTGGTGCGACGGTATGTATGTGTCTGTCTGGGTGATAGATAGCCAGCCGTGTCGACGTGATTTCCATAACGTTGCACTCAGGTCGCGTCTCTAGGCCACGCACACACGCACGACGGACGTCCACTGGACATCCGGTGTGGGTCCTGTCTCTCTCCTCTCACACCACACCATCTCCCCCCAATATGTACACATACGCAATCGCACACATGTATACACACAACAGCTAAGCAAAGCTATGCTAGGGTAATTAAGGGCATCAACCCATCCAATGGTCACTCATTCGTCCTGCAGCTTCGCCTCCACCTGTCGCCGCACCTGCATGATAACACATACCACACCACCACACAGGCCAATGAGGCTGTTTCCTGTCTGCCTGTCTGTCTGTGGGTGTTACGAATTCGAGTGAAGATCTATCGAGTTCATTGATAAGGGCTAAGACAGCACACAGGATGTTGTCATTCCGCGATGTGGCAGACGGGGGGGCCACCACACCTGAACGAATGCAGCACCCCGCCAGCCCAACGACACAACACATTCTCTGACCATTCATGTGGCTCATTCCTGCACCATCTCTCACCGGCGCTCGCGTGTCTGCCTATTTGGTGTCGTCTGCCCGGGTGTTGCGCAGCTGCTCTTTCAGCCCTGCTCTTCTGCCGCTCACCCACACCCACAGCTGCAGCTGCTGCAGCAGCAGGAGGGCCGCCAGGAGAAACAGAGGGAAACACGGCATCGCTCAAGCTGCGATGCTCTGAATGACGGAAACAAACACGCACACAGAGATTGCGTCCCGGGTCTTTTTGTGTGTATGTTGCATGCATGACTGACCTCTTTCCAGTTTCTGCACGTTTGTCGGCAGGGGTGAGGGCGAGGGCGATGATGTGGGCACCCGCCCGCCCTCTCGCTCCCGCACACCACCGGCCCTGTTGCCTTTGCTGTCCACAGCAGCGGCATCCGCACCATCTGCCACATACCACCAGCCACCTTACACATCACCGCACTGACGGGCACCTGTGTTCTTGTCTGTCGTACCGGTGCGTTCGGGTGTTTGTCGCTGCACGGCACCGCCCCCGGCCCCGTTGGGCAGACCACCACCACCACCAGCGGCCTGTGATGACCCGACCACATCGGGGAGGTCGGATGGGGGCGTGAAGGTGCGGAATGCGTTGTCCCGGGCTAATGCAGCGGCCTCCTCACGCTCCTCTGCCGACACATCTGCAGCCCATGGACACACACAGTGCGCGCGTGTGTGTGTCTGTGTGTGTCGTGCCTTTGCTGTCGAGTTTGGTGAGAGTGGGTAGGCAGTGGATGACGAACGGCCGATACAACACGTCACGCGAGCAGGGATTGTCGCTCAACCTATCGCACGCAGCCGACAGACAGCAGAGAACAAGACACAAGGACCCTGTGCGTGTGTGTCATCTTGCGTGTGTGTGTGTTACTCACCACAGGACGCGCAGATTGGTGAGGGTCTGGAGGTAGTACAGTTCGCCCAGATCCACTATGTCGTTCTTGCGAAGATACAGCTCAGCCAACCGCGGACCTGACGCACTCACAGCAAGAGAGCCACACATCTCCTCGACGAGACTCAGTGCATGTGTGTGTATTGCTACACTGTGCGAAGTCTTTGAGCGAGGCGATGCGGTTGACCGACAGCGAGAGCACCTCAATGTTCTTCAAACGACTCAACACCGACACCTGCAACCACAACCAATCACACGGCATGCATGCATCGAAATGATGAGTGCGCCTTTCTTCCCCTCCATCCCGCCCATCTCTCTCTGTGGCTCACGTCGTGTATGTCATTTCCCCAGAGGTTGAGGTTTCTGACGTTGGCGAGGCTGTCCACTTTGGCCCTCGCGAGGATCAGCTCCTCAGTCATCGTCGAGCCTGACGTACGCATCATGACGCTCCAGTTTTTAAAAGCTCGCTGCCGCGGGGGCCACAGGGGGCCGCAGTCTTTCCGAGTCGAGCTGCAGTGGCTGGTAAACAGTCGACCACCGATGTTCGGGGAGGTCTGCTTCCGCAGCAATGTACAAACAAGCCGACATACTGATTGTGTGATGGCTGTGTCCGTCAGGACGACATCTTCGAGGCTGTGGACAAAGGCGATTTGCTAGGCGTCACGCAGCTCCTCGACAAGCACGGCAAGGAGATGTTGGACACACGAGACGAAGATTCACTCGGCAAGGTAGGCAAATGTGAAGACAGACATGCCTTCCCTTTCAATGTTCATTCCTGTGTGTGAAGTACACGCCCTTCATCACGGCTGCATTGAAAGGGCACGTTGAGATCATGGAGGTCATGTATGACAGCTACGGCCCGTCGATACTGCAGCAAAAGACCGACGTACCACCACATCCAGAAATATATGCATCTGGTGATGGGATGTTCTGTGCGGTTGTGGACTGCAGACCGGTGCCACTGCCCTGCACGCGGCTGCATGGGGAAAGAATCTTGCAGCTGTCAATCAGCTGCTGGCGTGGGATCCCAAGCTGATCGACGGACGCAGCAACGCAAGAAAATACACATTTCTCCAATGGGCTGTCGTGTGTCGATTGTTTGTTTGTCAATGCAGACCAAGCGGACAGCCTTCCACGAGGCTGCCGACCGCAATGCTGTTGATGTGATGAAGGTCATCCACGCCATCAAAGGCAACAAAGTGAAGGAGCTCCTCGCAGAGACGGACAACGTGAGACGCATACACAGGGAGGGAAGGACACACACATAGTGTCTCTCTCGTGTGACGTGTCAGGGCGGAAACACGGCACTGCATATGGCTGTCACCTATCGCGATAATCTGGCTGCTGCGGCTCAGCTGTGCGAGTGGAGCGGTGGTCAGCTGCTGGACATCAAAAACAACGAGGTAAGTCCACACAAGTCTGTGTCATCGGTGATCGTGACCGATGGCAACAGGGTGTGACGCCGTGGGATATGGCGGCAGAGAAGCCCAAAATGAGAAAGGCCATCGAGAAATACAAACAGTAAACCGATCGTCAGCGCTGTGGGTGCGGGTTGCGTGGCGTGGGGCGTCTAGTCTGTGTGTCGGTGTCAGATCGGGAAGCTCGCCTGGGTTTCAGGGGGCTGGCGTCTCCTCAAGTTCGGAGCAACCTGAAGACTTGCAGTCTTGTCCAGCAAGGGTGCTGGAGGACTGGAGCGCCAGCACTGTGTAACAAAACGACATAATGATTGTGTCGTGGCTGTGTCCGCAGGACGACATCTTCGAGCCCGTCACTAAGGGCAGCGTCCCTGCTGTTATTCAGCTCATCGACAAGCACGGCAAGAAGATATTGGAGACACGACACGAAGATACAGGCGCCAAGGTATGCAACCGTGAAGATGACAGAAGTACAAGTCTTCCCTTTCTGTCTTCTCCCATTCCTCGCATTCCGTGTCAGGCCACGCCGTTCATTGTGGCCGCACGGTGGGGGTACGTTGCCATCATGAATATCATGTACATTCGTTACGGCCCGTCGATACTGCAGCAGCGAGACAACGTACTGACACAGCCGAATATCCGTTTATCCATGCTTGATCCATGCTGCTCGTGGACTACAGACCAATGCCAGTGCCCTGCACTGGGCTGCATTCTACATGCATCTCGAGGTCGTCAATCAGCTGCTGGTGTGGGATCCCAAGCTGATCGACGCACGCAACGATGTACGAGAACACATGTCACCGATGGCCTGCCGTGAGTCGACTCTATGCATGTCGAATCCAGACAAAGCAGACGGCCTTCCACAAGGCTACCGAGTCTGATGCTGTTGACGTGATGAAGGCCATGCACGCCATCAAAGGCAATGCCCTCCTCACAGAAACGGACAATGTGAGACGCAAAGAAAAGGGGAGGACACAGAATGTCTCTCATATGTATGTGTAAACACACAAGAATGAAGACACGGCTCTGCATCGGGCTATCGACTGCGGGAAATCAGCTGCTGCGGCTCAGCTGTGCGAGTGGGGCGGTCCTCAGCTGCTGCACATCAGAAATAACAAAGTAAGTCCGCTCAAGTGCGTTCATCATCGATTGTTTTGCGTAATGTGACCATCTCATGACAACAGGGTGTGACGCCGTGGGATATGTCGGCTGAGATGCCCACAATGCGAAAGGCCATCGAGAAATACATGTACACACAGTAAAGGAATTGTCAAAGCAGGAGCGCCAGCGCTTTACAAACAGCCGACATGATAATTGTGTGATCGCTGTTTCCGCAGGGCGATGTCGATCTTCGAGGCTGTGGACAAAGGCGATCTGCTGGGTGTCACGCAGATCCTCGACAAGCACGGCAAGGAGATGTTGGACACACGAGACGAAGAGCTCGGAGTATGTCACCGTGAAAACGTGAAATGCCTTCTCCTTCAATGTTCTCCCTTTCCTACTTGCGTCAGGCCACGCCGTTCATTGAGGCTGCGGCGAAAGGGCACGTTGCCATCATGAAGGTCATGTACGATCGCTACGGTTCGTCCATACTGCAGCAACGAGACAACGTACCGACACAGCCAAATATCCATCCGTCGATGCTGCTGTGGTGATGAGATGTCTTGTGCTGTCGCGGACTGCAGAATGGTAGGACTGCGCTGCACTGGGCTGCATGGGGAAAGAAGCTTGCAGCTGTCAATCAGCTGCTGGCGTGGGATCCCAAGCTGATCGACGCACGAAGCAATGTAAGCGAGCACATGTCTCCGATGGGCTCTCGTGTGTCGATTGTATGCATGTCGAATTCGGAGCAAGCAGACAGTCTTCTACACGGCTGTCCAAAGGGAGGCGGTTGACGTGATGAAGGCTGTGCGCGCCATCAAAGGCAACAAACAAAAGGAGCTCCTTACAGAGACGGGCTATGTGAGACACACATACGGGTGGACTACGTACATGTACAAAATGTCTCCTTGTATGTGTGATGCGTCAGGACGGAAAGACGGCGCTGCATGTGGCTGCTTCCTGGGGTAGACCGGATGCTGCGGTTCAGCTGCTGGAGTGGGGCGGTTCTCAGGGTTCTCAGTTGCTGGACACCAAGAACGACGAGGTAAGTCCACCCTTCACCATGTCCTCTCTTCACCATCGATGATCGTGACGTATGACAACAGGGTGTGACGCCGTGGGATATGACGGCCGAGAAGCCCAAAATGAGAAAGGCCATCGAGAAATACAAACAGTAGAGGAATCGTCAGCGTTGTGGGTGCGGGGTGCGTGGCGTGGGGCGTCTAGTCTGTGTGTCGGTATGGAGATAGGACAGTGGTATACACCAAGGGATAGGCTGTGTGACGTGACTGTGTGTCTGCGGACTGGTCACCTTGGTTGCTTGCATGGGCGTCTCTCGAAGACAGAGACTCGGCAGCAGAGGTCTCTGTGCTTTGGGGAAGACAGATGCTCTGCACTGGTTTGTTGGACGAAGGAAAAAACCACAGAGGTACCTGATTCAATTTGTCGTTCACACCTGTGGTGGCTGGTTGGTCATCATAGGACGCGCAGATTGGTGAGGTTCTGAAGGTAGTATAGTTCGCCCAGATTCACTATGTCATTCTTGCGAAGATACAGCTCGGCCAACCGCGGACCTGACACACACACAGCAGAAGATCCACACCTCTCCTCGACGAGTGCATGTGTGCGTATTGTTACACTGTGCAAAGTCTTTGAGCGAGGCGATGCGGTTGACCGACAGCGAGAGCACCTCAATGTTCTTCAAACGACTCAACACCGACACCTGCAACCACAACCAATCGCACGGCATGCATGCATCGAAATAGATGTGCAGTGCGCCAAAGTTTCTTCCCCTCCATCCCGCCCATCTCTCCGTGTGGCTCACGTCGTGTATGTCATTTCCCCAAAGGTTGAGGTTTCTGACGTTGGCGAGGCTGTCCACTTTGGCCCTCGCGAGCATCAGCTCCTCCGAGTCAGTCACCGTCGAGGTGGGGGCGGAGGGGGGCTGCAGTCTCAGTGACACCCTCGAGTCCCAGCCGCATGCCAGTGCTTGTCCAGCAATGGTGAGGGAGGTCTGGAGCCCCAGCACTGAACAAACAGCCCACAGCTTGTGTGATGGCTGTGTCCGTCAGGACGACATCTTCGAGGCTGTCAACGATGGCAATTTGCTGCGTGTCACGCAGCTAATCGACAAGCGAGGCAAGAAGATATTGGACACACGAGACGAAGATTCCTTCACCAAGGTAGGCAACTGTAAAAGGTCGCCTTTCTGTGCTTTCCCATTCCTGCACTCTCCATTCCTTTGACTGCAGTTCACGCCCGTCATTGAGGCTGCAGAGGAGGGGAAAGTTGACATCATGAAGGTCATGTACGAGCGGTACGGCCCGTCGATACTGCAGCAACGAGACACGGTACCACCACAGCCAAATGCCCATGCATGGCCATGGTGATGATATGTCTTGTGCTGTCGTGGACTGCAGGGTGGTGAAAGCGCCCTGCATTGGGCTGCATTCTGCAAGCAGCTTGCAGCTGTCAATCAGCTGCTGGCGTGGGATCCCAAGCTGATCGACGCACGCGACAGAGTAAGAAAGTACATGTACACATATCTCCGATGGGCTGTCGTGTGTCGATTGAATGCACATTGTATGCAGACCAAGCGGACAGCCTTCCACGCGGCCGCCGACCATGATGCTGTTGATGTGATGAAGGCCATGTGCGCCATCAAAGGCAAAGACCTCCTCACAGAGACGGACGACGTGAGACACACACAGGGGGACTTGCATGTATATGGTGTCTCTCTTGCATACGTCAGAATGGAGACACGGCACTGCATGTTGCCCTCACTATGGGTCATTTGGCTGCTGCGGCTCAGCTGCTGGAGTGGGGCGGTCCACAGCTGCTGGAAATCAAGAACGACGAGGTAAGTCCACCTTCACCATGTCCTCTCTTCACCATCGATGATCGTGACGGATGGCAACAGGGTGTGACGCCGTGGGATATGACGGCCGAGAAGCCCAAAATGAGAAAGGCCATCGAGAAATACAAACAGTAGAGGAATCGTCAAGGCCGCGCTCTGTCTGTGTGTCGGCGTCATATAGCACCAGGGGTATCTATCCTTCACGGGATAGGTTGTGTGACGTGACTGTATGTGTGGAGTGGTCACCTTGGTTGCTGCATGGGCGTCTCTCGAAGCCAGAGACTCATGCAGCTGAGGTCCGTGCGTGGGGGGAAGACAGATAATCTGCACTGATGAAGGGAACAATCACAGAGCTGTCTGACTGTCCGTTCACACATGCAAACATGCAATTTGTCAGTCCCGCCACCTCCAAGCCTGTCTGTCGGGGCCGAAAGACGCAAAAGACGCCAACGCACCATTAAACCCACAGGATGGATAAAAGAGTCGAAAGAAAAGAGGCCAGCGATGCACAGTCAGGGCCAAAAAACACCCTAACGACACGCACAACCGCCTACATGGGACCAGCCAGCTTTCACTCTGTCAGCTTATACACATGCACACCACGATCCGAGAATATAAATGTCTTCTCCTCGACACAGTCGCCTTCGATCGTCCATCAGGGCTCCGCTGTCGCGTAATACTTGTCGAGCACCGCCAACACAACAGACTGAAACAGACACACAGACTTGGGAACGGCTCACATCTATGAGACGGCCCTGCCAACTGAGGGCAGAAAAAGAAAAGGCCCGTCAGATCGGTCGGCGACCCCACACGCAAAAGACACCAACGCACCATTATCAATGAAATAGTTCAAAGCGTCGAAACGAAAGAGGCCAGCGATGCACAATAAGGGCCAAAAAGCACCCTAACGACACGCACAACCGCCTACATGAGACCAGCCAGGTTTCACTCTATCAGCTCTACACACGTGCACACGACGATCCGACAATATAAATGTCTTCTCAACACAGTCGTCCATCAGGGCTCCGTTGTCGCGTAATACTTGTTAAGCACCTCCAACACACTCGACTGGAACAAATGATCGCTGTTCTGCACCAAACATACACACATACGATTGGTGGGGTGGATGCAGCCCGGCCAGCCCCCCTCTCTCTCTCTCCCACCTCATGGTTGTTGAGTGTGCCGGCCATGACGAGCCCATATTCGGGGATGCCGTAGGCAAAGGACCGCCCGTAGCCGCTGTGGCCGATGATGCTGCCGGCCCCGTATACCCTCTTGTTGATCCCAAGCCCATAAGACACGCCTTCCTCGTCAGTCGGCTCGAAGTTGGTCATCGCCTCCAGGCTCTCGGGCGACATCAGCCGGCCGCTAAACAAGGCTTTCAGGAACGCACACAGGTCACTCGCATCGCTGGGGGACAACAAGAGCAACGACAGGAGGACATGTGCCCATTTTGCTCGGCTCCTCTCTGCGTGAATGTGCATGTGTGCTTGCAGACCTTGCCATGGCTCCTCCCGCCCATTCAGCGGTATTGCGGGGCGTGGCCCGCATGTCGATCAATCCCAGGCCACCTTCGATAGCATACCGAGCTACCTCGCCATCGGGATTGCTGCCCACACACACAAGTGTGGATGGACGGATGAGTGCATATCTATGCGGGTGCACGATTGCTGCTTACGGATTATCTTCTCGGTATTGCGAGTAGGTGTTGTTCATCCCAACTGGGCCGAAGATGCGCTCGCTGTACGACTGGCTGAGCGGTTTGCCCTCCACCTTCTCGATGATCAGCCCTGCCAGCATGAACCTGACAAGGGCAGAAACAACACACAATACAACACACATGGGCACACAAAAAGAGCACTGTGTGTATGTTTTCCGCGTGTACTTACGCGGTGTCAGTGTATTCGTATCTGCCGGGGGTGCCAGGAGGGAAATGGGCCTCCACCTCTGCGGGGTAGATGAGCGTCTCGGCGCCAAGCCAATACCTGACACCCACACGCATCCCACTCACACTCACACCCACAATCCGCCTTCTCTGGTGATTTTCTCTTCATACTGACCTGTCGGCCTCCCTCTCGTAGTCGCCAAGGAAGGTGTCCAGGTCCCAGTAGTTCTGCACTCCCGACCGGTGGTCCAGCGTCATGCGCACGGTGATGTTGGCCGTGTAGGTGGTGTTGCCGATCCGGTGCAAAGACTCGGGGATGACGAAGCCGCCGCCCTCGCCCACCGAAGGGTCGTCGCCCACCACACCCACCTCTGATATGTTGCCGAGGACGAGATACTCAGTGATGGGGTCGTCAAGGGACACCTTGCCTTCATCCTGCGCGGGCATCCATCCATCCATCCATCCCAAGTGTGTGTCCGCCTGTCTCTGCCTGTCGATCTCACCACCAGCTGCATCATGACGACCGCTGTGAACATCTTGCCGATACTGGCAATCTCGAACTGCATGTCGGGTGTGGTGGGTGTGTCGCTGGGGTCGCTGTTGTTGGTCCTGCGGCCGGCCGCGCCCTCGAACACCACACCAGCGGACGGGTCAAGCGACTCGACCCGAAGGATTCCGCTCCCGTAATCGCCGTTGAAGCCAACCTGAAGGTCGAGAGCCTCCTGCAAATGACATACACACCCACAGACAAGCAGTCAAGCAGTCAGATGACACAATGACATGCACTCACTTCCCTAGTGTGCATGTGCATGTGCATGTAGGTACCTGGAGAGCGCCCTGCACGTCGAGATCTGTCCTGTTTTCAATCAGGGGGAACACGGACTGGGGCTCCTCTATCTCGCGAAGCTCCAGACGGCGACGCAGCCTGGCATTCGAGCAGCTGGCGAGGCCCAACGAGGCAGCAGCGAGAAGCAGCAGCAGACTCTGTGACGGACTCATGGTCATGGCCGGTCTGCTGAATGAATGGGGTCGAGTACAGCCAAGGCGTTCAGAGGTCTGCCCTTCCCTCGTGCGAAGCTAAGCTCGCAGAGGTGGTCTGTCGGGGTTTCTGCGTGCACGGGGCTTCAGCATGGCGACGCCATCTGGAGGTGTGCAGGCATCGGTCTTCCAGGACAAGACACTGCTGCTGTTCCTCGTCTTGTTCGCCGTGGCATACTGCTCGCAGCCACTGCTGGTGAGTCACCACCCCAGGAATGAGTAGATCAGCCATGCATGGATGAATGAATGAACGAGCAGATCAGCCAGGCAGGCAGGCAGCGAGAAATGCCGTGGTCATATGAGCCGTTTGTGTCTGCTTATGTGTGTGTGCTTTGCTTCACAGGTGGATGCTGTGAAGTATCAGGGCGCTGCAAGCGTAAGCAACGAGGAACTTGAAGCACGCACACATGAATGCATCAGAGAGGCGGGACCCATTCAGTCAGTCATTCACTCATTGGAGTGGCTGTCTTGTCTGTCTGGTGTGCTGTGTGTCTTGCCATCGGTCCATCCATCAGGCGTCTACGTTTTTGTACTTGATCCCGCACTACCTGTCCATGTCACTCGTGGGCTTCCTCCCTGACGACGAGCGACACACAGAGGAGGAAACACGAAAGAACCCTTGGCTGGCGTGAGCAGAGAGGAACCAACACACACACACACACACACACACACAAGTGTGTTGTGGTGTGTTGTCAGTTGGAAGAAGGCGGGCATCATTTCTGCGATCGACATTGCACACCAGCTGACGGAAAAGGGTACCTATGCCCCGTCGATGACGGGAATGATTGCATTGCATGTCCATTTTGTGCGTTCTGTGTTGTGTGTATGTGTGTGGTTATCTTATCAGCTGGTTTGGTGTTTGCTGGGAGTGCGGTGTACATAGTGGTGGGCAGGTAATAATTGGCTCCATAATTACCGCTATGAAGCCAGAATTCTTTGAATATAATCATGGTCAAAAACACGTTCCCTTTCTTTTAGCTCTACCATCGTGTGGACAGCCATCATGGTCACCATCGTCAACAGACGGCGGCTGGCACCAGCTCAGTGGTTCAGCATCGCACTCATCTGCGCCGGCATCTCTGTCAAGGTGAGTCCTCACACAGCACGGCATCCACTCCGTGCGATTCCTTGTATGTTTGTATGTGTGTGTGACCAACACATATCACACGTATATACCAATCAGGCTTTCTCGATCGACTTTGATTTCCACAATGATGAGTTCGTGGGCGCCGTGCTCACACTCGGAGCCGCCATTCTGGTCAGCCAGGCCGCCAGGCAACGACCAGCCACACAGACACCCAGCAGAAACGACGTGTGTGTGTGTGTGTGTGCATGTGGTTTAGCAAGGGCTGACTTTTGCTGTCAATGAGAGATTCCTCACCGGGTAGATTTGACACGGAAGTGATTCACTCGTGATGGATGGACGGATGTGTGCAGCCCCGGTGCGGTGTCTGGTCCCAAGTTGGTTGCCATGATGGGCATCATCAACCTGGCCCTGCTGGTCGTGTGGACGGCCGTGTGGACGGTCCCGCAGTTCGACAAGCTGGTGCTGTCCAACATCCGGCGGCACAACGGCCATACGGGGGCCATCCTGATGGGCTTCCTGGGGCTGTTCCTCTGCGGCTTTGTGCACTCGGCCACACTCTGGTACCTCATCAAGAAAATCGGTAAGGCTGTGGGGTCATGCATCGACAGCTGGGATGGAGGTGGGAAATGGATCGAGGTTCTATGTGTGTGTTTAGGTGCGGTGAGTAGTGGTGTGATGAAGGGTCTCAAGACGGCGAGCGTCTTCGTTCTCAGCCACTACTTCTTCTGCAGCATACAGGTCAGTGAGTCGGCCAGCACATCACCCCATTCACTCCTCCGTGCTTGACTGTGACTGTGTGTGTGTGTGTGTGGGTGTGTGCAGTCGAGTCAGTGTCTGACGCCCACCAAGGCCATCTCAGCTGCCGTGTGTGTGCTGGGCGTGCTGCTCTACTCCATCTGCACACCACCCGACGCAGCCGCCGCAAGAGCCGCCGGCCCCCCACCTCCTCCCGCCGACAAGACCGTGAAGCGCGGCGACAGCAAGCCCTTCCGCCTTCGGTCGAATGAGCACCTGGGCCTGCTCGAGTCCTTTGCGGATGAGCAGCTCGAAGAAGGGGCGGCGTTCCACTCTAACGAAGAGGGCGGCGGCCAGAACAGTGATGACACTGGCAAGGGGGAGGCGGGGGCGAAGAAATGACAGAAAGTGTAGCGAGTGGTCGGTCAATGAAGCAGTAAGGTCGGGGTGGTGTACAGTGCGAGCAGAGCTATGAAAGGCTGAGTGGGTCTCTTGGCAACGATGCGAGAGACAGAGAGAAAGAAAGAAGGAAGAGAGAGAGAGAGAGAGAGAGAGAGAGGTGTCGGACAGGTATGTATGTTAGGCATTTGCATTTGGTTGCTATGCACGAGATCGATGCATGGATGGATGGATGGATGGCCTGCCCGCCGCCCTCTCTCTCTTTGGTCACTCTCTGTGTGACTGTGTGAGAGTGTGGTTGTATTTATGTCTGTGGCGGCGAGGACCGGGAGGGACTTTCACAGACACACTGGCCGAGAAGAGTTTTGGAGCGCTTTACTGACTACCTCAATCCTTATGAAAGGAGCCTGCTCGTTTCCCCTTGAAGGATTTACCGATCCGTAAATTCGCACAAAGGCTCCCTTACTTGCCATGCCCTCCCTTGTCCCTCACTTGTGTGTGCAATCACATTCAATGAAATTTGACGGACAAGTAAAATTGGCCGTCACAGTCAGCCCAACAAGCGAGACACGAGTGCTATGTCTACTAGTTAAGCGTCGGAAGCCCTTTCGCCGAGTCTGCACACGCCCTACACGCATGACGTGATGCCATACACGTACACTCAGCGACATGGATGGATGCAATCTATCAAGCCGACAACATGATCCATACAAACCTGCATCAGCGTTTCCCCCTCCTTATTTTGCCGTGTCTCACTCCCTGCCGAAAGCCTCTTCTCCATCGATCAGCTAAAGTGCTGCTGCCAAGGCTGCTTGACGGCATGAAGCGCCGAACAGAGAGGCTCAGTCTCCCTCTTGTGGCACTGAGGCAGCCCCTCTCGCCTCCTCTGTGTCCATCTTCACTCGCAGCGCTGCATGTGTGCGACCGAGACGACTGCGCTTCGTCATGACGGTGAACAGCATTTCCGCCATCCGCTTCTGGATCAGCAAAAGGGTTGATGATGCGGATCATCGTTCCGTCGTCAGATCGAGCGGCAGTTTCCCCGCTCAGCAGAGGCACACTTGGGCATGGTCCTTGATGCGTCGCGGGAGGCGGCAGGACACAGGGCACATAGCCGCACATGGGCTGGGGTGTCCTCGCGGGCACGAACAGATGGCAGTGAGGCAGATATGGCGATGTGCTGTGGTCCAGGTGACGAAGAGCGTGAAGATCGGCGGACGAGCGCGAAGAGCCGAGCAAGACAGGCGGGGAGGAAGGCGGGGAGAGCGCGGGGACCGCCACCATTGGGATACTCGCGTATGAGCGGGTGTGCGGTACGCCTGCTGTCTTGCTCACACCGTCGACTTCTGCCGAGTCCTTCTCTTTCGTGTCTCGCTGCTCATCATTTCTGGCCGCCGCGGCTTTCTTGCCCCTGCCACCGAGGGTGAGGCGCCGGCAGCGCTCATTTCCATACGCGGCCAGGCTGAGCCGCACGCCGGGGCTCTGTTGTCTCTCTGCCGAGGGACAGTGCTGATAGTAGCAGCTCTCTTGGCTGAGGCGGCCTCTGGCTGCTGGGGAGTGTGCTGCAGGAAGCATTGGGGGTGAAGTCAGCTGTGTGGCCTTCTTGCTTCTGCGCTTGCGGTCCGCCCGTCCGATTGCCGAAGAAGGACATGTCTCGTCTGGAGATGGTTGGTGAGGGCTGCCCTCGTTCACAGGATCTTGCTCTTGGCTTCCCTGTGCATCGGTCTTCTCGCTTTCTTGTTTCTCTTGACAAGCCTTCTGCGGGATGAACCGACACGTAAGCGGGGGCGATTCCGACTCATCACCCGCTTGTTGCTGAGAGAGGGACGCGTCATGTCTTTCGGAGATGGGGGGGCTCATGACAATGCCGTTGATTGGAACACTCAAGCGAGACACAAAGGGAAAAGACGAAGACGCCGGAGCCACACCGCCGTTGTCGTCATCCTCTGTCTCAGAAGCCTCCACGGCATGCATTTCCTTGGGCGAGCGCAGCTTGTCCCGACCTGCCGTCGCTTCAACAGCTGCGGCTTCCCTTGCCGCCTCTTGCTTCTCCTCATGCCTCAGTGCCTCAGCCACCAGATCGGCGTCCTCCTTTCTCAGAAGCGCCGTGACATCAGCCACATTATCCCTCGGCATCTCGGTTTTCGTTTTTGCTGCCTTGATTCTGCTCCCCGCTGCCGCGACGAAGTCCCCTCTCATCGCCAGGTGCCCATAAAAGGCCATCGACATGCTGCCGTGACAGGGCGGCGGTCCTTCCCATTTGCTGGGTTGACCAAATTGCACAGACGCAACCATGGTGTGTGCAGTTGGTGGCGGCGGCACACAGGGCCGTGGCGGCGAAGGGATCAAGGCGTGTGTGTGCCCCAGGTGCTGGTGTCTCTTCCACTTCTTGGAGGTGCCTTTCGTGTTGAGCAGTGATCTGCGCGGCGGCTCCCTCAGTGGGGATCTCGGTGGCGACGACGTGTTGAGCTTGACTGCACACGCTGGCGACGTCGGAGGTCTGGCTGAAGTATTGGTGCCGGTGGCGGTGGTGCTGTTGCCGCCAGCAGCGTTGCTCTGCAAACAGAAAACAGCAAGGGAAGACAATGGAAAATACTAGTTGTCGCACTCGTCTCTTTGTCTGTCTGTCTGTCTGTCTGCCTTCCTGGTTCTCTGTACAGGAGATTCAAGGATTGGCAAGGGCTCGGTGAAGAGGCTGTCAAATGGTCCTTCCATGGGGAGCGGGACAGTGCGAGGACGGCGCACTATCACGTCAGTCGCCTGTGAAAGAACCGGCGATGACACTTTTCGCATGTGTGGCCATCTATCGTTCACACTGCACATACCTGGTTGACATCATCGGCGTCCGTCTTAGCCTTGTCGTCCGTGTCGCCCACAACACCGCCTGTCGGCGTGGGAGGCTCCTGCAGCTGCATGTCTGGAAACTTCCTCATCAGCTGCTCCACATCCTCACTGCTCAGCACCTTGTCTGCGTCCATCGCGTCACCAGCATCCACGCCTCTCGTCTCTCTGGAGGACTTCTTTTCTTCTTCCAAGCTGGTGTCTCTTTTCTCAACCTCGCCCTCGGGCGTCCGTGGCACTTCAATGGGCGGTGGTGGTCGCCGCTTCCGGGCCGGTGTGCGGGCATCGGATCTGTTGGCCGGCCTAGATGGACGCTGCGATGGCCTGGCCTTCAGGTCCTCCTTCAGGTGCTGAGCTGCTACTGCTGGCGTCTTCGGCACCTGTGCGGACCTGCCCGCTTGACCCTTCTCTTCGACGGAGTCCTTTTGGGAACCAGGCGGGGCGGGAGACGCGGGCATCGACTGAGAGACCTCCGTCTTCTGCTGGCCTTCCTGTTGTTCTTGACATAGAGGTTGCGGAACCGGCTCACGTGGTGAGGGCGGAGGCGGCGCTGTCACTGTCTGGGGGTGGCTACTGGATGATGAGGGGGGCGGCGACGGTATGCCCATGCTCCTCCTCTGCTTGGACAGCAGCAGCTGCCGAATCGCACGGTTGATCTCCGCCGACGTCACTGTCTTGTCTATCACGCCGGCTGCCTCGCCCTCCTTCGCCTGCTGCTCCTTTTCCTGCAGCCGGGCCATCCTCTTCTCCTGCAGCTCTTTCTGCTTGTCACGCAGCCGTTTGATCTCAGCATTGAGGGCTTGCAGACGAGCTCGGGCTGCAGGGGAGACATCCCGGTTGCGCAGCGATGCCGATGGGACGCCCCCTGCACGCATGGGGATGAGCTTCCGCGACGGCGAGCGGCTGACAGCGGCTGGTGCGTCTGCTGGATGCGCAGACTCGTCCTGTTGTTTTGGCTCTTCCTGCACTGGCGCAACTGCTGCTGCTGCTGCTGCTGCTTTGGCGGTGACGACGGAAGGCGTGTTCTGCACGGCTGGGGCCGAAGGCCTGACTCGCCTCTCTCTCACGCGGATGCAGCTCTTGGATCGCCGGTCGATGCTTGTCGCTGTGGCGTCTTTGGCCTTCTGTGGCTCGCCTTGTTTGTCTGTCACGGTGAATCCTGCCTTGGTGGGCGACGACGGCTGTGTCCGCAGGTGGGTGTGCTTCTCGACGCAGCAGGAGTCCTCTCCCTCCTTGTCTCTGGGTGAGACAGGCGACTGGTCTGGGGGGAAATGTGAGAGGATCTGCTGGTCGGTGAGACGGCCGCCGGTCCTGAAAATGGCGTTCTCCCACTCCCATGGTGAAGGAATCTCGTTGGTCTCGCCCTGTGTTTGCAAAGTGGCCACACGGGAGAGATGGATGCATGGAGTGTGTTTGTGCTGCTTCGTCTCTACCAGTGGGTGGATGCCCTTAGCAGTGGCGAATTTGAATATGTCTCGCACCAGCAGGGCAAAGTCGGGGCCGTGGTTCATGTGCTTGAGGTGCGCCAGCTCGTGGAAGAGAATGGCCAGCTGCGTCGGACGGCTGATCAAATCCTGACACAGCCGGCGACGCGAAGGGGACTGTCGTTTTCTCTGTCTCCGTTTATGTGTGTTCATTGGGTACGTTTGGTGCTTCTTTCTTGCGTATGCGTATGCGTATAGTGGCGAGCCACCGTATCTCGGTGTACACTTCACCGTCACTGCCCTCACGCCTGCACACACCGTCACCCTCTCTTCACTGCAGCAATCCATCGACGGATGGATTGATTCACTCACTTGACGATGAGAGGGTCTTTGATCGTGACCCCGGCCTTCTTGGCCTGGCAATCATGCTCAGACAGAAACGAGTACCTACACACACACACACACACAGAGAGAGAGAGAGAGAGAGATGAAATATGTAATATGTCATGTGTGTCCCTTTGTCTGGCTTGCGAGTCATTCATTCATTCATTCATTGGATGGTCCACCGTAGTTTGAAGTGTCTGCAGATGGGCGCGGCCACCTTGGTGTGCAGCTCGTGAAGAATCTCAGTCACCTCCTTCCGACGACATAGCCACACCCTCTCACCATTCAACTGGGTCAGCACACACGCACATTTGAGCACAGAGAGGCGCTTGTCGCTCGATTTGCTCACGATTGTGTGGTTGAAGGTGAAGTAGTGTGCCTGCAGCATCGAGTCACCGGCAAGGGCGCCGCGAGGAGGGGAGCGCACACCGCCGACAGCAAAGGGGGACAGCGAACGGCGATGTGACGGAGACACACCTGATCGACAGATCAGAGCACCTACTCACATGTGTTGTCACACCATGTGTCTCGCCGCTGACCAGCTCTTGCAGCCGCTTCCCCTACAACATGTCTCTGTCTGACGGGCGAGCAGGAGCTCCCCCGCCTCATCCGCGCCCTCTGCAGCGCCTCGTTCTCGCCCCCCCTGTCCACCGCAGTGTCCATCGCCCTTGGCGTGTGCTTGACCGTCGTGACACTGGTGTCGCTGATCTGAGGGCCTGGCCCTTCAGGCGGTGCGGGCTCAGCTACAGGCAGCGGGCCCATGGCAGTGTCTATCCGCGTTCGCTGTGTGGTCACCACACTCTGAGAGCGATAGCAGGGATGGTCATTATTCGTGATGAGAGGAAGGGCTTCCCGTCTCGCTGTGAGAGGCGGCTCCTGGCTGTCCGCAGCCGTTTCCTCCCCTTCAATCTTACGATGGGTGGGCGGTGGAAACTGTGACGTGCTGTCATTGGACGCACCGCTGCGGCTTTTGCTGCAGCTCCGAGAGCTCCCACCATCTCGACGAGACATCCTGGGCGGGCCAACGATATCTTCGCTCTCTTGCCGTTGTTGGTCTTCCTTCCGTCTGGCGGAATGGGCCTCACTTTGGCTTCCCGGCGCCGCCAGGGGAAGACTGCCGATCCCCTCCCGGGTGGTTTTCTGCTGCATACGTCGGGTGAAAAGCCTGCCCTCCTCCTTGAGCGTCCTCCGCACAAACGCCACGTACTGGTCATCCTTCGCGGCATAGTGCATCAGCCGTCGATTCTCTGGGGACGTGGTGACGGGGTGCTCGTCGCTGCCCGGCATGGACTGGACGCCGTCCGGACGGAAGAGCGACGAGCTGCGGATGGGGTATATATCGATCCTCGCCCGAGTGCTGACCGACTCGTGTCGCTTGCGGCCGCGGGAAAGCTCCCGCTTGTGCTTTGGCTTCCTGTGCTCGACGGGAGGGCCGCCCGGCTGACCAGAGGGGTCTGAATGGGTGTGTTGGAATGGCGAAAGAGGGGACGGGGGAACTTGGGGCTCTTCGACTGGCTCTTGCTCCGATGCAGTGGGGCTCTGCTGCTGTTGCCGGTGGCCACTTGTGTGGATGCATGAGGGTGGCAGTGAGGGCGTGGTTGTGGCTTCTGTTTGAATGGATGGCTGAGCAGGCCGTTGCAGTGGCGGAGACACCAACAAGGGCGAGCCAGACGAGGCGGCCTGGTCCCCCCCTCCCTCACTTGCTTTCGTCCTCACGTCGCCGCCGCCGTCCTTTCTGGCCCTCCTGCCGTCTTTCCGTCTGGAGGGCGTGTGTTTGTCCCTCTGCTCGCTGCCGATCCTCCGCTCAATGTGCTTGAGCCATACCGACTCGGAGGCCGTGCGATTCATGGCATTGTTGTCGTGGTGCACTCCAGAGCGGCTTTGCACTCTCTTGTGGAGCTCCTTGCGATGCGCCACCACGCACATGCCGCTGCCGCACGCACCACTGCCATCCGACTCAGCGCCGTCAGCAAGTGAGGGAGTCGCCCCGCATTCCGCTCCTTGTCCCTCCAGGACCTCTGCTGCATTGTAATTGATGCTCGGGGACGGGAGAGAATCGCAGTGGCTCTTTGTCACCTCCATCGATAGTTTTACTTCTGCCACAGTGCATGCATGGGGGGGCTCTTGGGGGGCGCGAGCTCGGGGCAGTCTCCCTCTGAAAGTCTCCATTGTGTTGGATCTTGAGCCGTGTCGATTCACTGTCACAGTGACGTCTCAAGATGAAGGTTCCCCCGTGCATGCTCGTGGTGCTGATGGCGGTTGTGATGACGTTCTCGGCACAGGTCACAGAAGAAGCCGCTGGACACGAGCAGGGCCCTGAGGATGTTGTGGGATTTCCTGTTATTGATATTCAGGTGGCCTCCACCGACGCGAAGGCTGGCCTGCTGCGGTCCCTTGGAACACGGCATCGGAGATAGCGTGACTGGCGTGGATGGCGTCGCTGGGCGAAGGGACACCATGATTGCAATTGGAGGGTCACTTGCTACCATCCTCTCAGTTATGCCGATGAGCACGACGACGGTGCAGGGCCCTTCGGGAGCCTCGAAGACGCCGCAGACGACACCAAGCGTCCCTGCGTCGACTCCGGAGTGTACGTGCAATAAAGGAGACAGAGACGCCGTCCATTCGGCAGACACATACCTGCATGGATATGTGTGGCAGGACGGGTTGTGTGTATCCCGAGGTGTGCGAGGCGCAGTGGAATAGCCACACGGGATGGACATTTAAGGGATGCAGAACACCCGAGAGTGAGAAGAAGGGAGGGAGTCTCAGAGACACGCACAGAAAATGCCCACATATGTCCATTTCTCCGATGCAACGCAGCGGGTCGACTTCGGATGCCCGCCGGCCGCGGCTCTGCCAACACACGTACGTCCACCACCGAGAGTGAGACGGACGACAAAGTGGATGAGGACAACTCTGACCCGCTGGATGTCCACACCGATGACGGGGGCAACAGATATGTCGTCCTGCCCGGTAGGCAGACACGCAGAAAGGCTTCCTTTGGTCGCATATATGTATGTAGGCGTGTGTGTGCACGTGTCTCTCCTTTAGACGGCAGCAGACGCTACATCGTCGACGACACGGACGACGACACACAAACAAAGGCCACCAGCCCCTCCTTCAATGCCACTATGGTGACCCCCGGCGACTTCACACTCCTCGGCGAAGGGGTGTGCCGCGGGTGGGACAAGGATGCGAGTCAGGTGCCCGATGGGGCAATAGTCAAGGAGAAGGTGAGAGGAAGAGACCATGTCACGTGTCTCGTGTCGAGTGTATAGAGGGGACTGACAGACGTGTGGCATGCATGTGTGTGTCCACAGGGTGTGCCGTATGTGCAGTGTTTTCAAGGCTGCCGAGACATGGGCTGGTGAGCAACTGGTCACAGAAGTGTGGGACAGTGCCAGTGCATGCCCTTCGCTTCTTTGCTTCAGGGCGTGCACGGGCATTGACTACGTCCGTGAGGGGCTGATTTGCACCACCTACCAGTTCGTGATCGATGAGGCCAAGCCGGTGTCGGCTGGCAAGGCCGCGAGATGCTTCAAGTACACACCCCACACCTGATGGCTGTCTGTTTGTGTCGGCTTCGTGCGCCCGGCCTTCCGTGGATGCGATTGATGCATGTGTACATGTGAGGGTTTCTGTGGGTGGGGGGTCTGGTCATGCAGTGCTTTGGGTGTCACGGGCCGCAGGGAATTGTTCTCTTTTCTGTGTGATGTGACTGACATGCATCATATCAAGAGCTACAACGGATCTGATTGTTTGATGAATAAAATAAAGCGTCACGGCACGTTGCGGTCCATAGTGTGTATGTATGTATGTCACAGCAATTTATGTACATCATACTGACATACACTCTGTCTGTTCTGTTCTCTTATCGGTCGAGCCGTCTGCCGGGCCCCCAGTCGTCCCCACGCCCGTCCCACCGCCGCCCCAGCCACCCCCAGAACGACCCCCACGCGTCGCTCAAGCATTCGAACACACTGAATGACGACCGCTCACGGGAGAGCCACAGCAGCAGCAGCGCCACCGCCAGGAACCCCTGACACATAGACGGCCGCAGGGAGTCCAAAGACAGCCATGACGAGGGAGGTGCGGCGCGGGTGTGTGGCTGTGGTGTGCTGTGCGAGTCGAGTTACCTGAAGGGCTTTGTCCTGCCTGATGTGGTGTATCGCCGTGTGTGCCGCCAGCACAGTGTGGTGCACACTCGGCCAGAACAGAAAGGGCATCACCTCCTAACACAGCGCAACACACACCACACAGACACATACAGCTCGACACACACGCACATACACAGTAACAAGTGTGTGTGTGTGTGCGCACCGCACCGCACCGCCCCTCACCTCCACCACGAGCAGCGTCCCGTATGTGTAGACGAGCCGTCTGAGAAGGGGGTACTCGTCCAGCAGCCTCTCCGACAAGGGATAGGCACACGCCAGCAGAAACGACAGGATCTGGAACCGTGGCGATAAGGGCAGGTTGGCGTAGTAATCGAAGAGATTGGCGTTGGATGCGGGAGGGAAGTCCGTCAAGTAGTAGCGGAGATCTTCTCGCCACGCCAGATGGGTCACGCGCCTCATCGTGAGCAAAGAAGACCTCCTGAGAGCAAAAGAAGGAACGATGCAGGCACAACACAGGAAGAATCGATGGATGGATGGATGGATGTGCAGTCCACGTGAATACTGAATATTCTTACCACATTTGTGCCTCGTCTGCTTTGCTGACGAGCGTCGTCGGGGCGCCCTGGACCGCCTGATTGAGCATGGCCGTCAGGTTGTTCTTGGCTCCATCAAGCGCACCCCAAAACCCATCACCAGCCGTCATGCTCACAGCCTGAAGGTAGCCTGAAGGCTCTTCCCAGCTGCTGCGACGCGAGTCTGTTTGTCTGTGTTGCCGTGGCTTCTCGTGACGATGGTGGATGCCGACAGGGGATGCTTTCAGCAGCTGACGGAGGAGGTCTGCGCGCTTAGCTGCGACACAGTGCGAGCTGGAGGTTTTGCCGATGAGATCTCCATGTATGTCCGATGCTCCGCCGAAGAGCTGCTGCAGAGAACGACTGATGGAGAGGAGGGCCGTGGATTGGATTGAGTGATTGATCTGTCTTGTGTGTGGAGGGGTAGATGCAGCTGGCGTCCTCCTCCTCCCAGGCACTCCCGTTTCACTACCAGCCGACGCCCAACTGCAACAAACTCCTGCACCTCTCGTGTGAGCAATTCCACAGACAGACAGACAGACAGACAGAGAGGGAGGGTGGCAGCGGGAGGGTGTGTCACATGCATGGCGGAGATCCCTCCTTGTGCGCTTGTCTTGCTGTTGTATCCAACCAACCCCCCGTTTGTGTGTGGTGGTTCGTTTGTTGGTCGATTGGTTGGCTGTGCCTGTCTGTGCGTGGCTGCAGTTCTGGGTATCCGTGGCCTGGCCACGTCATCTCCACTCGTATCGTCACCCTCCTCGACCAACGAAAGTCAGCCACAGAGAGAGAGAGAGAGAGAGAGAGAGAGATAGAGAATGAATGAACCCCCGACAAGCCACAAGCAACAACCCTCCTCTCTCTCCCCCTCTCTGTGCACATTGCGACTGACTGTCAGAGGATGTGTGGTCGGAGCGTGATCGCATCAAGGTGTCCGACCTGCTCCCGCCCGCCATGCGGCCCGGCGTCAGCGGCAGTGGGGCGGTGGTTGGCGGCCAGCCACAGGGCATGGCGCAGCACAAGGAGCCCGAGGTGGTGCTGCTGGCAGAGACCAACGAGTTCCAGACGGCCTGCAGGTGGTCCAGCAGGTCATCACACTGCATCGTCGTGTAAGCTGGAGGCAGGGAGGGAGGGGTGTTGTCAATATGCATGTGTGTGTGTGTGGATGCTTGAATGAATCAGTCCTGCGACCTTCTCATGGCCCATTGTGGTCCACCTCGCCGTCAAGCTGCCGCAGACACAGACCCTCCACAGAGTCGGGTAAGACCGCAGCGCAACCACCACCACCACCACCACCACCACCACCACACACACACCACACACACACACACTCTCTCTCTCTCTCTCTCTCTGTCCCCTTCTCATTGCGCCCACAGAGAGCTGGACCTCACCCCTCCCCCCCGGCCCCCATCCTCGCTCTCTCACGGCTCCCGCGCAGCTTCCCCGCCAAACAGCACCACCACCACGACCACCACCAGCACCACCACCACCACGAGTGTGAGTGTGAGTGTGCCGACCCCTGCGAGTGACAGCGCGCCGACGAGTGCTGCGGGTGAGGTGCCCAATCGCGTCTTCGACAAGTGGGTGCCGCTCAAGCTCCACGTGCACAGGGACTCGCTCACACAGAGGGACAAAGAGAGGTGAGGTGCGCCGGGCCGGCGAGGGAGGGAGGGAGGGAGATCAAATCAGTGCAGTGGGCAGTGTGTGTGTATGTGTGTATGTGTGTGTGAAGGTGTGTGGAGGTTCGTGTACAGTTGGCCTATGCCACGCCTCTGCCCTTCTGGTCGAGCCAGCCACCGCCGGCCGACGGACTCACCAAAGAGGACAGACAGCTCATTGAGGTTGGTTGGTTAGCAAACCGAGGGAGGCAGTGCAGTCAGGCTGTTCGTCCTTCACGTCATGTGTACGTGTATGTGTGTCTCGTTGTGATTGATATGTTTGTGTTTGTGTAGGCTTTGAATGAGACTTCCTTGGCGCTGCCGTTGAGTCTGTATGACGTGGCGGGCGTCTCTATCGCAGGTCGGCCCGCTCTCTCCGTGCGTTGATGTGGGTGTGTACCTCTCTGTGTGTGTACATCTGTGTGTGTGTGTGTGTGCACAGACAGGGTGTGTGAGGCCCTGATGGTGCTGCTGGAGCCCACCAGGAACGTGCAGCTCTTCAGGCGAATCGTCCAGACCGACACACACAAGATGAGTAAGCAAGCCCACCCCACACCCACACCCACACCCACACAGGTGCACTCTGCAGAGGCATGTTTGTTTGTGTGTGTGGTGGTGTGGTGGTGTGTAGCGTCGCGTGACGCGCAGAGCAACGTGTACATAGCTGACCGCCGGCTGCTCAGCTGCATGGCCGTCAACATCTCCCGCTACCTCCGGGCCTACAGCCGGCTCTTCCTCCGCTCTCGCATCAAGAAGACCTTCGGACCCGTCATTGCCAAGGCCGTCCTCAACCCCCACGTATGTGTGTGCTGTGCTGTGCTATGTGAAGCATCGAGAAGCACACACACGGAATGTTTATCTGTGTGTGTGTGTCTGTGTAAGGTGTGCGACGGCGCCATAATGGACAGCTTTCTGGACGGGGCGATAGAACTCATGGACACCATTGCACCGTGAGCAAAAGACGGAGAGCCAAGCCAAGCTTGGGGCCACCACGAGCTTGGCTTGGCTGTGTTGGATGGGACAAATGATGGCGGTGTGTCTCTCTCTTGTGTGATGCTATGCTGTGCCCATCCATGCCGGTCGGTGTGCAGGGGTCTGATTCGCGTCATGGCCGACACCCTGTCGCTCAAAATGGCCAACCCCAGAAACGCCACATCAGGTCAGTCAGGTACACACACGAGTGAGTGCAAATGGCGGGCGGCTGTCATGCCATGCCAATCAAAATGGCGAGTGAAGTGAATACAACCTGTGTGTGTCTGTGTCTGTCTCTGTGTCTTTGTGTGCGTTGGGTGGCTGCAGGATGTCTGATCACGCATTTGTTCGGCCCTTGTCTGGTGCTGCCTGTCGAGTATGGCGTGCTCGACACCAACCCCACGCCCAACGCCAAGAAACTACTCGTCAGTGAGAAAGGAAGAACCCACATGGGGCGCCCCCTTCCTTACACATGGCTGCATGCGTGTGTGCATGTGCATGTGTGTGTGGGTGGTGTAGGTCCGGTGCTACCGCGCCTTGGTTGCGTTTCTGACGTCCCACATCTATGCGCACGGCGACTACTGGCCCAACGTCGACTACCTCGTCGACACCATCTCGGACGACAAAATGCCGAGGATCGCATCCAAACTCGAGCAGCTGCTGGTCAGTCAGGGACCACACACACATGGACCAATGCCTGCAATGCCTGCCGCTTCCACGTGTGTGTGTCGGTTGTGATGAATTCACTCATCGACCAACCAGCACAAGTCTCGGTATCGGTATGCCGAGTACTGGGATGCGACAACCTTCTACCCCGACGGACCGCCGACCGAACCATTCAAGTAAGAGTGCACTCAAGCCAGCACACAAACGCAGGGAGGGCCTGCCCGTCTTCACTGGTTGGTATGTGCAGGTGTCTGGCCTGTCGGTTTGTACGGTCGCTGCTGCGCGAGCGCCTCCCCTTCATCCAGAAGACCCACCTATACGGAGTAGGGGAGGGAGGGAGTGAGGCATCGATCGAATGAGCAGACAAACAAGAGAGCCAGCACACGTCGCCATCTGTCGTGCTGCAGGAGCAGTTTGCGCCCCTGACCTACCGGCTGCAGCAGATCCTGGCCACCGGCAAGGTGGGTAGCACAACACCTCTTGTGTCTTCCCCATCCCGCAGGGCACGTGTGTGCAAGTTAAAAGTTGTGTTTGTCAGGGTGTGGACGATCGTCGGTCGAGTGCGTCTAGCGTGGCGTCGCCGCCGCCCCGGGAGACCCCCGACGAGCTCATCACCGTCACCACCACACCACACGGCGGACAGGGGCTGCTCTATAAAGGTGCCGGGCGCTGGGGGAGACCTACACTCACACCGCTCCACACACACATACGTCATCCACACGCAGTATCTGTGAGGGGCGCGCTGTTCCTCATCCTGTCTGTGTGCGTGTGCGTGTGCGTGTGTGTGTGTGTCTGCAGGGAGTTATGTGCGGTCTGAGGTGTGTCGTCGGCTGAGTTGGCTGCTGGAGCGGAGTCTGCAGGTCACCAAGAGGGAGCTCATCGAGAAGAATATACTCAAGGGTAGGCAGGCCAGCTGGGCTGTCTTGGGCGCCGCCCCTCGTTCGTTTGTTCAAACTCCTGTGTCTGCCTGCCTGCCTGTGTGTGTGCCTTTGTCCATCTCCATGTGTGCAGGCATGTCGATAGTGAAGCGGTCGTCCCGCCCGCTGGCGGCCTTCTTTGCCAACAGGAGACCCAAGCTGCAGGACCTCATCAACCAAGGCAGTAAGGACACCACACACACAGACACACACACAGACGCACACACACACGGCGCAGACACAGAAGGACCGCATGGATGGTCGGCCGGTCTGTCTGTCTGTCTGTCTGTGCAGAGCTGCCCCCCGACTACCTGTCGACCTTGTTTCCCCCCGAGCGTCGTCTGGCGCCCCTGTCCACCCCGCCCCACCTGCTGCCCACCATTGCCCTCTCCTCCCCCACCCCCTCGCCCAACGCAGCATTCCCTCCCGTCTCGGCCAACAGAGGGGCGGTCGTGGCTGGACAACATCCCACTGGCAGGACACACTCACCCCCAGCGCTCATTCAGCAACAGCAGCAGCAGCAGCAGCAAAAACAGCCGCCGGCGGTTTCTGTATCTTCACCTGCACCTGCGCCTGCAGCTGCACCGCCCGCATCTGTCGCGAGGCGGGCAGAGGAGGAGAGGGACCCTGCGATTGTGGAGATATGGCGCAAGGGCGAGGTGGTCAAGGACGGCACTCCTCCTGGGGTGGGCGTGGGCGTGGGCGTGGGGGTGGGGGTGGGGGTCAAGAAGAAGAACAACAGTCACCACGTCAACGAGGCCGTGGGAATGATGAACGGCCCGGTGCAAGTGACGACAGCCCCTCAGGTGGACTTCATCTCGATGCTCGCCAAGGGAAAAAAGCAGCAGCAGCAGCAGCAGGATGCCGCCATCAATCGGCACGTATACCCCCCCGCCCCGCTGATCCCCCCGCCCACCCTCTCACCAGCACCAGCAGCAGCAGCAGCATCAGCAGCATCAGCAGCATTAGCATCGGCAGGAGGAGGAGCCCATGTGATGGAGAAGTCTCTGTCCAACCCCAATCTGGCGCGGCTCCACCAATCGCCCAGTCCCACGGGCAGCGACGGCCCTGAGGTGCGCGTGTACCCCTTCGACCACCACCAGCAGCAGCAGCAGCAGGACGCTCCTGCTGGTCCTCCTGCTGCTGCTGCTGCTGGTGGTGGTAGTAGTGGGGGCTGGGGAGGGGGCAGCACCAGATCGCAGGCATCGGACCAGGCGGTCAGTGAGGGAGACAGACAGACAGACAGGCAGACAGAGAGACAGAGAGAGAGAGGGGGCAATGTTCTCTGTCTGTGTGTGTCTGTGCATCAATCCATCCATCACTCAATCAGGACATCGAGTATGAGGTTGAAGAGACGGTGGTGGTCGACCAGTGCCAGTCATACGTCTACCTGAGGAACAGGCCCAACTACTACGACGACGCCATTCCCACTGCCACCAGTACTAGTGGGGCACGAGGGATACTCGCCAAGGGCAGGAAGGGCCGGTCGGCTGACAGCAGCCCCACCCCCCACCAAGTGGACCACGACCACGGCTCAACGTCCTCTCCCCGAGACCTCACCATCGCCGCCCTCGGCCCCCCACCCCTGCCGAGCGGGCTCAGCAGCCTCATCACCGACAAACGATCTGGTCAGTGTCGACCAAGGAAGGCGCGAGAGCACACAATGGTGGCACGGAGGAGACATGTTGTGTGTGTGTGTGTGTGTAGGTCACCATTACCAGGCGTGGGCGTGTGAGTCTGCGGACGTGCCGCCTCCGCCCCCCCAGGCGCCCCACCAGTCGGGCCTCATCGGCGGCCAGTGGGCGAGGGCGTCGCCCGACGACCTCCGGCGGCACATCAAGTCGCTGCAAGAAGTCATCACTAACCTCAACGCACAACTCAACCATGTCAGCCGACACGCCCACAGACAATGGGAGACTGTGTGACGATCTGTCTGTCTGTCTGTCTGTCTGTCGTGTGCCTGCAGGAGCGAGAAGAGCGTCGAGCGGCCGAATCTCAATGTCAGACGCTGCAGAGCCAACTCCGCACCCTGGAGGCGGCGGCCTCCCTCCCTCCTTCGCCTCCCTTGCTGCCCCCATCCCTCTCGCCATGGCACCTCTCGCCCATCCCACCTGACCTGGACCAACACCAGCTCCACAGATCATCCTTCGCCCACCCGCATTACCGCCACCTCTCAGTGCGCACACGGACATCAGCCGACCTCTCGCAGCCCTCCTCGCCCCTCCCGCCACACTCACCAGCCGAAGAGCCCACCCAGGGCGGGTTTGCCATCCCATGGGGGTTTGGTCGAGGAGGTCGGGTGGCGGCCATCACACCAACCCACCAGCAGCAGCAACAGCAGCAGCCCCACTCGCCTGTGAGCCCGGCGGGCGGTGGCGGCGGCGGCGGCGTTGGTGTTGGTGTTAGTGTTGGCGTTGGCGCTGTGGTGATGCGGGCGGCTGCTGGCGGACATGGCCCGCCGGGGCATCGTCTGTCCCTGACTGATGAGATGGGCAGGAATGCGCCCGCTTTTCTGCAGACAGTCCAAGGCTTCATTAGGAGTGACCACGGCCGTCCGCAGAGATAGATAGGGGACCGGACAAGTGACTGATTGCGTGAATTGGTGGGACGATGTGCGAGCGACATATACACACATGTGGGTGGCCGTATGGATGATGATGGTGTGGTCGGTGAGTAAGTGTGTATGTGGCGGGTCGCTCATGGCCGGATGGATTCTCTCGATCGGTCGGCCATGGGTGTGGCTGTGGAGTGAGTGAGGGTTCGTGTGTAAGGCGTTTGTCTGTGAGCTGAGTGTATCTTATAGTATTTTGTTGCATGGCATGCATCTGTCCGATCCGCGCGCCTCCATCAAACCGGCCAGCCGTTTGCAAAATCAGTTGCCACACTTGCCATCATCAATCAATCATCCGATCCAGTGTCCCTCTCCGTCCAGGCCGCGCTGCTCTTCATCTTGACGGCCATCTCACCCTCACCGTCAATATCCTGTTTGCTGGTCTGGTTGGCATCCCTCTCGCGGCAGATCACCGCCAGAACGACCGTGGTAAGCTACACGGAGCACATCTGCACCGAACCGACCATAGAATCACGGCAGATCTGTCCTCCTGGTCTGTGGATGGCTGCAGATGGGTCGGTAGTAGCTCATCGGCTAGGTAGGTTGGCTGCACCCATCCTCCATCCATCCATCCATCCATTCTTTGCTGCTGCGGTCATGCAGGTGCGTCTTGGGCGAATGCCACACACATGGCGGGGTTGAGGCTCTTCCAGGGGAAGATTCAGCTGGCCAAACAACTCAGCCAGTCGTCCCTCGCCCTCAGCAGCGCTGCCCATGACATGCTCACCGGAGCCACGGGCCTCATCGACACCCTGGCGGCGCACCAGCAGCCGGGCACCTTCGTGCAGATGGGCGAGCACTTCAACCAACCAAGGCCGCCCCCGAGGGGGTACAAGAAGTGCACTCTTGAGGAGATGGTGGAGTTTTTGAAGCCGAGGCTCCTCTCAGCCCTCCTGCCAGAGAACGGGGTCTGCATCCGCGACACAAAGAAGATATTGAAAGAAAAGCGCGGTCACGGCCGCTTCACCCGGTGTTTCCTGACGTGTCCACACACGGACTCCTTTTTCGACTGGCACCACCCCATGCTCGGACGCATCTCTTCTCTCGACCTCGCAAACGATCCCAAAATCCCGCCGCCGGGGGCAGTATGCCACCTTTACGACAATTCGGGCAATCCGAAACACAATGAGTGCCAACTCGGCTCCGAAGCCACCAAGTACAGCTTCTTCGCCCTCGACAGGATCGATTTGGCGATGCAGAACCTGGTCGAATACCATGGCCAGTGGGGCGAACGATTCCGTGTCTACCCGGGCCGGCACTATGAGGGGCAGGACAAGTGCGAGGGCATTTACGTGGAGTCCTCGTGGTTCCACCGCGACCTCCCTGAGGGCTATCAGAGGTACAAAATCCCACTGCCCGACCTCGGGGCATGGTCGCACTGCGACGGCTGGTAGGGCGCCTGACGCACATACACACACAAGACACACACTGCAGGCAGCCCATAACGTAGTGAGGGAGGGACAGTGGTGAGGGAGGGGAGGGGGGATGTATCGATCGGGTGATTAAGCCATGGACACTCCGTTTTTCACCTTGCTTCCATCTGCGTCTCGCCGTGCTTCTCTCTCTCAATTTGTCGCACAACATCTTTCTTTGTCCTTTCCGTTTGGCCCCCTTTGTTTCCTCGAGAGAGAAAGGCACACACTTGCAGACAGACGGTTGAAAGAGCCATGCAGGCTTTTCCTGGAATGTCTTGGTTTGTCGACGCTGCTGTGTTGTGTGTGTGTGTGTGTGTGTGGTGTGACTGTGACGCCTGCCTGTCCTGACCACACTCTCTCTGTGTGTTCCCGCTGGCCGGCAGGACAGAGACACCTCACTCACTCACATACACACACGCAGACTGACGGGGGGATAGTGAGTGTGCGGGAGTGCGGGAGTGTTAGTATGGGGCTGGTTGGATGGCTGGATGGCTGGCTGGCTGGCTGGCTGGATGGAATGCCCACGATTTACTTACAAACCACTTACTTACGTTCAGCACTTACTTACATGCGTCCCTTGAGCTGGTGGCAGCAGAAAGAGACGACACACGTCAATCAAAAGGCGGCATGGACGTGTCCATGGGCATGGAGAATACAGAGACGTATGCACCAATTGATCAATGAAATCGTCTCTCATTTATAAAGAGTAGAGACCGAGAAGAACAGAAAGGTCTCGACCTTCCAATCACCACCCACCCGGCATAGTGCGCCTTCATAGCTGCCGAGCGGGCCTCAAATGTGGCTGTCGCGGCCTCCATCTGCGTGAGGGCCGCCGCGCAGTCGCCGACGGCCTCTCTGTATCGGTGCAGCTTGAGATAGCAGGAGGCCCGGTTGGGCAGGAGGGTCCGCTCAGCCGATACGACTATGCGCTGCGGTCGGCCGACGTCGTGCTGGGCTGCCAATAGGACTGCAGGAGGTCCAGGGCGCGGTCGAGGGCTGCCCGGTGGTCGCCTCTGCTGAAAAGCTCATTGCCTTTGGCCTTTTCCTCGAGGGCCGACGAGAGCAGAGCGCGTCGGGCCCCCCCCCTTGCCGATCTGCACGTTCATGGGGCTTCCCTTGCCTCCCCTTGACAAAAGCACTGCCTGCATGGTGGTCGGTGGTGGTCACGCGTGATGGTCGCCGCCCGTTGGTCAGCCCCGGCGCCTCGGTCAAGCCTCTGCCTCTTGGTCAGCCCATCTGTCCCAGGCGGCGTAGTAGGCCTTCATGTCGCCCTGTGCGCTGCAGCTGACGCGCCTCGCCCTCCCCCTCCCCCTGGTTGTCCTTGTGCGGGGCAGTGGCGGTGTCCTTGAAGGGGTTGTCCACCTTGTGTTTGGTCGTTGGGGCCTTCCTGAAGTTCTCCTGCCACTGGTAGAGGTCGTCGATGTAGCTCCTGGTCTCATCGGCGTTGCGGCGGATCTGGTGCTGAATCTCCATGACGTTCCGCTGGCCACTGACTGCCATTGTGGTGGGCTAGGGACTGACAGGTGATGCTGGCGACCAGTCGCTCTGGTCTCTTCGTCAAAGACGGCAAGAGCCGCGAGACGCCCCCACGCAACGTGCTTCCGTGTAAACCAATGGAAGCATGCAAATCGTTTGCCTCAAATAACTTGGCAAGTTAAAAGTTGGTGTTATCGTGTTGTTGTCTTCTCTTTCCTCCAGCGGTTGTCGGCATCATGGATGCAAAGCATCCAGTTGAGGAGGTGGCTGTGCCATTGCGGGCAATGCTCGGTGTTGTGGAACTCGGCATAATGACGCAGGTAGGCACTGCATGCGACGCGATGACTGACACGGAGGGAGCGGAGGGCGCAGAGGCTGCACTGCATGCGTGTGGCTGTCGTCTGTCTGCCCTGCAGGTGTCCAGGACTTTTGAGGAGTTGGTGACGAATCAGACGCTCATCGCCCGCATCCAGAACGTCATCCAGAGCCACAACCTCGGCGGCTTCATGCAGTACAGTGAGCGGCGCTTCACTCGCTGGAAGACCACTGAGGACTACGCCGTTGAGCGCAAGAAGAAACTCTATTACCTCAGCTACGTGATGGAGAACTGCGGCAAGCTGGGCAGCTGGGTATATATGCACACACACACACACACACACACACACACACGGACATGGGCGACAGGGAGGGGCACATTGATTGGTGGATTGCTCCTCGGTGCTTGCTGTCTGTGTGTGTGCAGGCGCCTCTGATGTACTATGCCGAGTCGTTCAAGCGTGTCAAGCTGCCCATCCAGGTGGGCAGGCACCCCAAGGGCACTCATTGATGCGGTCGTCGGGGTGCATTCCTCTGTGTTCTCACCCCCACCGGCCGCAGGTGTGTGAGGACAAGGTCAGCTCTCTGGACAAGGCCGTGTTCGACAGCCGCCCGCACAGCGTGCGAGCCTGGTCACTCTTCAGGTAGGCGCAAGCGTACCCATCACCCCATCCAGCCACTCCCTGTGCCTCTGACTCTTCATGTGTGTGTCCTATGCATAGTCTCTTTGTGGAGGGCTGCACTCGCGAGTTGTCGTTGAAGCGCATCTTGGTGGGCGGCCAGCTGCGCGACAAGCTGGGCAGCAGCGTGCTGACGGTCTATGGCCCGGGGGACCTGCACGCCAACCACCCCTTCGCTGCAGGATACGATGGCACCGACCCCCGCGTCAGCGGTAAGTTCAAGAGAGAGGTGGTGGGAATCAGCCGAGGTAGAGGCGGCTCATGTCTGTCTGTCTGTCTGTTTGTCTGTCTGTTTGTGTGTGTCGGTCAGTGTTGAACGCTGACTATCGCGGCATCATGGATGTGGTTGTGCAACGGTGGGACCCTGGCGCACGCCACACACACATAGACCAGTCCACACAATGACCACCTGGATGGATGAATGGATGGATGTGTGTCTGTCAATGGATGCAGTTTGCAGAAGAAGGCCAAAGCCGAGATGGTGGCGGGTGAGATGCACTTGCCGGCCCCTCTGGTGGCCAATCCGGTGGAGTTCCTTCGCTGCCGCGCACTCATCACGCAGGTATACACACGCACACACACAAAAACACACACGCGCACACACGTGTCTGTGCCTGTGTCTGTGTGTGTCCACCCACAGGCGCCCGACCAGCCCCTCTGGGGCCCCACACGTCGACTGCTGTGTGACACCTACACCGGCGCCCACCGCAAGCGCACCATCGCGCTGTCCGGCCACCGCCCGGGCGACACATTCATGGCCTTCATCGAGCTGGATTGGACCGTGTCCGTGACGGCCATCCTCTACACGACCGAGAAGCGCCGGGCTGGGCAGCAGAATCACCCGGATGGCGAGTTCCCCATGACGGTACAGCTGGTGCGCGACGCACTGGGGCAGCAGGAGGCATGGGACCTGCTGGAGCTCGTGTGAGGTGGATGGATGGATGGGGGACGGTATGTATACCATTGCTGGGAGAGATGTTGATACGTTGGCGGGATTGGGACGGATTTCTTCCTTGCCTGTATGCCTCTGTGTGTGCGTGCGTGTGGATGGACGGATGGACAAATGAGAGATGGGATGGACTGAGAGAGAGATGGGCCAGCACATATATTGCTACTGGAAGAGACGATTTTCTTCCCTTCATCGGTGGTCGCGTCATGTCACATAGAGTTGGCAAAGCTACGCAGATACACTGACCCGGTCATTCACACGCTTCCATCCATCCATCCATCCGTCCAGCCGACCTACGAAAGGCGCTCACGCCACGTGAGTCAGGCGGTCAGTCGTGTGTGTGCAGTAGGAAGCTGAGAGCGGCATGGAATGTCGAGAAGAAGTATGACGACTCGGCCAGGCGGCTCTCGGACGGCTTCTGCGACATGTGCAGGTCCACTAAGGCCGCGTGCGACAGCACCTGGACCAAACCGCTCATCGCCAACGCTCCGATGAACAGACCCAAGACGTCGTCCGCTGTGATCTGTCGGGGCAGAAAGAGATGACTGATGTGACTGATTTCTCCCTTCATTGTGTGTATGTGCGTGTGTACCTCACTCACCTCGACAGGTCGCCTTGACTGCACGGCTCCCCTGGCCGCTTTCTTAGTGTGCTCTTCAACGCTGCCTGAATACAATGCACACACGCATCCCTCCATCCATCGATCGACATGGAGTGCGGGGATGCGGTGTAATGAGTGTGGTGGTGTCATCTCATGCAGTGCAGTCAGTGTGTAGTGTCCTGTACGGTGGATGAGTTGGCAGCTGTCCCGGATGCAGTCGAGCTTCTCGTGAGGGGACGCCAGATCCTCCAGCTGAGTGAGTGATACACACGGTGGACACACACACACATCCACTGGCATTGATGTGCCTAAACCAGTTCCCCCGTTCACTTCACGTGTGTGTGTGTGTGTGTACCTCTTTCAGCTTGTCTGCCGGTGGCTGCAGGTTGACGTCCCGCAACGCCGAAGGAATCTGCGGCGGGCCGGGCCACGACAGACAGTCACACATTGTCTGTCAACTGGCTGCTCGTGCGCAAACCACCAACCAACCTACCTGGAAGTAGTCGAAGAACTGTCTGCTGACGGCGAGGCTCTTGAGTTTCCGCTGCACGATGGCCTCCTTGTCGCTGAGGGCCTTGGTCAGGTGGTCCCACAGAAAGGGGTGCAGCTGGCTGTAGACGTACCTGCACACAGACATAGGGAAGCGGTACGAGATGAGAGAGTGGTGGGTGTGTCCATCCCTCCATCCCTCCATCCATCCATCCATCTGTTGTGTGTGGTGTGGTGTGCGTGCCTTTCCATGGTGAGGTGTAGCTGGTGTCTGTGTTGTCCCATCGCCCCACCGACTTGCTGGCTCTGCTGACGCCATACACGACCCACCTGTGAGTACAGATGCACACAAGCAAAAGGCAGGCAGACAGGCCGGGCACACAGGAGGACAGAATCGTGTAGGTCGGTGGCTGCCTGATGGATGGATGGATGGATGGATGGCTCACTCCTTCACTCTCTGACCGCTTCTGAGCAGATCTCCTGCAGTCGGTACGCCACATCGTCCTCCAGACCAGCCACCTGCAGCCATCGACACCCGCCCGCACACACATCCCTCCGTCCCTTTATCCCTCCCTCCCTCCATCCCTCCCTCCCTCCCTCCCTCACCAGCACGTATGTGTTCTCGAATCGTCGAAGGGTCCTGCTGAGGCTCTTCTGCAGCGTCTGATCCAGCTGAAACCACCTGTTTATGGGGGGCGGACACACGCACACGACCACACACAACAGGGCAATCATGACTTGGGCTGCCATTCGCCAAGCCATCCATCCATCCATCCCCTACTCGTGCACGGTTTGCTCCACGGCAGCTGCGGTTGACATGGCTGCGGCGGATGGCGACCCCTGTGACCCACTGCGTGACGAGTTGCGGCCCCGGCTGGTGGTGCCGCGGCCCGACACGGTGCCGGTGCTCTCAAATCGACCCTGGAGAGGGCGGTCGATGCACACCACTGACGGATGGATGGATGGCACAGACATAGAGGTAGAGTGGTGTTTGAATGAGTTCATTGGATCGTTGTGTGGTGCCTGCCTCCCTGCCACTGACAGACCTTTGAAGGTGTTTCCATGGTCGTACAGGCTCTCCTCTTGCACGACGGCGCAGACGCGCTGCTCTTTGAAGCCGAACGACGTGAACACACAACTGTTGCGGATCTCTGCAGCAGGGCGGGTGAACGGACTCACTCATAGGACGCTTGGTAGCCTGTGGATGTCTGTCTGCCTGTCTGTCTGTCTGTCAGTCTGTCTGAGTGGGTGTGGTGGCTCACCCACTCCCTGCCCTATGACATTCAGAAAGTGGCCTGGAATCAACACACACGCACTCATCAACCAATCGATGGCTGCACTCCTCCTTCAGGTCTGTCTGTCCGCTATACGCACCGCACCTGGTATGTGTGTTGCCTGCAGAATATGAGTCTCTGACAAACACAAACACACAACACACACAAAGATTCAACTCATTGCACTGCATGTCTTCTTTGCCGCAGACAGACAGACAGACAGACAGACGGCCTGACCGATGAGCACTTGTGTGATGTGGACGCCCAGCAGCGACGACGCGCACGGCAGCAGCAGAATGGTCTGCTTCTCCGCCACGAACTTGTAGAGTTTGTCGAAGTTTTGCCGCAGCACAGTGAGGAACGGGTTGGAGCTCAGATCTTCGCCTCCTGGGACACCTGCACTCATCCTGATAGCCCGTGAGCAGATCTTTTCACCGCCGATCCATCCATTGCGCGCTTGGCTGGCAGACTCCCCCTCTCGGGGTTTTCACTCATCGCTGGTTTTGGCATGTTCTGAGGATGGTGGTTGGAAGCGATGCTCAGCTCCCGTGATCTGCTGAAGCTGAAGCAGTCATCGACATTTTTGATGCGCATCCGGCCCTTCAGCACCACTGCAGCAGCACCACCAGCAGCAGCTACACCAGCTCCACCAGCTACACCATCAGCACGCCCAAGCAGGGCACCATGCAGCTCTGCCCATGTGCACCAGCATCTCGACGTTGCGCGCGCCCTCAACAGCCTGGCAAGAAAGCGCGGCCACACGGCGGCTGACCGCGAGAGCTGGCGGGTGTCGCTGCTCAGATCTCTCAGCCAAGCCCACCGTTCGTCGGCAAGGGAGACCGCCCTGGTGCTCAACGCCTGCAGAAGATGCCCGTTGGTCGCTGATGAGGAGGGCGGCGACTTGGTGCGCAGCGTTGCGGAGGCCTACACGCGACGGGCGCGGCAGATTGTCCCGTCGTTCAACGCTCTGGGTCTGACGGTGGTGTGCAAGGCCTGGTCGCAGCTGCGGCCGCTGTTGACTGGGCTGGAAGGAGGTCTGGTGGACGACGACCTGCTGCTTCGGGTGAGCGAGCGGCTGCAGACCCAGCTGCAGCGCATCACGCCCCTCACCCTAGGCAACCTCCTCAACGCGCTCGCCCGCCTGGACTTCCGCGACAAGGCGCTCCTGACGAGTCCACCGATGCAGGAAGCCGTCAGGCGGTGCCTGCCGTCGCTCAAGGCTTTGGACTTGGTGCAGGTCATCAACGCGTTTGCGCGTCTGGAGTGGCGTGATGTGCCGCTGCTGCACCTGCTGGCGGACCGGTGTGTGGACCAGGTCGAGTACATGGACTGCGGCGGGCTGAGCCTGGTGGCGAATGGGTATGGGCGGCTGGAGGTGAGGCATGAACGGCTGTTTGGCCGGATGGCGGACAGGCTGGCGTCGTGTGGGCACTCGTGTGGGCTCAGGGATGTGGCCATGATACAACACGCATTCGCTAAGTGAGTCGAGTCAGTGGGCTGGGCGATGAATGGATGGATGGATGGATACCAAGATGATTGATCGATTGCATGTGTATGTGGCGCAGGTTTGACTTCCCCTTCACGCCCAGCGTGTTCGAGGCCACCTGCAGTCTGCTGCCGGCATGCCTCTCGTCCGCCCCGTCCGCCTCACCCCCCTCCCCCTCCGACCAGCAGCACTCCCTCACTCTCATCCTGACGGCAGCGGCCAAGGTGGGCTTCAGGGACCTCAGCGCCATCGCCCCACTCATGCAGGTCCTGTTTGACGGGTCGGCATCGGCCCCGCTGCTGCACTCTCTCACTCCGGGGCAGCTGGCCATGCTGACATCAGCCATGGGGCAGCTGGCGCAAAGCGACGAGAGGCTCGTGGTCGGCCAATTGGCTGAGGGGGATGATGAGCGTGTTTATCGCGAGTGGCGTGGGTGGTGGGGTCAGCTGCTGCAGCAGCTGGAGCAGCAGCTGCAGGGCAGGGCCCTCATAGTCACGGCTGCAGCCGGCACTGAAGAGGCCTCTGGACCACATCGACAAACAGCGGCTACAATCCCCCCTCATCAGACAGGCCCAGCAGCAATCGTCGACCTGGACGAGCTGCCCGATGGACAGGAGGACAGTGACAGTGACGACACCCACAAGAATGATGAGTGGGTGGACGGGCGGGAGACGGCTGAGGGGAAGGGCGACGGGTGGGGGGAGATGGAGCTGTCCACTGTGTGCCGGGCGCTGGCGGCCGTCAAGTGCCGTCACATGCCTATATTCGATGCCGTGGCGCAACTCATCCAGGTCAGTCGAACAGACAGGCAATGAGGGGGCCCGTAAGACACCTATCACACACCGTGTGTGTGGTGTTCAGGCGCCTGAGAGTGTGCGTGGCTGGTCGGCGTGGTCCCTCCTCACTGTTCTGCGGGCCTTCGCCACCCTCAAAGTACACATGCACACTCACACACTCACACACACACAGACAGACAGACAGACACGAGTCCGCCCTGGCGGCTGGTTGATCGATGCATGTCTCTCTCTCTCTCTCTCTGTGTGTGTGTGTGTGTGTGTGCAGCATCACCATGACGGTTTGTTGAGGCGCCTTGACAGTGCTGTGGATGATGTGAGTTGGGAGCTGGACCTGTCAGCTGCGTGTGAGTGGGCCTCGCTGAGGTGGGCCCTCACCGGCCAGCATCACGACGGCCTCCTAGCGACCGTCGAGCACCTCATTCAGCGGCACAGACACAGAAACACAGCTCGCCAACCGGCCAGGCAGCAGCAGCCACCACCGTCATCGGCTCCACATGTGCCGCCCCGTGACCCTGAGAGATGGACGGTGGCGGCATCGCGCCCAAGTGGCCTGCAGACGCCCCTTGTCGACCTGTTGGCCTGCCTGGCCGTGCCAGGGGGGCCAAGATGCATCGAACAGAGCGATGATGCCGCGTCAGCCGCTGCGTTGCGTTGGTATCGGGTGATGCCGTGCACTAGTGAGGGTGTTGGGGGGTTCGACGTGAGCACCGTTGGTGTGCTGGAGAAGGGATTGTCGGCACATTGCAGGTGGGATTGGTGGAGAGAGAGAATGTTCTCTCTCTCGTCATGCATACAAACTTGTGTGTGTGTGTGTGTGTGTGTGGTTGATGCAGGCGCTATGGTGAGATGGCTGAGCGGCTGGGTGGGGCGCTCTCCGCCGAGATCGGTGCTGTCATCGACGCGCAGACACTACCCACAGGTGAGCAAGCAGCCAATCGACCTAACCTGCCCACTGTGGGTGCATCGCCCATCTGTGTGTGTGTATCCCATTGGTGGCTGTTTGCTAGGTCTGTTAGCCAAGTTGGATGGTCTTCAGCGGCTGCTGGACTTGACATGGCCCCAAGGTATGTGTGTGCGTGTGCCATGCAGGCCATCCATCCGTCCACCTACCTCTGCTCTCCCTTGCAGTTGCAGCAGCAGTGAGGCCGCAGATCGAGTCGGCTCTCCAAATCAGGACCACCAGCACCAAAGACAAGCAGCCACAGCCAACCGAGGCACCGCCCCCACAACCGCGCATGGCCGCCCGCCTCCCCTCGTCCACCATGAGGTCCCGCGGGCCGTTCAGCACCACAAGGCGGCGACTCGCACCACCACAGCAGACATCCACAGCTGACAGGGGGCGGAGGCAGGACACTCCACCATCACTATGCCTCAAGGGCGGTCATGCTGCGGCTGACGATGGTGGTGGTAGTTCTGAGGTGTGTTGGTCGCTGTCGGCTGGCCAGGCGGCCCGCCAGCTCATGAGAAGGAGGATGGCAACTGATCAAGGTGGTGGGAGTGACGGTGTCTGGGGTGTTGGCCATCCTGTGATGGTGCCGCGGCAAGTACTGGAGGCCTGGTGCGAGTGCGGTGATGACGGTGATGCTGCGGGAGACGGAGGACGATACACTGAAGACGACCGGGCTCGACCGCTGGGAAAGGCGCTGGTGGATGTGTCGAGGCGGATTGTGAGCCATGAAGGCCTTGGGAGCGGCATGGTGGCCCTTGTGCTGCTGCCGACCATGGCTGACTTCGGGGCGACTGGTGTGTTGGGCGGCGGCGGTGGCGGCGTGTCTATGGCGACTGACTGGTGTGCATACCGACGTGAGTTGGCAGCGGTGCTGCGGGTGAGGGAATGGGCGCATGGTGATGATAGTGGCGTTGGTGGTGCTGGTGTGCCCGTGCCAGTGTGTGTTTCGGTTAGAGACTCGACGACCGAATGACCGACTGAATGACTGCTGATGGATGGATGGATGAACCACACACACACAGACACAGACACACACACACACACAGGTGTCACTCACTGCCGTCATGCTGTCATCATCATCATGCGATCCGATCCGTTCCCACCCACCCACACAGACAAACCTCCCTCTGACTCTCACAAGTGCAGACAGTCGAGTCGGCCACTCAGTCAGGTTCATTCAGAAACACAGCATTAGTGAGCGGGCTGGTCAGTCTGGATGGCTGCAAAGGTGCCAACTGCTGAACCTCCGCTCTCCCTCACTCCTCCCCTCCCTCCACCGTACCATAAACACCCACCACCCACACCACAGAAACTGCTGCAGTCAATGCGTCCACCTACTCTCTCGGCAGAGTATTTCGTATGTGTGTGTGCGGGTCGATATCTCTCTCCCTCCCTCCCTCCCTCTGGACAAGTATGGGTGTGACCAAAAACACTTGTCTGTGAGCTGAGCTGTGTGCGACCGACCAGTCATCGAGTGCACCCTCACTCTCAGCCAGTTAGTGCTGCCTTCGGTCTGGTCGCCAGTCAGTCAGTCAGGTCGTGGCTGAGTAATTCTGTGTGGCTGGCCGATGGGAGCGAATCCGTCGATCGATCGACCTTCTTTCTCTCTACGCGAGAGTGAGTGAGTGTGTGGCCCGGCCCGCAGATGTGTGCATGAAATGGATGGAGCCTGGCCGGCAGGGAGGGCAGTGGGAAGCACTGACCGGCCGACCGGCCGACAAAAATAAGAGAAACACCATTAGCCAGCCAGCCAGCCAGCCAGCCAGTCTCTCTCTTTCTGCCAAAATCTCTCCGATGGAGGGAGGGTTGGACGAGTTAGCATCCTGCTGGTTCCTTATCAAGAGGGCTGGTCAGGGTCCCACATATCCACGCAATATGTGCAGTCAGTCAGTGCCATCCAATTGCGCAAAGCATGCCGGCTGGTTCCACGCCACCATACTACAGAAAAGGATGGCGGCAGCCCTGTGCTCTCTCTCACCTGTCTGTCTGTCGTCCATACGCACCACAGCCGCCCTCCCAACACACACACACGCATCATGATGCACACACGCCCCGAGGCAGGATGGTGAAAGAATTCCTCGGGGGGAAAAAGACAAGACATCATTACGAGAGTGAGGGGAGGGCAGGGCGGGGGGAGAGCACCGATCGGCCGGTCGATCGGCCGGCCGATGGACATACACACACAAAACTGCTTGCAGACGTCGGCCAGCAAGAGACGAATTCGCCTGGAGCGAACCGCCCTGCTGGCTGGGCCGCGCTACGCTACGGATGGACGGATTGGTGGGTGGATGCATGGATATGCACACGGACGCACTCATTCACGTAGGCAGGAGGCAGACAGGCAGGCAGGCAGGGGACAAGAGTCAGGAAATCTCATCTCTCTTTCGGCAGGTATCTAGTGTAGCAGTCAGTCATTTCTCGCGTCATTCCAAGGGTCTGGACTGCCCATGTTCCATCTCTCCGCGCTGCTCTCTCCATCATGAGCCCGACGCGACGGGGCGCGGGTGGCGTATGTGCACATACGTCACCGCGACCAGTCACACAGAGGCCATGATGGACAGAGCAGCACCGAGCAGCAACACTGAGAAAGATACACACCGATGAATGGTGCTGCACCAACAAGCACTTGGAGGGAGGGAAGAAAGTCAGTCTCAACCAACCGACTCTACTGATCTGATCTCAACCAACTGAACTGAACTGAACTGAACTCTCGCTGCTGAGCAGAACGAGTCGACTGCCTGGCGCACGTCCGTCCAGTCAGGCAGGCATTTCTTTATATGCATGCACGTATGCATCCCCCCTCCATATGTCTCTCTTACAACAGACAGACAGACAGGCGGACGGACGGACAGACAGAAGAAAGAGAGGACAGGCAGGTCAGCCGCCGAGTGAGTGAGGGAGTGTGAGGGAGTGTGTGTGGTGTCCGTGTGTGGTGTGTGTCTATGCGGCGGCCTTCTCCGTGGCGTTGGTGGCCGTCCCTGCTGTCGGTGCCGCACCGCCGGGCGGGGCGGCGCCCGTCGCCGTCTTGGGCGCGTTGGGGTCGAAGTTCGCTGCGGCGGACACACACAGACCACACACAACACAACACAACACAGTAGCCAATTTCGCTCTCTCTCTCAGAGTGTTTGGTGTCTGGTGTGTTGTGTTGTGTTGTGTTGGTTGTCGTACCGAAAGACCTGACTCTTGCCATGGGCGACTGGTCTGGTGCGGGTCGCTCGGCGTCCTCGAGCTTCCAAATGATCTGGCCGTACTCCTTGATGGAACGGTCAGTCGTGAACTTGCCCATACTCGCGGCGGCCTGATTGATCAAAGAAAGGCCCAGTGGATGGAGCAACAGATGCACCGATGGCCGGTGTGGGTGGGTGGGTGTGCGTCAATCATCATGTGACTCGCCTTGATGGACGTCTTGATCCAGTTGGTCTGGTCTTTGTACAGCGCGTCCACCTGCTCGTTGGCCTGCACACACACCACACACACCACACCACACAGATCCGTGTGTGTGTATGTATGCAGCAGCAGCAGCTGCTGCTGTGTGGTTGGCCTTGACCCACCTTGCAGTATGAGGGGAAGTCGTGGCAGAGGATGTAGAAGTCGCCGTTGTACCCTCCGCCGTTGTTCCTGATCTTCTCAATCTGTCACCCACACACACAAACACAAACACCACACACACAACAGACATGCAGTCCCTCCCTGCCTCTCTCCCTCTCCCTCCCTTGCTACCAGTCCGACGAACTCCGAGTGCGCCTCTCCGTCTCCGAGTGAGAATTTGCCGCTGACGATGGCGTCCATGACCTCCCGCAGCTCAGCGCTGATGGGGTAGTTGCCGTTCTTGGCCTTCTCACGGATGCCGGCCACCTCGGGCTCCAACGCGCCAAAGATGAACATCGTGTCCTACACACAACAGACAGACAGACAGTGGGGGGTGGGCGAGAGGGGTGGCAGGTGTGAAGGGTCAAGGTACCTACCTCTCCGCATTCCTCCCTGATTTCGACGTTGGCTCCGTCCATGGTGCCGACGATGAGCCCGCCGTTCATGACGAATTTCATGTTGCTCGTGCCCGACGCCTCGGTGCCGGCCGTCGAGATGTGCTGAGATATGTCTGATGGAGGGATGAATGGATGGATGGAGGCACAGAGGGACAGAGGGACAGATGGGTGGAGCAAATAACACCGCGTGTGTGGTTGGCGCTGACCTGATGCGGGGATGATGGTCTGGGCATTGGACACGTTGTAGTTGGGCATGAACACACACTGACAGACAACCGGGGACACACACAGAGACAAATGGACACACACAAACGAAAAGGCCACAAACGAACGGGGCAGCAACCCACCACACAACACGCCACACACTCTTGTGTGCCACCCAGCCGACCTTGAGGTACTTGGATGTGTCCGGGTCGTTGTTGAGGACGAGGCCGATGTTGTTGCATAGCTTGATGATGGTCTTGGCCACGGCATACCCGGGGGCCGCCTTGCCGCCGATCAGACACGCACGCTTGACCTGCTTATCGCGGTCGCCGGGGCTCATCTTCTTCAGCTTGAAGTAACTGCGTCACACACACACACACACACGGGTCATGACCCACACAGAGAGGAGTGAGTGTCTGTCTGCCTCTCTGTCTGTCTGTCTGTCTGTCTGTCCGTGTGTGTGGGAAGGGGGATGTTACCGACCGGTGGATGATGTAGAAGCAGTTGATGAGCTGTCTCTTGTACTCGTGGATGCGCTTGACCTGGATGTCGAACAGCATGTTCTCGGGGTCCAAGTCGATGTCGCAATTCAACTTGATCTACACAACACAACACAACGCAGGCCCACACAGCGGAAACAGAGAGACAGACAGAGTTATCTGCCTGCCTTTGATGTCGTGTGGTGTGTGTGTGTACCCATTTGGTGAGTTTGACTTTGTTCTGCTTCTTGACGTCAGCCCACTGCTTCTGCAACTCAGTGCTGTCCTGTGCACATCACACACACACACACACACATGGAGCCCAGTGTGTCTGTGTGGTTGAGTGGACCCGTACGAGGTGGTTGACGAGTCCCTGGAGCATGGTGAGTTCCTTGAGCCAGCTGTCGGACCCCAGCCACTCGCTGAACAAGTTGGACAAGCCACGGTTGGCGCAGTGAATCCTACACACACACACACGCACACACAGACATACACACGAGATGATAGCCAGCCGCACGAGAAGGCGTGTGTGTACCATCTCCGGGGCGTGACGCCGTTGGTGACGTTGACGAACTTGTCGGGCTGGCCCTTGGCCTGGTCATCGACACACACACCCATACACAGATGGGATGCATCCACGCATCTCCCTGTCTGTCTGTCTGTCTGTCTGTGTCTTGTATGTGACGGTGGGTGGGTAGGTGGGTACTGGACCTTGTAGTAGTCGACGAACTCCGGGAAGAGGTCCTTCTTGACGAGTTCCGAGTGGATGGCTGCCACGCCGTTGACCTTGTTGGAACCGATCACCGCCTGATCCACCCATCCAATGTGACGCAACACCGCCCGCACAGCACACAGGTGACCCTGCTTGCTTGGTGTGTGTGTGGAGGGGGGGGCAGTACCTACCATGTTAGCCATTCGGATCATCTTCTCGTATCCCTCTTGGTAGATGGACATTTTGGAGAGTTTCTCGCCGACGTCGCCCCACGACTCGCGCACCTCACACAGGAACTTGTAGTTGATGTCGTTGATCAACAGCAGATGGCTGACAGACACAGACAGACAAAGAAACAAACAGAGAGAGAGGGATGTCGAGTGCACTGTGTGGTGATTTGATGGCTCTGTGGCTGCCCTACCGCGGAAGCAGTTTCTCGATGAGGTGTGCGGGCCATTTCTCGAGGGCCTCGGGCAGCACCGTGTGGTTGGTGTAGTTGAAGCACTACACACACACATCCACACACCACTCCTTGCCGTGCGTGTGCATCCCTCTCTCCCAACCTCCCTCTCTCGGTGTGTCCGCACCGACCTGTCTCGTGAGGTCCCATGCCTTGTCCCAGTCGAGCCCCTCGATGTCGATGAGGAGGCGCATCATCTCAGGGATGGCGATGGTCGGGTGGGTGTCGTTGAGCTGGAAACACACCTTGGACGGCAGCTCGTCCCAACTGCGGCCCTCCTTCTTCTTGAACCTGATGATCAATGGATGATCAACCCACACACACTTGTTGGTGTGTTGGTGTGTGTGATTGTTGGCCGGTGCGGTGTGGTGTGGTGTGCGGCACGTGCCTTCTGAGGCAGTCCTGGATGGTGGCGCAGACGAAGAAGTACTGCTGCTTCAGACGCAACTCCTTCCCCTCCCACCTGACCAAACACACACACACGTCTCCATCTGGGCACTAGGGTGTGTGAGTGTTTACGTGTTGTCGTTGGGGTAGAGGACGGCCGAGATGTACTCGGCACGCTGGCGCTCCTTGACAGCCTGCAGACCACACAGGATCGACATACACACACACACACACACACAGAGGGAGGGAGGGAGGGAGGGAGGGAGATGACCACAATGGTGGCGTGGGAGTGCATTGTGTGCAGTGTGCGTACGTCGAGGAACTGGCCACGGTTGAAGGCATGGAAGTCAAACTCCTTGCCGGGACACGCTGCATCCAACACGCAACACACACACACACACACAGATGGATGGATGGGATCCCCTCACCCTCTCCCTCTCTCTCTTTGGCAAGGCACGCACCTTTCCAGAGTCTGAGGTTGATGGTGTTGTACGTGTCGAATCCCGGGATGGGGTTGTCGTACGCCATGGCCTGCACGATCTCGCCGCCCGTCCAGCGGTGCCGCTCGCGACCCTTGTCGTCCTTGTAAGTGTCCACGTGACTGACACACAACACAACACAATACACACACAAAGAGCCGCCGATAAGTGGAGCGGACTCATGTGGTGTGTGGTGTGTGTGTTGCCCCTCCATCAATGCAGTGGCTCACGCACGCACCCGTAGAACCGCACGGCGTAGGTGACGTCGGGTCGCTCGATTTCCCATGGGTTGGCGGTGACGAGCCAGTAGTCCGGGTGCTCCACCTGACGGCCCTCGACGATCTTCTGCTCGAAGATGCCGTACGTGTACCTGACACACACACCAAGGCAGCCCATCTGTCTGTCTGTCTGTCTGTCTGTCTGTTGTCTGTCTGTGTTGTGTGTGTGCGAACTAGCCTGATGCCGTAGCCCCAGACGGCATAGTTGAGCGTGGCCATGGAGTCGAGGAAGCAGGCAGCCAGACGGCCCAGACCGCCATTGCCCAGCGCCGGGTCGTGCTCGTGCTCATACAACTCCTCCTGAGGGAGGGATCGATCCATCAACCAGCCAACACCATGTTAGCCACCGACTGGCGAGTGAGTGAGTGTCTGTGTGTGTGTACCAGGTTGTATCCGATGTCTGCGAGTGCCTTCTTGTAGTTGGGCTCGATGTCCAAATTCACCAACGCGTTCTGCATCGCTGCACAACACAACACAACACAACACACAACACACAGGACAACACACACCACACTCTCTCTCTCTCTCTGTGTGTGTGTGTGTGTGTGTGTGTACCCCTTCCTAGCAGGAACTCTAGGGAGAGGTAGTAGCACCTCTTGACGTCCTTGGCCGTGAAGAACTCGTTGGTGTCGTTGAAGGTCTCGATCAGCCGGTCGCGGATGCTGAAGGCCGTCGCACGGTAACACTCCTCCGTCGCAAAACTGAACCGCGTCGCCGCCAACGTGTACTCCTAAACACACAAAACAAATCACAAACCAAACCACGCATCATAACACACCACACCACACCACACCCCGCCAGAGAGGGGCAGGTACTCGACACAAGTGCCCACGCACTACACCATCCATCCATACCACGTGGTTGACGATTCCCCTCTGGATGGAGCCGACGTCCGGTCCGAGGTAGTACTCCATGAGCTGCCATATCTTGTTGCGCTTGGCGTCGGCGTTGGGGTCGAAGTCCTTCTGGTGCATCCCCGCCATGTCTCGAGGCACGGCGCCCGTCAACTTGGAGAACGATGCCTTGCGCATCATCTCAAAGTTGTGGTCAGCGTGAGGGTCAAAGGCCATGGTGCTCAAAGTGAGGGGAGAGAGGGAGGGAGGCAGTCACAGACGGACGCAGCCTCGCAGTCAGGAGGCTCTCACAGTCACGGTCAAGAGAGCAAGGGAGGCAGCCAGGCAGGCAGGTGACAACCCTGACACAGACACACAGACAACACACAGACGCCATTCAAGCCGAGCGGCGTGTAGTGGTGCAGGCAAACACGGGGCAGACCGGCAGACAGCCGGCCACACCCGCAAGCACCCCACCCCACCCTTGTGACGAGCCCGTGTGTGGTTGTCTCTCTGTGTGTGTCTGGCTGCTCACCACTGCTGCTCGCACCAAACGCTGTAAAACCACGCACAGGAGCCGACCAAACACACTCCCAGCGGAAAAAAAGGCGTTTTCAAGCTAAGCTCGCATGCTAAGCCCGCAGACTCAGAAGGCTGGAGTTCTCGCCAAGGGCCCAGCGAGCAGTCCGCAATTGATGCCCCTGTGCCTGCCTCTGTTGCTCATCCTGATTCTGTGTCATCGGTGCTTCACTCTGTCATCTTGCTTCATCACGTGCACTATCACTGCTCGTCATCGACAGCACCTCCCATCTCATCGCGAGCGGCAAAGGAGCGCAAGAGCATTCATGACGGATCCAGCCGACAGCCACACCTGCACCCACACAAGCAGAACTGGCGAATGCGGAGCCGGGCCACCACTGGCCAAGCACGACGCCGAGGCGCCCAGTGCACCAGATGGGCCGGGGGATGGGAGCGCTTCGCGTGGGCAGCCCCCGTTGGTGCGGCTGACCAAGTCTCAGAAGAAGGTGGAGGCGCGCAAGAGGTACCGGATGAAGAAGCGTGCGAGGCAGAAGGAGACCAGGAGGGAGAAGCGCATCGAGCAGAGGGAGCAGAGGAAACAACTGCTCGAGGGCATGACCGAAGGTGAGTCATAAATGGGCACATGGGCAGCGGGGCAGCATGCAGACGTCAGATGGACACTGAAGGAATGACTGTCTTGTGTGTGCTGTGATGGTGCCTGACATTGGTGTGTGTTATCGTGTGTCAGAGGAGCGGGCTGCCTTTCTGGAGGACGAGAAGCGCCAGAAAGAGGCACTCGAAAAGTCCTACGAGGTAGGTAGGCCGCTCACCGACCGCCTAAGCAGATCCCTCAGCCGATGCAAGTGTGCCCGGTATTGTGTGATCAGGGTCACTTGGCCGCGGCGTACGAGAGCGGGACGAAGGTGGTCTTCAACTGCAGCTTCATGGACCAAATGTCAGACAAGGTGGACTGATAGAGCATCACCGACGGCCGCACCGCCTGGAGCGGTTTCTCTGTGTCGCTGTCTGCCACGATCGATGGATGGTTCAGGAGAAGTCGAGTTTGGCCAAGCAGCTGTCGTACGCCTACAACGCCATGAAGACCAGCGACCCCCCTGTCAGGCTGCAGATGCATGTCACGTCTTTCGACAAGGGAGGGGAGCTCTGGCAACGGTCGGTAGGCAGGAGCAACACACGAAGCACTGACACAGCAGCCTGAAACATGGTGGTGACCGAATCCCCCTCTCTCGTTGCTTTGTCAGGATGCTGCACTTCGGTGCTGAAAAGTGGAAGGTGGGCAAACATGTCAGTCAACCGATCGGTCGGTCGCACTGTGTGTGTGTGTCATATAGATGCACTATCACGAGGGTTCAGCGTGGGACGTCTTCTCCCTCGATGACATCGTTGTGCTCTCACCTGACGCTCAGGAGGTGAGGCGAGGCCGACACACCCACACCCACACCCACACACAACCAGCTACCCATCTGTCAAATCCATCCCTCCGTCTGTCTGTCTGTCTGTCAGGAGCTCGAGTGCGTGGACGAGTCCAAGGTGTACGTCATCGGCGGCCTCGTCGACCGAAGCATTGCAAAGGTGGGCGGCCCAGACACACCCATTTTCCTCACCCGCCTTTTGTGTAAGCTTTGTGTGGTTGGCTGGCTGGTCGTGCGTCTGCAGTATGAGTCGTGGAGTCAGGCGCAGCAGTACGGCCTCCCCTGCAGAAAACTGCCATTCACCGTACGTACGGACGGATGCACACACCGACTGACTGACTGACTAAGTGACGTGCACACACACTCATGACTCAATCGGTGCTGTTGTTGTGTGCCTGTCTGACTGGGTGCGGTGCGGTGCAGCGTTACATCAAGGAGAACCTGGGCACGGTCCTCAATGTTAACACCGTCGTGGAGGTCAGTCAGTCGACAACAAACATGCTACAGACAAGAACAATAGTCTCTCTCACTCCTTTCTCTCCCTCGATCGATGTGTGGTGCTGCTGCCACGCTCCAGGTGTTGATACGGTATCTGCAGACCAAGGATTGGGAACACGCTCTCACCGCATCCGTCCCACAGGTGCCTGCCTACGGCACACAGAGACCCACTCGCTCACTCACGGGGTCTGACCTGTCGTTTGTCTGTCTGTGTGTGGTGTGTGGTTGCAGCGCAAGCAGACCAACATCGGCAAGAAGGCCGTCAAGCTTCAAACCAAGAGGGAGAGGAAGTACGGGAGCGAAGCCTCACACATGCACACGCAGACCGACCAACGACACATAAGCCGATGTGTCGTTATGTCGGTGTGCCCGTCTGTATGTCAGAGAGTACTACGAGTCGCTGAGGCGTGCAGGCGTCGATGTGGATGACCCCCCAGGGAAGCGACCGCGCCTCCAACCCACAGGTGGCGACCTTGAAGACGATCATCGCGAAGGGGACAGGACTGACTCGGATGAAGACGAAGACGACGAGCTGGACGAGGATGGCGACGAAGATATTCATGTCGATAACGGCGGCCAGAAAGGATGCGAGTGTGGGTAAGACAGGCTGTGGCTGGCCACCTGGGTCCGCGGCTGACTGGGTGGGTTTCCCTTTGGTGCTGCATGGGTGTACATATGTGAGTGTGTGTCGTGTCTGTGAGGACCTATTGTATGTTCTCGCTGCAAGACTTCATTTGGTGGCATAAATTCATCGATGAGAGGTCACAGGACTTATTTGTCAAAGGAGTGCCCCTAAAGCACCTTACACATACATACATACATACATACGAGGACGGAGAAGGGCAAAGTGGCGTCATACTGCGGAAGAGAGGAGGGGGAAGAAAAGACAAGTTTACGGCCAGAATCTGCCTTTTTGCCCAATTGTTTCTGCCACCACCAAAGCCCCGAATTTTCGCGAGTTCTGGCAAAATCTCTCTCCCGAGAAGGAGACCTCTTAGTCGCCGATTGAGCACATCGTCTGCGATTTGCTGAGCCGCGATGATGATGACGCCTTGTTTCGGCATCATCATGGTGGTCGGCCTGGCCGCCATTGTGGCAGCCCAGCGCAACTCTGACCGACGTAAGTAGAGGGGGGACACACAGGCGCCGAACCGCCATCCATATGCGTGAGTTTGGTCCTCTTTTGTGCATATGGATGGCCGCATGACTGATGTGTGCCCACAGAGATGTCGGTGGGCGAGGGGAGCTATGGCCCCGACTGCGAGGAGGGGAAGGACTGCAGCGCTGACGTGAATGGTCCATGGGGTGGTGAGATCTATCACGAATGGAAATGATCCATGCATGGCATGTTTCTCTGACTTCCTCTGTATGTGCAGGTGCGTCGTTTCTCGGCACTCAGGAGATCCAGGCCAGAAACAACACCAAGAAGCACGGTGCGGCCATCTGTGCGGGCAGGAGGAAGGGGCGGTGCCAAAAAATGTGAAAACATCCAGATCTATCCCTGTTTGTGTGTGCAGGTGTGATGTTGAGTGCTGGTGAGCTGTCGATGCTGCAGCAGAAGATTCAGACCGGCAAGGCCATGTTGCATTCGGCCATGAAACTCAAGGCCGAAGCCAACAGACTTGCCGGTTCCGCGATCGAGGCCATCGACAACGTCGTAGCGCATCCCATCACCAGCACGGGTGCGTATGAGTGGACGTCGACCGATCCATCCATCCATCTATCCCTTTTGTTTGGGTGGATGTACATATCTGACAGGTGCAGCGTACAGCGGCACATACGCAACAGCTGTCAGGGCCAGCCAGCCAGAGAAGGGTACGTGTCGCAGATGGGTGAAATGTTCCCCTCCCTCATGGTTGGTATTCCTTCTTTCCTTCGTATTTGCTGCAGATGAGTGTGAGGAGGACAAGGACTGCGGTGAGAACAAGTACTGCTTTGAGCCTATTCAACGAGCCGAAGGAGACTCGTCATACAAACGTCGCTGCAAGGCAAGCGGCAACCACCCTCCTCTCCGTTCATCCCTCCACTCACGCACACAGTTCTGTCTGTCATCGGATGTCTGTGCTTTGCTGCAGAGGGCAGGCGACGAGGATGACCGCTGCTATGCCGGCTTCTTCAAGGACCCCAAGAAGTGCAAGTTTGGACTGTATTGCGCTGAGTATGTCTTCGACAAAGACCGTTGCACGTAGGTGAAGAGCACAACCAATGGCGGCCACCCTCTGTGCACTTATACATACACGAATGGACAGGAAGATCAAGGGATTCATCAGGTTAGAGAGGCTTTGCTGAGCCGCAGGGGTAATCTTGGACATCCACCCACCGCTTGTGTTGCACTTGTCTTGAATCCCGGGGCAGACTCGAGGGGCCGAGGGTCAAAGCCGTCGATAGCAGCCATCCTGCTTACAACAGTCAGCCAAAACACGCGACACTGACCCGTACGTATCTGTGCGCGCGTCCGCCGTGCAGGCGAATGCTGGAGGGCGTATGGCGGCAGAACCCTGGAGAAGCTGTGTCCGGAGGGCATGATGTGCGCCATCACCCGCGACAGAGGCTTCAACGATATGAAGCTGAAGCGGGCAGGCATCTTCTGGGCGCTGGAAGGCAACTGCGTCCCCTTCGCCGAGCGGGCCGAGCACTGCGAGCACGTCAAGTGCACGGACCTGCTGAACTCGAACTACCAAGTGGACGGTGAGTGCGTGTGACGTCGTGAGCTGGGAGGTGGAGATGGCTCGTGTGTCTCTACAGATTACACCTGCACCAACTGGGATGCGGGAGAGAGCCCCTTCCATCACTGCAAGAGCAACAAGCCATACACAGAGTCGGGTACGCATGAGATCCCTCCCTTCATCCCTCCCTCGCTCCATCATGTCGAAGGGGCTTATGGACATGTTTGTTCCCTGCCTTGCTCGAATTTCCGATCGAATGGATGCTCTGATGCGGCTGATGCAGTTTGCCCTGCTCCTACGACGCGTCTCACCCCCAAGAACCAGGCCGGCAAGAGCCAGGGTCCGTGACTGAGCACATGCGTGGGCTCAGTAGATGCATACATATGCATGGCGTCTGTGTGTCTGTCTGTCTGTGTGTCGAAACATTTCTTTGTCTGCAGGCCAATGTCAGGTGAAGGTCGAGTTTGGTAGTAGATACTACGTCGAGTGCGCTGCTGGCCTGGTGTGCGTCATCAACCAAGAACAAGACAGCCGCTTCGCCGACTACAGCATTGGCCAGTGCTTCGACCCGGCCGACGTCGCGTCGCAGTGCCGCAAGAGGGAGGACTACGACCCCAAGAAGGAGGGTCAGCCGGCCGCCGTAGCAGGTGTGTACGCGGACAACAGATTCAGTCATGCGACTGACGCGTGTCTTTTGCTGCTGTTATCCACTAACAGAGTATCGGACCTTTCAGACAAAGAAGTGCGAGTATCTCTGGGTGCACCAGAGTGGTCGTCACCTCAAAAAGCCATTCACCTTTTGCGCCGGTTCGCCTGCAATGTGCCCCCTAGTCGAATGACACACACACACACACACACACGCGCGCGTGGCGTGCCTTTCTCCGTTGTGCAGGCAAGGAAATCTCAAAGACACGCCAGGCCTACAGACGTATGCATGTTGCGTCTCCGCCTATACATACAAAACACGCATGCACGACATTTCTGCCTGCCTGCCTGCCTGGTGGATTCATTGACACCTTTGCATACGCAGCTTCCAGCTGTGATAGCTTTGACAAGAAGGCCTTCAAGTTCGCTCCGGACGACCTCAAGGACCGGTAGGCGTCAAGACGAGCTGCACGATGGAAGCTTCATTCACAGCCAGCGCCTTCCTTGGTTGTAATGCATGGATGCAGCTACTGCACGGGAGCAGACGACGACGAGAATAAGCCGTGCGGCCCGAAGCGCTCTGGCTGCAAATGCAACTCCTATGGAACAGACTGTTCGGTAGGTGGCGCGCTTCCGTGTGTATATATGGGGGTGTCACGGTGCATATATTGTGGCCTGTCCGTCTGTGTGTGTGGATGACTGCATTCAATGAGTGCAGAGCAGCCACGGCCGCAGCCGGTACGACGGGGGAGACAGTGGCGACGAATCCGGTCCCTGGGGCGACCCCAACGACCCCTCCAACATCTACTGGGACTGATGAGGTTCCATCCACCAGACACACACAGACACACACACACACACACTAATTCTAATTGGTAGCCCCTAGCCAACACACGCGCACCTGACTCGCTGCATGTTAAGCAACCAATCACACACACGCGGGGATACATACGACCTATGCCTAGACTTGCCTTGTGAATGGTCTGCTTACATATGATTTGCTCTATGTGGCGCCTGCCGGTGTATGTATGTGTGAGTGTGTGTGTGTGTCTGGCTGCTGGCATTGGGGCCTGTCTCGCGTGTGTTTTGCCGTCCTGTTAGCCAATCAGTGGCGTGCATGGGCGTGGCTGCATATTTCGTTGACAAGAGAGGGACACGGCACGACACCCACCCACTCGCCCACACCAGGACACTCTCTGCCTCTCTCCCATGCCCACGTCTGCCCGCTCGTTTGTCTGTCTGTCTGCCTGTGTGATTGATTGAGTTTAATACGTGAGGGACACACACCTACGGACGAACAGACGGACGAATGGCTCTCAACTTACTGATCGATATGTCTGTGTGTATGTCCCCACACACATATCCACCCATCCACACGTGTGTATCGATCGAAAACCACCGAATCCATGGGGAGCTCTGATGAATGAGTGCACTGGGCTTCATGGACCGAAAGGACATGGGCATGACCGTAGGTAGGATTCTTCATGGACATCTCGGTCCATGAAGAATCCTACGTTCATGCCCATGTCCTTTCGGACCCAGATGTCCCGCACACCATGGCAGGCAGGCCACAGACAGACAGCCTCATCAATCAATCACGAAGCGTCGACACGGCGGACTCTCGTCACCGAGGCCTCCATCGCGGCACACTTGATCCTTCCCACACACACCATACACAACACACTCAGTTCGGTTCATCCATCTATCCAATTTGCACTCACTTGTAGGTGACTTCGAATGCGTCGATGACTGTGCAGTAACTCTCAGAGTCGATCTGTAGAAAAGGCACGCCAGACGGGGGAGGCACCGTGCATGTCAAGAATGCATGACCAAAAGTGCATGCGGCTGACCGTTTCCCTCTGCTGCATGGCGTTCCGAGGGTCATTGCCCAACGACTCGATGACCGTCGACACGAACTCATCGACACTTGAGAAGTAGATAAACGGCGCACGGCCACCTGACGCACACACATACATACACACAGATGAGCACACCTGTGTGTGTGTGTGTGTGTGTGTGCGCGTGTGTGCAGTCCTCTCTCTCTCTCCCTTCGTGTCAATCTGACCTAGTGTCGATGTGGGTTGCGCCATGAAGGCGCCCTCCACTCGCTGGCGGATGGCCTCGAGCGGCTCACTTTCATCATCGAGTGTGTGGTCTCGTGCCGCACCGGCACAGGCCGCCACAGCCCACCACAGCTGACGCAGCGCATCGGTTGTGAAGGACACCTAACCAATGGACAGAATAGATGGCATTGAGTATTTATTGGTCTGGCGTTTGCAGTGGTTGTCTTGGTCACCTTAAGGTGTGCGTGCGATTGCATGGGCGTCATGAGCCACTGTGGACAGCCGACGGATACGCCGGGCAGGGCGTCGAGCGGATGATACGGCTGCAATGGGTGTCAACACACAAACATGGCACGGCACACGTGTGTGTGAGTGCATGTGTTTGTCTGTGAGTGTGAGACCTTGATGTCGATGACGGGCGTCTTGTCGACTAAGTCAATGCCGCTCACATACACACACCGACCCTACACAGTCACACACACACAACACGCAAAAACACTTGGTGCAGCCATGCCTGGCCTTCTGTTGCGTACCGCCACTCGCTCAATCTTAGCGGCAGACAAACCGATGGGCGACGGCCTGGCACAATCACACACACACACACACACAGACGCACACACAAATGCAGAGAGATCGACCGACACATGAGGTCTATCTGCCTGCCTGCGTGCCTGCCTGTGCGGCGATCTCGTGGCGAAGACGCCCACTTTGGTGCCGAGCAGCTTTGGCGGCCGCACCTTTGGCTTCATGACGGCATTGCCGTCGGCATCAAGGGCCATGTGGAAGAGGAAAATGATCCACAGGTGGGAGAAGCTGTCGAGGCCATCCAAATACGCCTGACGGCAAAGTGGACCACAGATGGATGGATGAGTCTATCCTCGGCGTGTGTGTGCATGTGTTGACCTCAGTGTATTGTTGGTCGAATACGATGACCCCGTGAGACGCCGGACAGAGGATGCCCTGCCGAGGCGCGCCGTACTTCTCGCCGTAACAACTCCGACACACACCTATCACCTGCACACATGGCACACACACACATCACACAATCACGCATCCATCTGCTGTTGGTCTCTCCGGTCACCTTCAGGTTGACTGTGTGTGCGTCGTTCTCACTCCAGCACCTTGACGATGAGGGCGCTTCCACCACTGCAGTGTCATCGCCACCATGTGCCTCCTGCCCCCTGTCGTCACCGGTCGGCGCCTCTTGCAGGCCTGCCGGCAGCGAGAAGTTGATGTGGCCCTTCGGACGTGCATCGGCCGTGATATGGCAGCCACCGTACTCGAGATGCCACTCATTCAATCGCTCAGCCACGGCCTGAAGGCGTGCAGACAGCCAAGACGATCAATGACGTGTATGCCGTTTGAAATGGGTTCCGTTGCTGCTTCCTCTCCTCTCACCTTGGCCCATGACTCAGCGTCAATGTCCGTGTCAACGCCATCAATAGTGGATGACGGCTCCTGGTCACTCTCAAGATCGCCGTCATCATCACACTGCTGCTGCTGTTGTCTGACAGCTCGGCGTCGTAATATGCACGACCTGGCTGCCTGAAGAACAACATCATCACAAGACGCACACATGGAAGTTGTTCTGCTGTGACGGCATCCCTCTCTCTGCTGATGAATGACCTGAGCTATGGCGCCGGTGCAGAGGCTGCCATACCGGGGCTGCGAAGTGAAGGAAGATCCACACAGAGATCTGTTCATCATCTGTGTGAATGCCATTTGTGTGTGAGTGCTCGTGCCTACGTTCTTGGGCGGAGCGATGATGAAAGTCGGCAGCTCGGCATCCGCCGGAATGGTCGCACCCGGTCCCTGCGTGATCATCAGTCACATCAGTTGTTCCGCATAGTCAATGAGTCATTCTTTGCTATCTCTCTCTCTCTCTTGCCTGCTGTGCGTCCGCGAATGCAGCCCCAGCCAGGCGCGAGAGGTAGGCCTGCAGGCTCTCACACGCTGACGCCGATGGCCGCTCACACTCCGCCATGGTGATCTGATCTTCGCTGCAGATGAATGGAGGCTGCTAGAATGGGGATGAGGTAATGAAGCCTTCCCAAATCCTGCTTTGAAAGGTGTATTCCTGTTGGATCCCACGGTGTTCCTGCGGCGAGATCTGCAGTCGATCCCTTCCCTCTTCAGAGATCTGCCGCTTCTCATTCATCAGGGAGGGCTGCAGGGCGCTGGGAAGGCAAGAGCGTTCGTGGGACGGTATTTGGCTGACAGATCCTTGCATAGCAACACCACCTCATGAGCGGACAGGTGGGCAGCGTGGGAGGGAATGACAAGGCCTCCCGTGTCGTTATTGCGCTGCATTCCTTCCACTGCTGCTTGTCCATGCATCAGGGTGAAGAGCTGTATATGGTGCTCGGCGTCGGAAAGGACGCGACGACGGCGAGCATCAAGAAGGCCTACAATGAGCAGGCACTCGTCTGGCATCCCGACAAGCACACGCACCCGGCCATGAAGCAGAAGGTGCGTGAGAGTGGCTTTGTCGTGGATACGGGTCGATAGCTGCGCCACGTCTGTATGCATTCCATCTGTGGGTGTGTTTGTTCGTCAGGCCACCGAGATGTTCAAGCTGGTCCAGGAGGCCTATGAGGTGCTGACCAACCCGATTAAGCGACGCATGTACGACAACGGAGGGTACACACCCCAACGCGGTGACAGTGCGGCTGGCGGTGATAGCGGTCGTGCTGACGGATGGAGCGAGCAGACCAGTCGAGCCCTTCAGGAAATCAGAGAGCTGAGCAAGGCCAACATGAGAACGAGGAACACGGTCGCTGAGCTGTACAAACGGAGTGTGGTGGTGGGTCAGACAGTGGCGATTGGGTACGGCGCATCGCCGCTGGACCCGCCAATTCTCAAGCTCGTCGAAAAGCTGGTGCCGGCGAAGACGATCTTCGACCAGGTGTGTCTCTTGCGTGAATATCCATGTCATGAGCGCACACACGATCTGTTCTGCTATGTCTGTTTGAATGCGTGTGTGCAGCACAAGGTGTTGGACAACATGATTCGCATCGAAGGTCCCCCCCTGCTCATGAACAATCTCAACTTCAGCGTCAACAATTACAATGACCTCGAGCGGCTCAATGACGAAATGCCGAAAACAGCAGAGGTGACTGGCTGAAGGACTTCTGCAGACGAACTCTGTGTGTGCATGCATGCAGAACTTCAAGTTCATGCCTTCTGCCCCAACGGTCGCCATTCTCGAGCAGTTCAAGGAGAACCTTGTGCGCATCGGGCAGCAGATGAAGCAGGTCGAGACCACGCTCTACAGCAAAAACATCAGCGGAGACAGGAAAGTGGTCATGGACAAGTACACCGAGCTGCAGAAGGTGCAGAAGCAGCTGATATCCATGCTCAAGGTGAAAGACATTGAGATCGAGGTCGCCAATACCTCGTAGTAACACCTCGTAGTCATCAATGCAAACGTGCATTTGCCTGCCAGCCACTCACTTTTGCGCCATTTTTATCTGAGTGCGTCACCGTCCGTCCTCGTGTTTGTCTGTTTGTCGGCTGGTTGGTTTTTCTCTCTCTTCTTTTTCCTCGTCAGAGTGCCTTTGAGAGAAAAACGAGAGAGAGAGAAATGGCGCGACGCCTTAGTCTAGCCGCCTAAGTCAGGTCCTCCAGATATTCTCTGCGTCATGTTCACTGATGGCGTGCGTGTGACGTACGTGTGTGAGGGACAGTGTGCTGCCTTTTTGCAGGCACGAAAGATGCAATGGAATGAACCTTTATGCAGCCCCCCTCAGTCGAGCTGTCTCTTCCCACCACACGATGCATCCGTCCACATCACCCAGCCACCCCATCCCACACCAACCACAAAGCCCACTCAATCAGTCGGTCAGCCGTGCCGTCATGGTCCCATCCCCACCGGCACCACGGGCCTGATGGCTCTCGACACGTAAGGCAGGCTCCACAGCGGCTCAGGCAGGGCGTCATCCAGCACAAAGCCGCCCGCCTCCGTGCGCTGCAGCTCGGTCAGGTGCGCCTCAGTGCCGCATGACCTCGCTATGTCCTCACACAAGGTGCGGATGTAGGTGCCGCCGGAACACGTCACCTCAAACTCGAAATACGGCAGCTGACGGGCAAAAAAACGCCACACATGGATGGATGGATGGATGGATGAGAGGGTCGTGGCGATCGGTTACCTGCGACGTGTCTGTGAGTTGGAGGTGTTTAATGGTGACTTGGACGGGATCTCGGTAGACGGCCTCGCCACGCCGGGCCAACTCATACATCCGAGTGCCATTCACCTTCTTGGCTGCTCACCCAACACACCACACAGATCCATGTGTTGACCACTTGATTGCGTCGTGTGTGTCGTGCGTGTTGTGTGGATGTACCTACCGGAGAACATGGGCGGTGTCTGGAGTTGGGGACCTTCGAATCGTTTCATGGCCGCCCGGAGGTCATCGGCAGTGACGCTCTCCCAATCAGACCGGCTCACCACCTCACCCTGCAGGCCACGCAGCCATAAGTGGGCAAGTGTGGGTGTGTTGGTGATGTGTCGGTGGGTACGTCTGAGTCGAGAGTGTCGGTGGCTATGCCCAGCAACCCAACAGCACGGTACGACTTGTCGCCTGCACACCACAACACATGACACACATGAATGCATCCACCCACACATATACATATGTCTGGCTGACAGCTGGTGTGGCTGGATACCTTGTAGGAATGTTTGCATGTGTTTGGTGGCCTCGCCCACCCCCAGCACCACCACCCCAGTGGCAAACGGATCCAACGTGCCCCCGTGACCAACCTTCACATCATAGCGATCGGGAGACCTGACACACACACACACACACACACAGCACATGGCTCACACTCACGGCATAGACGGCCGTCCGCCCCTCACCTACCTACCGCGTCTTTCTTCGTTCAGCCCTGAGGTCGTTAGGGTGTATTCGGATGCGCGCCTCCCCCTCCCTGTCGGCCTCCTTCAGCCCCCGGCTGATCGACCCACGGACCTTGTTGACCACATCCATACACGTGAACCCCCGCGGCTTGTCCGCAGCCAGCACTCCACACACACGCCTGTACGATGACGAAGACGGCGCCGGTTGAGACCGCCGGCCTCTCTCCCTCCCCCTCTCCCTCTCCCTTGTGCGTCGGTAGGGCAGCCGTGAGTCACTGTCGTCATCACGGTAGTAGTGGTTGGCAGACGGAACGGATGTTTCGAGTGGGGGCAGTGCGATGGCTGACGGGGAAGACTGCATCATCGGTGAGATCGTTGACTGGCTGGAAGGGCGGTGGAAGGAAGAGCGCCGGATGAGAGGCTTTGTGGGGAAAAGCATGGCTGCGTGACAGACACACATACACAGGCATGCAGGGAGACAAAGCAGAGTCTGATTCATGCATGCACCGTGCCTATGCTGTCGTGTGTGTACCTCCTGTGAGTCCCTCGGCATCTCCTCTGTGCACAGATCTCCCCGTAGGCGAATTCCCCCGATGAGCAGATGAGTGCGAGGCGACAAACATCCATCGCAGTGCTCGCTGGCAGTTCACCATTGTGCAGATGCGACCGAGGAATACACAGAGCACAAAACGCCGAAACGAACGATCCGACAAATGCGAGCTTAGATGCGAAGATCTGTCGGGATCAGACCCGACCAAACGGGCGTCTTGAGCGTGTCATCAAAGGTTGTGTGGGTCGACAAGGAGCGCATCGCCTCGCCAAGGGAGTACAGGACTCTCATCTCTGCCTCCCGGCAGCCAGCAGCCTGTCAGAGAAGAGCAGCACCTTTCTGGTGGGACGTCTACAGACGTGATTGGCCTGGGCAGTGTTACCGTCAGTTCGACGAAGCCCCTGATGGCGCCAAGCTCACGCTTCAATACCCGACTGGTGAGGAGGAAAAGTGGGGAGGACCGGAGGAGTCAGTCGAGGCAGGGGGGAAGGAATGAGTGCCGCTTCTTTCTTTCTTGTATGCCATCCCTTTGTCATCAGACATGATCCAGAAGACCCTCATCACACAGGAGAACCCAGGTGTGGACACATTGGTGTTCGGCGTTGGTGTTGGGACTTTTCTAGCGGGCATGTCAATCATGGCGTATACCGTGTGTGCGGGTGTCGCGGCGCTGACACGCAGACAACCGCATCACACTCAGGTGAATGAATGAAGGAATGAATGGGCGGGGGTACACACACGAGGCCCACGCGTCACTGTCTGTGTCGGTGCTTTGCTGTCTGTGTAGGCCCCGCAGTGATGCAGCAGCGTGCAGCCGGGCATGTACCCCATCCTTTATGTGTGTGTAAGTCTCTTTGTTTAGTTATTTGTCTGTCTGTCTGTCTGTTTACTTGGTTCTGATCTGGGTGACAAGAGTGACAGCTGCAGATCTAGACATGGGTGCCGTGCGGACGTATGTTAACAGAATGCTGATGTCGAAGTCGACACGCACACACATAAGCAAGGCAGCCATACAATTTGTCCATCACAATTCGTTTTGGTAGCTGCCAGAGAGAGAGAGAGACAGAGAGAGATGTCGCTTGCAAAACTCATTAGCGACAAACAGCACATCAACCATCAAGACGACAACAAGATTCTGTCGGCACCCCCCTGACACACACATACATACAGGTGAAACCACTGCTGCTGTTGCTGATGTAGAATAGACGTCATATTATATATCTGTGCACGCACAGACGTAGAGAGACCTATTTCACTGTCATTATGCACACGCACACACACAAAGAAAGCGCCGCCCACCTCCCTGCCTGCCTACAGTCAGTCACGCCCTCGAGGGCACCCCTGCTACTCACACTTGCGCACGCTCTCTACAGCCCCCTCTCAGTCACTGTAAGAAGAGCCCCTTGGCCATCTTCTTCTCCAGACGCTGCTGTGCTCACCGGCTGGCCCGACTGACCCCAGACGACGCAGCCGCAGCGGGGAGTGAGGAGGACGCCTTGGACGCGACGGCTTTGACTAACCCCATCACCTGCATGCATTCAGTGCATTGATGCATCGGCCACAGACACACACATGCAGTGCAGACTTACGAGCTCGTGGTCGTCTTGGTCCGTCGTGTAGTGCGAGAGGCGGCCTCCATCGATCAGATCTTTCAGCTGGCGGAAACAGTCCAGCTGTTGCGGGTGGGTCAATCAGTCACGTAGACAGACACAAGGAGGGAGGGAATGGGTGTCGATGGATGACGCACGCGCCCGTGTGTGCGCGCACCTGTGCTATGTGGTCGGCCATGAGGTTGCTGTGGGTCTTGCCATTGGCAACTTGTTCGTCGCCATACCTGCGAACACACACACACACACACACAGAGAGAGAGAGAGAGAGAGATGGGATACACATGCACGTCTCTACTTGTTGCCTTCATGCGCTGACTTGAACTTGACGATTTCCATGAGGATGTCGGCAGCCATGTGGCGGTAGCCGGCCTCGCCCATCGGCGGAGTGCGAGTCAGGAAACCCACCAGCGTCTGGCACACGGCGGCGGGGAGGGCCTCATACTTGACCAACTGCTCACACACACAAACACGCACGCATACACACACCATATCGTGGCACGTAGGCAGGTGTGTGGGGTTCAGTCTTGCCTTGTCGGTGTGCTTTTGGGCTATGTGCCAGATGGTCTCGATGCATCGGTCGCGTCCCAGCTCCCCGTCCGTGTCGCACATCCGGCCCAGCAGCATGGGCACAGCACCAGAATCGAGGAGCACCGACAGATGCCCTCTGCCTGCAGCTCACTCACACACAGACATACACATACATACATACAAACTCACGGCCACGTGTCGTGTGTGTGTTGTGGTGTGGGTGGGCGCCTGGATGGCTCCCCGCTGCATGCGTACGTGCGAGAGCTCGCGGGACGTTGAGGGCATGGGCCATGCTCAATAACCCCCAGCCGATACGCTCGGAGCCCATGGCCGACACCAGACCCTTCATGGCTTCGGCCCTCGGCAGATACTCAAACAACGGACCAAACACTGCACACACGCATATATCCACACGTGTACACACAGCTGCCTGCCTGTTTTGTCTGTGGCCCTGGTCTTCTCCTCTCCCTGCTCACTGGCGGGGTCGCCCCAACGGGAGGGCGAGGAGTTGAGCATGACGCCCAGCACACACGCCGCTGACCCCTTAGCAACGAGACTGCTGTCAGAGGACGCCAGCACCGACACCAACGGCTTGATGTGCGGCGTGGCGTGCTTCTTGAAGGCCTCCACGTGGTCCTCTTCGATCCACGCCCACCGGTCGATGAATCAATCAACGAGAGAAGGCACCCACGGCACACCACAACAAACACCGATGACAGATGGGTGAATCGGTTCCTTTGCCATCTTGCTTGCTCACCGGCTGAGAGGCCAGCCTTTTCCGAGTAGTAGCCTACAGTTTTCGGTACGAGGAGGAAGACCCTGTCGGCTCTCTTCTTCTCCGCCACTCGCTCCATCTGCTTGTCGCTCAGAATCATGTCCGTCGCCTCGCCGAATCCCCGATACCGCTCGTCCCACGGGGTCATCGACCTGCTGCACGTCAGGAAGTCGATGGCAGCGTCAGCCAGGTCGTCGGGCTCTAGCGTCTTGGCAGCGACCGCCGCACGCTCCAGGAGGTCACGATGGCCGCCGATGATGGCGTCACGGATGGTGTTGTTTTCCTCATCTTGCATCGCCAGGGTGAGCATCGTGAAAAGGCTGATCTCGACGAAGAGGCGGTCCGCGCTCGGCACTGCAGCCACGGCCTCCTTGAGGCGGCCCACCTCGGCCAGCAGCTGCTGGGAGTCACCGCCGAAGTCCCAGCTGAGCGTCACCATCAACGCCACGACCATCGCTGACCGACAAGCCAGCAATCGCGGCTCGGGGTCCGCCGTCGTGTCGCACATGGCGTGCATGAGGCAGCTGCGCAGGCCCTGGCCGACGGGGTCTGCCTGCATGGCCTTCATGGTGTCTTGCACGACGTTGTTCTCGGACCCGCCAGCCTCCTGCAGGTTGATCAACATCTGATACAGCTCGCGGAGACGCTGAAGCCGCTCGCTTGCCGTCCCGTGTGATGACTGAAAGCCCGAAGCTGCCGAAAGGAGGTCGGAGAGGGACACCCCGTGGGGTACGTCGGCGCGATGCTCATCAACCGCGAACATCGTGGCTGCTCAAAACGGGAAGGCCAGATCTGCGCTGGCAGGGATGCCGTGCTGCAGCCAGAATCAGCGTCACACGCCCGGGGTCCAAGGCTCGAACTCGGGGTCCAGGGTTCAGGGTTTAGGGTTTCGGCGGCTGCCGAAACCTGGGCCGTCATGGAGCGTGAGCGGGACCGCCAACAGCACATTCGGAAGTTTCGAGTCAGCCCCGGCCTTTCTGTGGAGCGCCCGGCTGCCTCTCGCGTTCAGGCCCGTGTGGCCGTGGTGGGGGAGAGCGGGGTGGGCAAGAGCGCCCTCCTGGAGGCCTACCTGTTCGGCGCACCCAGTGGGTCCAGCTCTGGCGGCCGGGAGGGACACGAGGGGACCGCCACGCTGCAGCCCAGATACGCTGCCAGGAGATTCCCCTGCGGCACAGTGGAGTTCTTCGGTGAGCCAATCAGCCCACTCACGACACTCCCATGCATCACTGTGTGTGTCTGTCTGTCTGCCTGTCTGTCTGTCTGTCTGTCTGTGCACCTGTGTGTCATCAGATTTGCCTGGTCTGTCTGTTCCCTCTCTGCGTGACGGCTGCCTGCCTCTCCTGGAGCGGTGTGACGTCATCATTCTCGTCTATGACATCACACGGTACCCCACCTACGAACGGCTGACCACCCACTGGTGCAACGTCATCCAGTCACTCAGCCACCGCCCCTCCCGCACTCCGCCATTCGTAGTGGTGTTCGCCAACCAAATCGACCGGTGCATGGCGCCACCAGGCCGCAGCGAGGCCACCCACCCCCTCCCCCTCCCCCACTCTGCTGTGGTCATGTCGGTTGCCAGCACAACAGAGGACTGCAGGTCGACAAGCGGCGAAGGGCCGGTGAGCAGCAACACGTCCCCCTCGCCCTTCTCGGCTGCACGGCCGGTGAGGGTGCGTGAAGCCGACCACCCACACAGTCTGGTGGAGGCGTCCAGGGACGGGCTGAGGTATCTGTATGAGCGGCTGAGCAGCTACGAGATGCCCACACTGGCAGCAGCCAAGGCGACACTTGCCGGCCAGGGTGAGGGTGCCAGTGAGGGCAGGGGTGGGGCGGTGGATGGTGCGTCGGGCAGTGGGCGGCAGGTGTCGACCTCACAGGCACTCAAGTGGACCAGACAGAAGGTGAGAAGGAGAACAGCTCTCAGACAGACAGACAGACAGACAGCAAGCTATGTGTGTTCTGCAGGGTTACCCCTATTTTGAGACGAGTGCCTTCAATGTGGCGTCCGTCCGTCTGGCCGTCAACGACTCCCTCCTGACCTACTTCAGACAGCAAGAACAAGCCCAAACTTACCGCCATGGTCCCTCGTTTGCCGAGTGGCTGTCGGTGCTGGACAGCCCCGAAGACCGGCAGTGCATCGGGGGTGCGGTGCCACAGATGTTTGCAGGCGACGAGCAGCCGATGGACGAGCTCAAGGGAGGAGGGCTCTTCGGGGCGGGGAGGGCGTGTTGCGACGTCACGCAGATGCCATGTGTGACGCAGTGAGCGACGTTGAGAGAGAGGGGTACGTACGGTTATTGGTGTGAGCGGATGGGTGTTGGTGATATTAGTTTTCCGCCACGCCATGCCATGAGTGTCGATCGACCATGTCAGTCAGTCAGCTGTGTTGTGTATTTGTCTGTCTCACTTTTTTCGTCTTGCTCGGTTGTGGGTGGTGGGTGGCAGTGTGCAGATGGATGGATGGATGGAGGGATGGATAACGGACGTGTGTGTAGATGGCTGTGGGTATAGCGGTGGACAGAGAGGCGGGATGGAGGCTGACGTGGTGTGGTGTGGTGTGATGTGCAGGTCGGTTGCTGTCCGGCTGGCCGACGGCTGGCCTGGCTGTGCGTGTATATCTTTGCATTAGCTCGTCTCGGTCACTGAGATGACTGACTCGTCGAATGGTGAGTATGTGTAATTCATGTTCATGCCTTCGCGACGAAAGACTGAGTGCGGATGGCTGGTGCTCTCTCAATGCTTCTTTTGCAAAGCTTCACATCAAGTACCACTGTCCGTTCAATCAGTCAGTCCGATGCCCACACCAATCCACACACACACACACACACGTGCGTCAGATAGAGAGAGAGAGATGTGTGTGGCTGCTGGATGGCCGTGGTATGCCATCCGTCAGACATAGCCGGCCACACACATGACCCCCTCCTCGGATGGGTGTCTGTCTGTCTATCACACACTTACACACACGACAGCGAATTAGCTGGAGGGATGGAGACATGCACACACGCGATTGCGGCCTTTCGGGCCACACACGTGAGTCAGTGAGTGAGCCGGCCCATCCCTTGACCAAAAATGAGACCACAGCGGATGAGTATACCCAGCCCCACCACACATACACACACGCCAAGAGTAGAATGGCTGCAATGGCCGTGGTAGGCCATCCTCACGCACGCACAATGGCGAGTTGGAAAAGGGGCAGAGGTAGGCAGACGTGCGCGCGGGAGACGTGAAGACACGGAGCACGGGAACATGCGATTAATGTGTCCATTGCATGGATGTGGCAGTGAGTGAGTGAGTGAATGGTCGGCCCATCGGCCGCCCGCAAGCCATACATGCTATCCTCCGTCTGCATCTATCTCCCTCCCTCCCCCTCTCCTCACTCACTTGGCCTTGTTGCTTTTTTTCTTGCCCCCCTTGCCCCCCTTGTCTCCCTCGCCCCCCTGCTTCAGCACTAGCTCCATGCGCAGCATGTTGATGAAGCTGTCTTTCCACCCGTCCCCGTCCACATCACACACAGACGATACCACACTGTACACCGACCCCACCTTCCTCTCTGCCTCCCGCAGCAAAGCCGTCAGGCCCTTCGAGTGGCTCGGTTCGAAGTCGCCGTCTTCGTCCCAGCCCCACTCGCCCTCATAGTCAGAATTGGCGGCCCGGCGTCGCGCCTTGGCTGTCATGAGCGACTCTGTTGTGAGCTTCAGGTCGATGCTGGCTGTGGCTGGCTTGATGGACATGAGCAGAGACAGCACAGACCGAACACACCCCTTGCTGATCTCATACGCATTCGACACGCGCAACGACTTGACGGCAGGGTAGGCTAGCTTAGGCACCGGCGTGTGAGATGAGTCGGGCAGCGCACTTGACATCAGCCACAGGCTGATGTGCAGCTCATCTAACTCACGGGCATGCAGATACGACACACACTGCGACACGGTGCGGAGGCTCAGTGCCCCGAGCCACACCTCACGCACCTCCGCCAGGCTGCCCAGCAGCTGCTCCAGCCTGGCAGCCTCAGCACCGGTCGGCAGGGCGTTGTTGCGGGCACCGTCGGTTCCAGACCCGCCGCTCGATGCGTTGATGTAGAGGTGCTGGATGTTGGGAAGGTGAGTGTTGCTGCCGCTCTGGTCCTTGGCCACCAGCCACTCGGGGATGCTGGTGATGAGCTGACGGACAGGGGTGCTGCCGTCGTTGTGGTGTTGGGGATGGATGGAGAGCTTGGTGGCCGCTGGAAATGTCAGCAGCTGCCCCCACGTGTCGTGCAAAGGGGCGCCGCCGTACACAAACTTGACCTGGAGAGAACACGGGACACAGGGCAGACACGTGGGCAGACGTGAGCCGTGTTCCCAGCCGTGTGCTGCGTGTCTCTCTCTCCCCCTCCCCCTCTCCCTCCCTCCCTCCCTCCCTGCCTGCCTCTTCCCTCCATCCCTCCCTGCCTCCAATTGCCTGCCTGCCTCCCTCCCTCTCTCCCTCCCTCACCGCGTCGCATTCGGTCGTCAGGTCGGTGATGAGTTGGGCTACAGGTCCGTGCGGGGCCGGAGGTGTATCGGGTCCCTCCTTGCCGCAGTCGATGACGATGTCGTCATACTGCGGCGGGCTGTCCGTGTCGTAGATGCTACGCTCGAAATGGTCGTCGTAACTGCACAAGACACACACAGACACAAACAGAGTGTGTCCGTGTCTGTCTGCGATTCGTTTGTTGCTGCATGTCTCAGTCACCGTGGCATCCACACGATTTGGCATTTGGTCTCCTCGGCCCAGGTGAGGAGGTCCTGCAGGGCGAAGTGGTTGGGGCCGCTGCGGTCGGTCAGCTGGCGGCTGAAGTCGGGGCCAAAGGCGAACCGATGGTGAATGGTGATGGTCTTGTCCACGTCTGCACACCACAGATGACACATGCAGCAAAGAGCGCCTCCCTGTGTGCTACTAAGCTGCCCAACCCCCCTCCCACCTTTCATGTGTTCGGTGCGCCAGTTGGTGTCGAGTGCCGCACTGAGGCGGCCCAGCGGGTCGTAGATGTACTCAACGCGGCTGACACACACGACAGCAGAAAAAGGGAAACATGACTTGACGCCCTCCCATCTATCTTCTCGCCCAGCTCACTTAGGTTCTCTGTAGTCTGTCTCGGGCGGAACGAGATGGAGGCCGCTGATGCTCGTGAGCTTGGGGCAACCACTCAACGAACTGACATCCACACACACAGACACACACACACATCAAGAGGGAAGAAAACATTTGTGTGTGTGATGAGATTGTCTTGTCGTCCACTTGTGTCTACCTGGTGAATGCCTGCCACTCGTCCCCCTCGGTGACATCGATGACATCGGCCTTGATGGACGTGATCTCGGCCGATGAGGTCGACACGATGTGGGTGACGGCCGGCAGGTGTGAGATGCGCTTGCTGCAGCTGAGTGACTCGTCACACACCTTGCCCACACTCAGCACCTCCAAACTCGGAAACACCCACTTGCGATCCCTGACACGACACACAACACACAACAGACAACACACAACGCCACACACAACACACGTTTGCGTCTCTGCCGCCACCGCTCCCCGCCCCTTTTGTCCTTACTTGACTAGGTCTAGGTGGCGTGTGTCGGTGATGTGTAGCTGCCGGGGCTTCTCAAACACCACTGGCTCCTTACCCTCTCCCTCCCCCGGCCCCTCCCTATTGCCGTGTCTGTTGGGGCCATAGCATACACGCCTCGGGTCGTCGACACCAATGTGGATGAGCGTGGCCTTGGACGCCTCGATGCACTCCACTGCAGACGGCAGCACATCATTGTGGCAGTCGGTCTCGATGAACGCCGTCTTGATCTTACTCTGACCCACACAGACACACGCGAGATACACATCCATCTGCCCACCATGCCCACCCCACCCCCTCACCGACCCACCAGTCGTGTTTTGAGTGTGTCGGTGGGTTTGATCTTCTTCCAGTAGTCGTACTCCTTTTTTGAGATGGTGAGGTCACGGTAGAGGACGCCGTAGGTGGCGTCGGTGGTCTTCTTGTGCAGCTGCTGGCACACGAGCGAGAGCGGCTTGCGCTCGATGGTGGTGAGGAAGTCGCCGACTTCATAGACGGTCTCGGCCTCGAGGTGAGCCAAACCAACGCCAGCAACCTTATCCTGGCACAAGAACGAGAACTCATCTCCACGGAGGGCAGATGGACGGCTGTTGTTTGGTGGATCATGTTCGCTCACCGATTTGTTTGCCATGTCGACATCCTCCTCTCCCACCCGCGGCTGCTTGGCCTTTGCGTTGGCCTCAACACGCGACATCTGATCTGCATATGCACACACAGAGAGGCCATCGATGGGACCGGACCGTGCCACCAAATGGATGGATGGATGGATGGATGGACCGGATGGATGTGATGAGGTATCGCTCTCACCGTACCTACCTTACAAATGCACAGACACACGAGATTTTGAGGATCGTGACCCCCGTGAAACGGGATACGAGTTCAAGACTAAATTGGCCGAAATCAGCCCCCATTTCCAGTGATACTATTCTTTGTTCAAAGTCTTTAGAAAAACAGTTCTCCTTCGGTCAACAAGGAGCCGTTCCTTCACGCGGTCACTCTCTTGTCCGCTGCAGTGCAGTGTGCATTCTCGAGGGCCTCTGCAGCACAAAACGTTGCTTATTGGAGGGACAGCAGTTCACTCGTCGCTGACAGGATGCTGACCCGCGCGCAGGTGAGGAGACAGAGGGGAAACGACCGCACGGACGGTGGGGGCGCCGTCTCATCCTTTGTCACCGCATGAGGAGCCCATCCACGGCCCAAAAATGCCTGCCTGTAGCCATATCGAGGCTGCCTGCATGGCCTCATTGTCGCGTTCGTTTTCTTCTGTGTGTGTGTGCCGACTTACGGTGCAGGCTGCCGCCAAAAAGGAGTTGGAGCGAGAGACCCAGGAAGCAGCTCAGCTCGCTGCAGTGGCCGCCGCCACCGGGGGCATCCGCCTCTATGACTTCAACCCCTTCGTCGATGCCGAAGACGACGAGCCCCTCGACAAGGCCGCCCAGAGGCGACACAAGAAGAAGATATCCGCCCCCGAGAAAGACCATCAAAGGGATGTAAGGACGGGCACCAACCACAACAAATCCAGAGGGGCAGCCGCACGGCAGCCCGCTGCGAGGAGGGGCCGGGTGAAGGGGAAGGGGAGTCGGGAGATGGGGGATGTCCATATGGGCGAAGGAGAGGGCGAGGATGTCGAGATGATGGATCAGGGAGATAGCAATATGTTGGCGAGGGAGGCCAAGAAGCCCCCCCATCATGCCGCCGCCCAGCAGCGTCGGGCTGCCAAGGAAGATATGGAGAAGGATGACATCCACAAGGCAGCCCTCATCGAGGGAGAAAAGGAAGAGGAGCCCCTCCGCAAGAAGAAGAGGAAGAGGAACAAGAAATCCGTCGCCCGCGCCGCCAGCCATGATGCGCACGGAGACATGGAGATGGACGTCGTGGAGGCGATGGGTGGAGGGATGGCCCTCAAGACGGCTGTGGAGAGGGGCATGTGTGACGCTGTCGATGCTCTGCTAAAGCAACGACAGCAGCTGGCCGGCCAAGGCCTGCTCCACGCCCTCGCCGAGGCCAAGAGCGTCCCCGACGAAGACAAGGTGCGCATCGCTGAGGCACTGCTGTCCGCTGACCCCTCCCTGGCCACCGAGACCGACTGCAACCTCCAGACGGCCCTCCATCGTTTCTGTGAGCTGCCCCTGAAGGACCCCAAGCGGCAGGAGCAGCTGCTCGATCTGCTGCACGCCAAGGGAGGAGCCGCCATCATCCACACTCAGGACGCCGAGGGCTGGCGCCCCCTGCACGTCGCAGCAGCGTCCCACCGCGGCCATCATGCGAGCGGCACTGCGACCGTCAAATGGCTGTGCGGCCATGGGGGCAAGGCGCACGTCAACGAGGCGGTAAATGTGGACGGAGACGCCTTCGTGACGCCCCTGTCCATCGCGGCTATGCATCCGGCCATTCCGCTGACTCGTCTGCGCGTGTTGATTGAGGAGGGCGGCGTGGGCAGCAGGCTGCCAGCGGAGGGTGAGAGTGATGGCCAACAGCCGGCTGCAGGGAAAAAGAGGAAGCGCCTGTCGCCGGCAGAGGCGGCCATGGAGACAGCGGGGAAAAGAATCGAGAAGGTGCACAAGGAGGGAGGGAGGGAACATGCTCTCATGGTGCTTACTTTTGTGGCTGTCTGGGTGGTTGTCAGGTGATTCGGGCATCCAGGAGCAAGGAGGAGGCAGCGAGGCCCCGGGAGGGGAGGAAGAACAAACAGGAGGCCGAGGCCGAGGCAGCTCGGATGCGTCGGAGCCGGTTGGGCCGTGAGTTGGAAAAGATAGTCAACGACGCCCTCGGGCCGGTCCGCTGGCTGAAGGGCAAGGACGCCCCCCTCCTCAAGCACCTCGAGGCGGCCCACGGCGTCCCGGCTCATGTGCTGGCTCAAGGCGTGAGCAAAGTCGCTGAGCCTCACATGCAGGACAGCTATGACATCCCTGGTCTCAACGTGGACGGGGACACCAAGCACAAAATCGCTGCCGACATCCGACAGCATATCTTCTACGCAGCCTGGATCATCAAGGTGGGTCAGGCAAGAGGGAGCCACTAAGCCTTTTCCATGTCTACATGCTCTCTCGTATGTGTGTGTGTGTACAGACCAAGGGCAACGAGCGTTTGGTGGGCAGCCCGGCCCGCGGCATCGCACCGAACCCCATGAAGATGTGGACGGACAGCACGACGGGCGAGCGGCTGGACCTCTTGCAGCGAATCGAGAGACGCCTTGGATGGGCGTGAGTGAGTGAGTGAGGGAGGGAGGGAGGGAGGGAGGGGACGGACTGTGCATGTGATGTGATGCGATGTGTGTGCATCGATCGATCGAGGGGCTGGTGAGTGAATGAGTGAGTGAGTGTTGTTTGTCGACTCATACAGACAGACAGACAGCCAGACAGACAGACAGACCTGTATGTGTGCAGCATTGGATGGACCGGCATCCTTGCTGTGCTGCATTCAGTCATGTGCTGTCGGGCGTTTGTGTATTGTCATGAAGGCGCCCATGTACGTGTCGCCGCGTATTCCGTCTCCGAGGGTAGAACGACGCGACACTTCTCTTGAGATGCATATATTACCTGACCCATACACCACCAACGGCCAACACCCAGGTGGTCTCCCAAATGCGACAACCAAGCAAGGTCATCTACCTCAGCCAGCGAACACACTCAGCGGCCGCCGATCGATGTTCTCGCCAGTGGCCAACGCAACCATCCATCACATCAATGGCAAGCCACGGCATGCAGCGAACTCATTGGGTACACATGCCATTCAGTGACACGCACACAGCCGTCTGTCCATCCAGTAACGGAGGAGCAATGAGTGCGTGCTGGCGTGGGTGGAGAGGTGTGTGTGTGAGTGGGAGACACAGAGAGAGACATGCACGTGCTTGTGTAAGCACATTTGTGGATCGGTGGATGCCGAATTACTCACACAACACAGCACTGGTGCACTTGGGACGAAGGCATTATGCAATGGTGTGCCGAGTGGGGTGCATGGCAAAGGCAGCCAGCCAGAGTTTGTTGGTGGTGACAGGTAGACGATTAACTTTGTATGTTAGGGAACCGAGAGATTCAATCCAATGACATCGACTACCGGGTATTGTCCATCCATGTTGCCTGCCTGCGCATGCAGTCAGTCCGATGCCACACCCAACACCAAAACACACACATACACACACATGCACGTCAAGAGTAGAATGGCGGCGTGCTAATGGCTGTGGTAGGCCATTCTCACGCACGCGCGATGGTGGATTAGAAGAGGGGCAGGGGCACGCACACACGCACACAGACTGGCATGGAGGCACGAAACATGGAACACGAGCATGCGAGCAGTGAGTGAGTGATTGATTGAGACAGTCGGTTCCTCCCCCGCCCGCAAGCCATGCTACCTACCTGCCTACCATCTGCACCAACCGACCACGTCGCCTCACTCACTTGGCCTTGTTGCCTCCCTCCTTGCGACCCTTGCCCCCCTTGCCCCCCTTGCCATTCTCTCCCTTGCCCTTCTTGTCTCCCTTGCCCCCCTCCTTCAGCACTAGCTCCATGTGCATCCAGCTCATGAAGCTGTCATCCACCCCGTTCCCATCCACACCACACCAAGACGACACCACACTGTACACCGACCCCACTCTCCTCTCTGCCTCCCGCAGCAAAGCCCTGAGGGCGTCGCCAGGGTACGGCTCGACATAGTCGTCGCAGTCGTTGTATTGGCCCTGGCCTGGTGCGAGCGACTCTGTGGTGAGTGTCAGGTCAACGCTGGCTTTGGCTGGCTTGATGGACGTGAGCAGAGACACCACAGACCGAGCGCACCCCTTGCTGATCTGATCCTCATTCGACACGCGCAGCGATTTGACGGCAGGGTAGGCTAGCTTAGGCACGGGCACGTGGAGAAATCGGGCAGCTCCCCCTCGTCCAGCCGGATGTGCAACTCGTCTAGCTCTCGGGCATGCAGATACGACACACACTGCGACACGGTGCGAGGGCTCCGTGCCTCCAACCACACCCACCGCACCCCCGCCAGGCTGCCCAGCAGCTGGTCCAGCCTGGCAGCCTCAGCACCGGTCGGCAAGGAGTTGTTGTGGGCATCGTAGCTTGATGCGTTGATGTAGAGGTGCTGGATGGCCGGCAGGTGTGTGTTGTTGCCGTTCTGGTCCTTGGCCACCAGCCACTCCGGGATGCTCGTGGTGAGCTGGTGGACGGGGGTGGTGTAGTGTTGGGGGTGGATGGAGAGCTTGGTGGCCGCGGGAAACGTCAGCAGCGGACCCCATGTGTCGTGCAGGGGAGCACCGCCGTACACAAACTTGACCTGCGAGAAGGAACAGAAAAAGGAAGAGGGCAGATATGAGCCATTCTCAAGCGTGCGCTGCGTGTCTCCCTCCCCCTGCACCCCTCACTCACTGCGTCGCATTCGTTCGTCAGGTTGGTGATGAGTTGGCCTACGGGGCGGCCGTGCGGGGCCGGGGGTGTTGTCGCCGGGCCCTCCTTGCCGCAGTCGATGATGATGTCGTCACACTTGTCGAGAATGCTACGCTCGATATGGTCATCCTCACTGCACAACACACACACACACGCACACACAACAGACTGTGCCCGTCTCTGCCTGCGGTTTGTTTGGTGCTGCATGTCTCACTTACCGTGGCATCCACACGATCTGGCATTTGGTCTCCTCGGCCCACGTGAGCAGGTCCTGCAGGGCGAAGTGGTTGGAGCCGCTGCGGTCGGTCAGCTGGCGGCTGAAGTCGGCGCCAAACGAGAAGCGATGGTGAATGGTGATGGTCTTGTCCACACCTGCACACCACAGATGACACATTCAGCAAGGAGTGCCTCCGTGTGTGCTACTAAGCTGCCCACCCCCCTCCCACCTTTCATGTGTTGGGTGCGCCAGTTGGTGTCGAGTGCCGTGGTGAGGCGGCCCAGCGGATCGTAGATGTACTCAACGCGACTGACACGGAGCACCACAGACGTATACACACATGGTGTGTTTATGCCGCCATTCCATCTATCTTTCAGCCCTGCTCACTCAGGTACTCTGTAGTCCTTTTTGGGTGGGACGAGGTGGAGACCGCTGATGCTCGTGAGCTTGGGGCAGCCGCTCAGCGAACTGACATCCACACGCATATGACATCCACACGCATACAGACACACATCCACACACACATGAGTATGTATGCTGTTCAATCATATACCTGGTGAACGCCTCCCACTCATCCCCCTCGGTGACATCGATGACATCGGCCTTGATGGAGGTGATCTTCGGCGAAGCTGACACGATGTGGGTGGCGCCCGGCAGGTGGGAGATGCGGTTGCCGGACAGCCCGCCACACACCTTGCCCATACTCAGCACCTCCAAACTCGGAAACATCGACTTGCGATCCCTGACACGACACCCCAACACGTACGACATGAACCACATTTGTATCTCTGCAGCCAACCCATGCCCTCTTGTCCTTACTTGACTAGGTCTAGGTAGCGCGTGTGGGTGATGTGTAGCTGCTGGGTCTTCTCAAACACCACCGGCTCCCTATCCGTCCCCTTCCCCACCCCCGCCCTCTCAGTATTGCCGACTCTGCCGAAGTAGTGTCTGTTGGGCTCATGACACACGCGCCTCGGGTCGTCCACACAGATGCGCACGAGTGTGGCGTTGGACGCCTCGATGCACTCCACTGCAGCCGGCAGCACATCCTCGTCGCCGTCGGTCTCGATGAACGCCGTCTTGAGCTTGCTCTGACCCACACACATACATACAGAAAAGCCTCCATCCATGCCTATCCTCCTCCCACCCACCCACCCACCAGTCGTGTTTTGAGTGTGTCTGTGAGTTTGATCTTCTTCCAGTAGTCGTACTCCTTGTTTGAGATGGTGAGGTCACGGTAGAGGATGCCGTATGTGGCTTCGGTGGTCTTCTTGTGCAGCTTCTGGCACACGAGCGAGAGCGGCTTGCGCTGGATGGTGGTGAGGAAGCCGCCGACCTCATACACACACTCAGCCTCGAGGTGAGCCAAACCAACTCTACCAACCTTATCCTGACACAACGACGAGAAATCATGTCCACAGATGGCAGGTGCCCGGCTGTTGTTTGTTATTCGCTTACCGATTCCTTTGCCACCTGCGGCTGCTTCGCCTTCACCTTCACCCCAGCACGCGACATCTACAGAGAGAGAGGGGGAGGAACAGACCGAATGGATGGATGGATGGATGGTTGGATGGATGGATGGATGGATGGATGTGTGTGTGTGTTGTGTGTGTCACCTGTTCGTTCTTCCTCGAAATTGTGGAGAAGCACGGCCAAAAGCTCTACGATCCATGCGAGCTCAAACTCGAAGTTGTCAGGTCAGGCGTCCCACAGCGTGTGGTTCTCTGCTTGTCTGCTTTTTTCATCGATGCGGCTCCGGCTGCCCTCGTCGCTCTCCGCTGCTATTACCCGTCGCTCCAATCACCGTCCAATAGCCCCTCTGCCATGGCCACTCATCATCGGCAGGCAGCACAGGCGGTTCCACACGATGGACACCCACGTGCTGCCGCTGGACAGCAGCGATGGGAGCGTGCTGATAAGGGGCGGCGTCAGCCAGAGGAATGTGTGCGGCGTGAGCTTCACGCTGGAAGACAGTAAGGGCAGCCTGCTTCACGCACTGGTCAGCAAGCACAACAGAGACTCACACACAGACAGACGATGATTGAGTGATTGATTGCTTTGACTGTCCGTCTGTCTGTCTGTCTGTGTTTATTGTCGCACCAATTGTTGATCCAGCGTATTTTCGGTGAGTCGCTGATGGGGGGTGCTCACCTGACACAGGGGGAGGGAGGGAGGGATAATTCACTCATTGCTTGTCTGTCAGATAAGCACAATGTGAACCTCACTCGCATCGAAAACCGGCCCTCGCCACTCAACACACATGAACAGTCAGTCAAGGCACACACGAACACTCAACACACATACACCGCGTTCCGTACCTGGCTGCAGGATGTTCTACGTGCACTTTGAGGGCCAATGGGACGACGGGACCGTGCAGAGTGTGGTGCGCGAGCTGGAGAACTCGCCCGAGTTCATCAAGGGCCACGTGCACCGACTGCGGAGCAGCGAGGTGCCGTGGTTCCCAAGGCGGCTCGCGGACATCGACCAGTTCTCAAAATCGACTCTCGACGCCGGCACAGGTACCCACATGCGTGCCTCTGTGCGTGTCTGTGTGTCCATTCAGATATGTGTGTGTGTGTGTCAGATTTGGACAGTGACCACCCTGGTTTCTCTGATCCTGAGTACCGCAAGAGGAGGGAGCAGATTGTCGAGCAGGCGGCACAGTATAGATCAGGCACGCCCATATACAAGACACACACACACACACACGCAGAGACAGGGACAGAGAGAGCGAGAGAGAGATGTGGCCTGTTCGTCTATTCATTCGTGCGTGCAGGGCAGGCGATTCCACGCATAGACTACTCCGAGTCAGGTGAGTGCACCCACACACAAGAACACACGTGCCACATCTACCACGCGTATCGTCTGTCCATCTGTCTATCTATCAGAGGTTGGGACGTGGGCGTGTGTGTACGACAAGCTCAAGACGCTCTTCCCCGACATGGCCTGCAACGAATTCAACGACGCACTCAGGGAGCTCGAGGCCGCCAGCATCTACTCGTCGTCCGCCATCCCGCAGCTGCAAGACGTGTCCGACTACCTGCAGAGGCGAACGGGTAGTTAATGATTCTGTACTATGAAAATGCGGATGGATGGATGGAGAAGATGGACACAGAGAATGGCCCCCTCTGTGTGTTGTGATGCATTGCAGGTTTCACGCTGCGGCCCGTCACGGGTTTGCTGAGCGGCCGGGACTTCCTCAACGCTCTCGCCTTCAGGGTCTTCTTCTCCACACAGGTAAGTACCCGACTCACGTGAGTGCATCGTCTGTGTGTCCACCACATGTGTCTGTGTCTGTGTCTTTTTTCAGTACATCCGGCACCACAGCCAGCCCTTATACACGCCCGAGCCCGACGTCTGCCATGAGCTCATGGGACACGCACCAATGCTGCTCAACAAAGTCAGTTGCACCAACTCACCACTCACTCTACACATGTACATGTGCCTGTGTGTGCAGGATTTTGCGGATTTCTCGCAAATCATCGGCTTGGCGTCTTTGGGTGCGACTGATGAGGACATCCGGCGGCTGGCGACGTGCTACTGGTTCAGTGTAGAGTTCGGGGTCTTGTATCAGGACGGCGGCATCAAGGCCTATGGGGCTGGCCTGCTCTCGTCCTTCGGCGAGCTGCAGCACGCCACCTCACCCACCAACACAAAGGTAGACTGGCAGAGGGGCAGACACGCAGAAATGAATGTGTGGTCACGTGTGTGTGTGTGTGTGGATGTAGGTTGAGATCCGAGCGTGGGACCCGTGGGTGGCGTGCAGGCAGGAGTACCCCATCACCACATACCAGCCCATCTACTTCGCCGCCACGTCGCTCGCCGAAGTGAGTCAGTCACTCGAACACACAGTCACCCACAAATGGAACGTTGGGCAATGATTGTAATGTTGCGTCGTGTGCGTGGTGTGCTCCTGCAGGCGAAGGAGAAGATGCTGTCCTTCTGCGAGTCGATCAAGAAGCCCTTTTGCATCCGATACGACAGCGAGGCGCGGTGCGTCGTCACCGACACAGCCATCACACCGAAACCCGTATCAATCAAATTCTGACTATCTGGGAGATGGAAGACAGACAGGCAGGCAGACAGACAGACAGAGGCTGGTGTGTCCCCTGTAGACATACATACACTAGAGATTAGTAGTTGTCGTCACGTCGCCGTCTCTTTTTCCGTGTGCGAGTGCGTGCGTGTGTGTATTTATTTATTGGTGGCACGCTGTGTGCATTTGTGGTGGACGGACCGACAGATGGACGGACACGTGTGGAAAGCAGAAAGACAGACGAAGAGAAGTCGACGTCCGGACGTTTGTGTGTTGTGTGTGCAGCGAGCTGATGTGTGTAAGTCCCCCAGCCTCCATCCCTGCATCTGCTCTGGCCAACGGCCACTGCCTCTCACACGGGCACACCGTACACACGCACCAAATGTCCCCACGCAGTCGATCCCCGCCCCCAGTTAGCAAACAAAAAAGCGGAAAGAACCCCCCGGCTATCTTGTCATTCGATCACGACGCCCTTCTGTCCTTGAAGTGGTCCTTGAGGTTGGGGCTGGTGCCCATGCCGATGTAGTCGCGCACCCCACCCATAAGCTCCGCCTGCATTACGCAGACAGACAGACAGACATCACACAAGAGACACGGACGGACGGACCTCCCTCGTCAGTCTCACCTGGAGTCGTTCCTGCTCCTGCTGTTCCCTCAGCATCTGCTCCCTCCTCTGCCTTCGCGCCTCCACATCCAGAGGGGCACTCCCCTCACGACCATAATACGGCTTCCTACCCCTCGCCCCCTCCCCCTCCCCGTCTGTGGCCAGCGTGCCCCTCATATCATTCACCAAATCAGCAAACGGGTCCGTCGCTCTCTCAGATGCGCCCCCCTCCGCCTTGCTGAAGCTGCGGCCGGGCGGCGATTGCGACCGGCTGATGCGCTGGAATGGCACCACTGGCTGCTGCAGCAGAAGGCGGAACTGCTGTGCGCCGCCCTGCTGCATTGAGGGAAACGGTCCGTACGGGACGACCATCTGCATGTGTGCGGGAGGGGGGAGGGGCGGGGCGGGCTGGGGCCGGATAGTGGGCTGCAGAGAGAAGTAGGGCATGACGGTTGGTGCAGGCTGGGATTCACAGCGGGACCCGACGCTGGTCTTCTCTGGCTGTGCCGTCAGCTGTGTCTCCTGCTGTGTTGTGATGGCCCGCAGGCCAGCGGGGCTGGACGGGGCGCTCGCCACTCCCCACCCCTGGGCAGGCTGGCCAGGCGACGCCTCAGCACCACCAGCAGCACCAGCAGCAGCAGGGGCAGTCGTGTATATGGCCGGAACAACTGGTACATGCTCATGACTGGTGATGGTGTCTTCCATCTTGATGAGGTCCTCGTCGATGCCGCGACACGGCCCAGCAGGCGCACTCACGTCGATCAGGGGAGCTGACTCAACAACCACCGCCGCCACTGCTGCTGCTGGTTTCGTGTCTTGTCTCTGCTCCTTCTCTCTTTTTGCTATCTCTGCTGCTGATGCTGCTGCTGGTGGTTTTGCGGCTCTGGCCTGACGAGGGTGAGGGACGAGGGGGGGCCGGCCGGATGCAGCACCAGCTGCTGCAGCGGGGTTCATGACGTACATGTCCACCAGGAGCTCACCGGCAAATCTGTCCTTGTGCTCCAGCATGATAGCCTGCATGCGCACAGCATACACAAGTCACACGGGGCCTGCCTCTGTATCCGTATCTATGACCCCTCGGTAGCGGCCCTTGAGCGTGTTGTCGACCAGCAGATTGGCCAGACCAAAATGGGCTTCGGCAGCACGCTTGTCGACCACCTGATATACCAACAATCGCGCACCCACGAGCAACGCCATCTTCCCGTGTTGCATTCCATACCAGGGCCCTCTTGTGGAAGATGGTGAATCGGACGAATGTGTCCTTTGTGAAGCGCTTGAACTTGATCATCTTGTTGAAGGTGGGCTCCTCATCCCCACCGATGTAGTCGGTGCGGATGCAGTGGCCATCGACCTCCACTTCCACAGCATGCAGCCCCGCGTGTTTCAGCCGCCTGGCTTGCAGCAGGTTGACAACCAGTGTCGGGTGCTCACCAATCGACGAGAGAGAAAACGCAGCCATGAGTCGGTGGGAAGAAGCCTATTGGAAGAAGGCGGCGATGAGAGGCCGACAGACTGGTGACAGACTCTGCCTGCCGTTGCGCTATGTGTTAATGCGTCTTCCCCCGAAGGCTTAAGCAGGGGAAGAAGCAGGGGACGCGAGAAGCAGGGAAAGAAAAAGACGCCAGCCAAACAAGAGGAGGGAGGACCGGCTGGGGAATCGTCGAGATGCGAGCTAAAAATTGCTGTGCGTGTCTTCCCAGCGCTTCCCCAAGCAGGAGCCTGAAGCAGCAGGGACGGGATTCCCATCCTTTATCTGTCAACAAGATCTGTCGAGCAAATCGCGGCGGCGTGCAAGATTCATGGAGATCTTTGGGCTTCTAGCCTTCGTCGCATTGGATGCGGCAGATGCCTTCGCCTTCCCCTCCCCTGCCGCCCTCGCCCCCTCACTGAGGCCATTGTCATTAGCGGCCGGTCCGCCATTCAGGAGTCGACTCAGACGGGATGGCAACGCCAGGCTGTCTATGGGAGCAGCAGCACCTGCAGCCTCAAGCGTGGCAGGTGCGCTGCGGCCCTGTGCTTGACACGTCATGATGCTATGCAATGCATCTGTAGGTGTGTATGTGTGTTGGTTTCCACAGGTGCCTTATCATCGACTGCTGACGGTCCGTATCGCCTGACGTGGCTGGAGGGCAACTCGTGGCTGTGGGAGGTGGGTGGCGTGCGGCTGCTGGTAGATCCAGTGCTCGAAGGTGCGCTGAACTTCAACATACCCAGCCTCTACTCGGGCGAGAAACGGGTGAGTGACGGAGAGAGGAGCGCCACCCATGGCCGTCTTCCATGCGCTTGCTGGATGTGAGTCATCGGTGCAGAGTTTGCCGCGGACATTGGACGGCGTGTCGTCGTCTCTCGGGGTGACTGACTCGCTGGACGCCATACTTATCACACAGGGACTCGAGGACCACTGCCACGCACGGTACACACATACAGACACAGACACAGACACAGAGAAAGATGCGTCATAGGCATCCGTCTGTCCATTCGTCTATTTCTGTGTCTGTCAGGACACTAAACAAGCTCAAGTCAGTGCTGTCATCCCGGCCCCCGCGCCCCTCCCCACTGCCCATCGTCACCGCCCCATCAGCCCTGCCCACACTGGAGTCCATATTCTCCGACTCGACTGATCTCGTGTCCATAGTGCCGCTGCGGCCGGGCGAGTCGGTGCCTGTGTATGGTGACAAGGGGGTGCGGGTGGATGTGACGGCCACCAGCGGCGCGTTGGTGGGACCGCCGTGGCAGGACAGAGAGAATGGCTATCTCGTGACAATGCCGCAGGTAGGCGTGGACAGAGAGGGAGGGAGGGGGTGTGAGTGGAGATCTGGGGGTGCGTCTCTCGGTTGTGTGTGCAGGGGCTGAAGCTCTATTACGAGCCTCACTGTGATTACATTCCTGAGCTGATCAAGGGTAGGGACCAATGCAGCACTCACACGCATCCATCCATCCATCCATGCGTGTTTGCCTACGTCTGTGCAGGTGTGTCAGCCGATGTGGTCATCACGCCCGTCACCTACCAGCGTATCTTCGGCTATGCCTTCGTCAAGGGCGGGCAGAACGCCGTGTCGTTGATCAAGCAGCTGGGGGCTCGTGTGGTGGCGCCCATGAACAACGGAGAGCTCGAGGCCAAAGGCATCTTGACGTCGCTCATCAAGAGTGAGGGCGGGGTGGAGCCCTTCAAGGCCCTCCTAGCTGCCGACCACCCCAACCGATACATCGTCATGGACATACAGCCCGGCCAGCCGGCTGACATCCCCATCAAGGAGCTCTTACAAGACAGAGTGGCTGTTGAGACTGCGTGACGTTATCTTCGTGACGTGGTTTTGTATGTGTGAAGAGAGACAGAAGGAGGTGGTGTGTGCAGAGCGGTTGTGTCTCTGTGTGTGGATAAAGAGGCGGATATCGCTGGCTGGACGGTTTTTCATCGACGTGTGCAGGCATCCGACAGTCATCCATTCGTCAGTATGGGCGCTAAGCAGCGTAGAGAGTCGTGCAGCGCAGTGTCTCGAGCGTGTGCATGTCTTTATCAGTAGATCGGCCTACAGAGTAGTGAGTGCGGCCGCTGGATACTCATCGACGTCACAACACATAGCACGCCGATGGGTTTCGTACTTGCTGGGACAACGCCTGCTTGGCGAATAACAATATCCGGATGGGGGTTTGAAATAATATCCGCCTGTTGGTAACGCACTTTTGAATCGAGTTCTTCAAGCAGCTTTTCGCCGTCGCTTCGCTTTTTCCCCCGCTTTTTGTTCTTCTTCCCTCGGCGTTTTCCCTCCTTCCCCTCCCTCCGCTCCCTCTCAGCAGCAGCCACGATGCGCGTGTGTGCCCTCATTGCCATCAGCCTGCTCCTCGCCACCTCAGGTGCGACTGCAGACACGACAGCGGCACAGTGGATCACTGCAGACGTGCCAGCACATCCGTTCTCTGCGACTCTGTCCCTCTGTATCTGCCTGTGGTCCCTCGCCCCCTCTGTCTGTCTGTCTGTCCGTGCGTGTCAGTGTCGGTGGTGGTGTGTGAAGCCCAGAAGCACCAGCAGCATCAGCAGGAGGTGGCCTCCCTCGTGCGGTCTCTTCGGGAGCTCTCAGAAGATCCTGGCCTGGAGGACACGCCACCTTCCCCAGAAGACGAGGCCACTGCTCCCGACGACGATGAAGACTCGTCAGAAGACAGTGAGCACTGAATCTCGTGGCTGGCTGCCAAGCATCCCCCAGATACCGCACCTCTCCCTCTCTCCCCCCTCCCTTCTCTCTCTGTGTGTGTGTGTGTGTTCTGTGTGCAGGTGCCATATCGCCTGCTGATGATGCGGACTCAGCGTCGTGGGTGGCGCTGACCAAAGGGAAGTGGGGGATCGATGAGAAGGTGGAAAAGGCATTGAATGTGTTCATCGCCAAGATGCTGGCGTACGCGTACAAGTTCAAGAACCTAGGCTACTTCTTCCACCACAGTGATGTCCAGTAAGCAGACGAGCACCACACAGAGATGGAGGGAGGTTAGATGTTGACACGTGTCTGTATCCGTCTGTGTGTCTGCATCTGTGTGTGTGTGTGTGTGGTGTGTGAGCAGTCTAAGGGCTTCGAGGCCTTTTGCAAGTACCTGTTTTTTATCATCGTAGTCAAAGTCGAGATCACCATCGAGTTCCTCCATGGGTACGTACGTCCCTGCGCACATGTGCACGCGTCAACCACCACAACACACACACACACACACACACGGGCAGCCGTCGTAGTGGTTTCTCTCTCTTTCTGCCTCTGTGTGTCAGTTGTCACGGCGATTATTATCCCAAGTCCGTTGCGTACTACAACTACCCTAAGGACAAGTACAAGCCCATGCCGTCGATTCAGAACCTGTTCACGACGTACGCAGAATACTACGACTCGTACCTGACGGTAAGGGGGAAGGGGAGAGGGACCGACACACACTCTTGACGGATACGATGCGTGTGTTCATTCAGGTGTATGACGGGTGCAAGGGGGATAACCAGTGCATCCACTTCCTCGAGAAACACTTCCTCAGCAAACTGGTTCGTGTGACACACACACACACACACACACACATGCATCCTCTCACCTTGTGTGTCCCCCCCTCCCCCATTCTCTGTGTGTCTCGAAAAAGGTCGTCGTCATTAAGTTCATATATGGAATCATCATCAAGATCTACCATTACGGCAGTCTGAAACTCGGCATCGTGGCCATCGACCGTTACCTTTACAAGAAGTTTGGCTGTTACGGTACTGCACACACACAAAACGAGTGGGGGTTGCTTTCATTTGTGTGCCTTGGCGTGTGTAGGTAGCAACAAGGGCGGCAAATGGTGCAACACCGGCTACTGCCCGAAGGGCAATGAGATAGGCGAGCAGGGTATGGGCATCACGGGTACGCCTGCGATAGCCATGGCTGTTGATGAGGCACCCGAGGACGCGCTTGATGGAGAAGAAGTCGACTAAGTCGATGTGATATCTTCGGACGTCGAGCACTGAGTGACCTACATGCTTGTTGGCCGCCTTTTTCCTACTTTCTGGCCGCCGGGTGGTCGGTCTCCTTTAGTGCTGTGTCGTTTCTGCCTCATGACGGTGGGTGTAGTGTGGTGGGCAACGTCCTAGTCTTCCTAGTCAGCCTCTCGATGAATGGATGAATGGATGGATGGATGGTGTGTGTGGCGGCCAGCTGTCTGTGTGCGTAGTGAGTGTGCGTCCCCTGTGCCATGCAGACTTATGGCTTCGTCTTTGAGTGCTTCCTATGTTTGTGTGGGCATGCAGCAAGGCGAGACAGGCACTAGTGCCGATCATGAGCGAGCCAATTCGTTAGTGTCTGCGTGTGCGCATGTGTGCCATCAGCACAGTGGATGGATGGCTCCATTTGCAAGACGGCCATGTGTGCGCTGGCTGATGCGCTTGTGGGTCTTAGTCCCTTTGTGTCTTTTCCCTCCCCCTTACACACACATACTTACATGTGTACACTTATCTGTACATGTACGACGCTTACGTATATGTAATTGTGTCCTATATACATACCGCTGTGTGTCTGGGGGGCCTGTGTGTGATTGCTATTTGTATGTCAACAGCTCCGGCGAAGGGCATTTATGTCAGCCAGTGCGGACACAAGAGGAAGAGAAACGAAGAGAGGGCTTTTTGGCCGTGGACACGGGCGGGCAGACAGACCACAATGTGTACACATGCCGTATACCGCCTGTCTGTATTTATAGGTGGAGCCTTTTTCGACTGCCTGCAATGTCGGGACTTTCTTCCCCCTTTTCTGCCTTATCGCTCACTCAAGTGTCTTCATCATCATGGTGCATGACAGGGTGCAGAGAGGGGTAATCATGCACATCGTTGACTTATCTACATGCCGAAAGTGTGTCGTTCAAATCACTCACATGCACAGTGGCCCGCAGTGGCAGTCGAAGCAGCGGGCAACATAAATATGAAGTGTAGGCAGCGATTGCTGGACCTTACCCAACAAATCAAGAGACATTCAAATCGGCATTGCCTGCTTGGTCACACAGATGCACGCACACACCATGTCATACGTGGCCGTGTGTCTCGGCTCGCTCACTGCTTGGCGGATGGCACGGTGGGCAGCACGAACTCTTGCACATACGTAAGTCACACGCACACGTGCATACAGGTAGATGTCTCTGCAGTTGTGTCTCTGTGTGGTTTTCATGGTGCCCAGCTTCCTCCGCCTCACTTCTCTCGGCAGGACCTTCCGCACGGAGGGCAGCGCCAATAAGGAGAGATGATTGATGTGTAACGATGCGCCGGGGGCCACACACGCGTTGGTCCACGGCACGAACAAACACCAACAGTCGATCGTGATGTAATGATAACGAGCAGCACACATGAATGCAATGGACAGACATGCAGACTGACAGACAGCCAACCAGCACGGCGCATACATCCAGGCCAATCAACACACACTATCTCCAAACGCCTACTCACTGGGGGGCACCCTCAGAAAATGAGAGGCTCCCCAGGCACGAACATTCCAGCCCCATCACCCCAATGTCCTCTCTGATACAGCCAGTGCCACCGGCCCTTCCTCCTGGGCCGCCGCAGACACCGAACGAGGCAGGCACACTGACAGCCGAGCCCGAATCCATTGCTCGACTGGGCCAGACCTTTATCTGTCCCATCCGTCCCTCTTGTTGATGAGCTCGGCCAAGCGGCGAATGAAGCGATCGGCCTCCCTCCCGTAGACGCCGTCACACGTCACGATGAATGCCGTGAAGTCCATGCGGTTGAGCCGACACACGTCAAGATGGTGGTCCTTGTTCAGCTTCTTCCTCTCGCAGGTGATCGCGCCGGTGGTTTTGCCCTGGTTGCAGCGATCGACAGCTCGCGGCCGCCTGGCCAAAACCTCGACACGAACAGGTCCGTGCGGACGGAGGGGTTGTTGTGGACACCATCAGGCTCGTCGAGTGCAGTATGTGGGTCGGGCGGGTCGGGATGGTCAGGTGGGTCGGGAAGGGGAGGGGGATGAGGGTGGCTGGGACCGTCACAGGGAGTCACACCCAAAGGGGCGGCACGGGGGTCGCGAGCGGCGGCGGCGTGGGCGGTCTCCTTCCACACCGTGTGCTCGTACGCCACCTTGAGGCCCGCCAGCTGACACAGACCGCCAACCTCGTGCTTGAGCCGGTCGTCTTTGGCATACACCAGCCCGCCCAGGGAGCAGCCAAGCGCGTGTTGGACGGTGAAGTCGGCACCGCTTCTCGCCCCCTTTGGGAGCTCGCCGTCGCACTTGTCTGGCACGTCCTGGTGGGGCAGGCCGTACCGGTGGCACATGGCGTCACGGAGCTCGAGTGCGCTGAGGTCGGTGTCGTCCAGCTGGGACGGGCGGACGGTCATGAACTGCCCCGTGTCGTTGCAGCGAGCACGCTCTGCAGCCCTGGCCTGGTTGGGAGGGAGGCGGCCGATGATGGCTGTCGAGTCGTGGGCGAAGGTCTCGTGCATCTGGCTGCGATGCGCTGCGGCGGAAATGGGGGGCGGAGGTGGCGATGGCGGTGCCCGCCCGGGGGGCCTTGCGCGTGAGCCGACAGCGGTCAGTCTGCCCATCGAGTGGGGCCGGAAGGGGGGCGCGGAAGGACGGGTCGACAAGGCCGATGCCACCGTGGCACACAGGGTCAAGGAGCAGCCGCTTCATGTCGTAAGAGAGGGGCCGCGGCGTGCCGGCGAGTGCGGGCAGGAACGTGTCGGTGACGCAAAAGCGTAAAAGTCGATCGAGAGCGGCAGCTGAGGGACGTAGAGAGGTCTGCACGCAGTGCCTTTGCGTGTCTTTATTAGCGGCAGACCGCTTGCGTAGTAGTGGGAGTGCCGGCCTCTGTTATTCTGTTGTTACACAGTGTCATGACCTTAAAACCGCAGAAACGGCTGCTTGGCGAGGAACAACGTGCTGATGAGGGCTTGGATTATAATTTCCGCCTGTAACGGACTTTTGACCCCGAGTTCTTTCGTAAGTCCTCACCATCACTTCGCTTTTTCCTCCTTGTCGCTCTTTGTTCTTCTTCCCTCGGCGTTTTCCCTCGCTCCCTCCGCTCCCTCATCAACAGCAGCCACGATGCGCGTGTGTGCCCTCGCCATCAGCCTGCTCCTCGCCACCTCAGGTGCGACAGCAAGGACACGACAGCAACACAGCGGATCACTGCACACGCGCCGCACACACATTCTCTGTGACTCTGTCCCTCTGTATCTGCCTGTGTGTGTCTCCCTCGCCCCCCCCCCCCTCGCTGTGTGTGTGTGTGTGTGGTGTCAGTGTCTGTGGTGTGTGAAGCCCAGAAGCATCAGCAGGCTCAGCAGGAGGTGGCCTCACTCGTGCGGTCTCTTCAGGAGGTCTCAGAAGAAGATCCTGTCCCTGCCGAGGCTCCCGAAGACACGCCACCACAAGAAGTCGCAGCCCCAGAAGAAGACGAGGCCACTGCTCCCGACGACGAAGAGTCGTCAGAAGACGGTGAGCACTGAGTCTCGTGGCTGGCTGCCAAGCGTCCCCCACGTACCTTCCCTCTCCATCTCTCTCTCTCTCCCTCTCTCTCTCTCTCTGTGTGCGTGTGTGTGTGCTCTCTCTCTGCTCTCTCTCTCTCTCTCTGTGTGTGTGTGTGTGTGCGTGTGCGTGTTGTGTGCAGGTGCCATATCCTCAACTGATGATGAGGACTCAGAGTCGTGGATGGCGTTGGCCAACTCGAGGTGGAAGATCTCTACGGCGGTGGAAAGGGTTTTGAATAAGTTCATCGTTAAGCTGCTGGCCTACGCGTGGAAGTTCAAGCAAATGGCCTACTTCTTCCTTCACAGTGATGTCAAGTAAGCAGACGAGCACCACACAGAGGGAGGGAGGGAGGGAGGAAGACAGATGTCAGCAGACGTGCCAACATCTGACATCTGCATCTGTGTGTGTGTGTGTGTATCTGAGCAGTCTGGTGGGCTTCGCGGCCTTCACCAATCGCCTGTTTGTTTTCTTCGTAGTCAAAGTCGATATCATCATCAAGTTCCTCCACAGGTGCGTCGCGTCAACGACCACACACACACGGGCAGCCGTCTTATTGGTTTCTCTCTCTCTGCCTCTGTGTTAGTCGTCACGGCAATTATTACCCCACCCACCCCTCAAGACGGTCAAGCACCTCTTGGATAATACCTATGACATCTGGGGCTCGTACTCTTCAGTAAGGGAGAGGGGAAGATGGAGAGAGGGACTGACAGACAGACAGACACACACACACACTTGGACGGATGCGATGCGTGTGTTCATTCAGGTATACAACTCATGCAAGGGGGACCACCAGTGCATCCACTTCCTCGAGAGACACTTCCTCACCAAACTGGTTCGTGTGACACACACACACACACACACACGCATCCGTCTCACCTTGCGTGTGCCCCCCTCCCCCATTCTCTGTGTCTCGAAAAAGGTCATCATCATCAAAATTATAAGGGTTATCATTAACAAGATCTACCAGCACAACAATTGGAAAGATGGCCTTGTGTACATCGACCATATCCTTTACATCAAATTTGGCTGTAACGGTAGGTGCACAAGCACAGCAACGAGTGGGGGTTGCTTGCATTTGTGTGCGTTGGCGTGTGCAGGCAGCAACTGCAACAGTGAGCTCGGCGGTGGCGCGGCTGCGGGCGCGGCTGCGGGCGCGGCTGCAGGCAACCGCAATGAGATTGAGATATATAATACGTTGATGAATACCGCGACGAGCACCGCGACGAGTGACGCGACGACTAGTTTCTTTGACGATCGCGATGTCGTAGATCTCGCTTAGATATATAACAAACATGTTGATGAATTCCGCGACGAGTGCCGCGATCTCTTTTGACGATCTCTTAGTGTAGTGTGTTGGGCAACCTCCTACCTAGTCTTCTAGTGTCGTAGATCTCGCTTAGATATATAACAAACATGTTGATGAATTCCGCGACGAGTGCCGCGATCTCTTTTGACGATCTCTTAGTGTAGTGTGTTGGGCAACCTCCTACCTAGTCTTCTAGTCAGCCTGGATGGATGGATGGTGATCTCTTAGTGTAGTGTGTTGGGCAACCTCCTACCTAGTCTTCTAGTGTCGTAGATCTCGCTTAGATATATAACAAACATGTTGATGAATTCCGCGACGAGTGCCGCGATCTCTTTTGACGATCTCTTAGTGTAGTGTGTTGGGCAACCTCCTACCTAGTCTTCTAGTGTCGTAGATCTCGCTTAGATATATAACAAACATGTTGATGAATTCCGCGACGAGTGCCGCGATCTCTTTTGACGATCTCTTAGTGTAGTGTGTTGGGCAACCTCCTACCTAGTCTTCTAGTCAGCCTGGATGGATGGATGGTGTGTGTGGCGGCCAGCTGTCTGTGTGCGTAGTGAGTGTGCGTCCCCTGCCATGCAGACTTATGGCTTCCTCTTTGAGTGCTTCCTATGTTTGTGTGGGTGGGTGTGGCAAGGCGAGAGAGGCAGTAGTGCCGGCTTCCTCTTTGAGTGCTTCCTATGTTTGTGTGGGTGGGTGTGGCAAGGCGAGAGAGGCAGTAGTGCCGATCATGAGCAAGCCAATTCGTTAGTGTGTGTGCGTGTGCGATCAGCACAGTGGATGCATGGCTCCATTTGCAAGACGGCCATGTGTGCGCTGGCTGATGCGCTTGTGTGCGGTTTTCAGTCCTTGTGTCCCTCTCCCTCCCTCCCTCCCTCCCTGACACATACTTACATGTGTACACTTATCTGTACATGTACGACGCATACGTGTATGTAATTGTGTCTTGCATACGTACATAAATACCGCAGTGTGTCTGGGGGGCCTGTGTGTGACTGCTATTTGTATATGTCGACAGCTCTGGACGAAGGGCGTTTTATGTGCGTCAGTGTGTGAGCACACAAGAGAGAAGGAAATGGAAAGAGGGCTTTTTGGCCGGGGCGGGTCATGGATAGAGACCATGTGTACGCGTCGTCTGTCTGTATTTGTACGCGCTTTTTTCCGACTGCCTGCAATGTCGGGACTTTCTTCCCTTTTTCCGCCTTATGGCTCACTCAAGTGTCTTAATCATTCATGGAGCATGACGGGGTGCCTAGACGGATAAGTATGGACATCGGTGACTTACGTACATGCAGAGAGTGTATCGTTGAATCGGCATACGCACGCAAGCACAGTGGCCGGTGAAGCAAGAGTCGAATCAGCGGAAACCACAGATATATACACAAAACGATTGTATGCATTCACCCTAAACCAACACTGCCTGCTTGAGCACACACATGCACATGCACACATGCATGTGTGTCCGTTCGCTCACTGCCTGGCGACGGTGGGCAGCACCTTGACTTGAAGTTGGTCAGCACAGACTCCTGCACATACGCACATCACACGCGTGCAAACAAGTAGATGTCTCTGTGTGGTTTTCATGCGGCCCAGCTCCCTCCGACTCACTTCGCTCGGCATGGGATGGTGAGCAAACTCGAGCACGTCGCTGGCCAAACAGGCCCACTTTGATGCTGGCCTGTTTGCACACAATAATGCACAGCACATGCTCTTCTTTTTGTCCTGTGATTATCGTGTGCTTACCTTTTCGTCGTCAGCAGCATGCTAAACACACGGCCCTGCGTGCCGACGTTCTTCCCGTAGGCCTTGACGGGGCTCCTGCGTGCACATCAAAAATGTCAAAAATGCACATAGCATCGCATTCAGTCTGCAATGAGAGGTCTGCGATTTGCACAGACGATGCCGCTTACACACGGGTCACTATCCCCTTCATGGCCCTTCTCCCCACCCTCTGGCCCGGCCGCAAAGCGGAAATAGGCACCAGGACCACTGCACTCACAGATGAAGCATACATTACATACATATATCGACGCCAATGAAGGGCATGTCTCACATCAGATCAGGCTTGCTCTGATTGGTCAGTCGAGCTGCGTTGGCAGGTTGTGTCGCACATAAACTCACCGACGACAATGCCGATACGTAGCAAGGTACACGACCGACGAGGATGTAAGATGTAGGCAGCGGTTGCCCTGCACATATGCACAGACACAAAGAGACGTCGCTGATTAGTGTGATTGGTTGCTGACTTGAGCATTAAATCATGTAGCCTCACCCAATCTGCTGCCAATCACACTCCTCGTCACAATCCTCCTGCGTATACACAGACACAGACGTACACGCACAAAGAGAGATATCGCATCCATCCATCCATCCATTGACACAAGGCGGCAGCACCCATCCATCCATGCAGATCCACGGCGTGGCGGGCGTGGCGGACGAGGGCGTCCATGTCCTTCTGCGGGCTGGGCACCGGCTTGGTCTTGCCCTTGGGCGGCCCAAAACCCCCTCCTGCAGCAGTGCGAGGACGTATCACAGCCATCTTACGCCATGTGGATGAGTATGTTGATTCATCACCGAGGCCGAGGCATTGAGGAAAATGTCAACAGATATAAAATGTAGGCAGTGATGTGTAGACTGCACACACAAATCCAAGTCATGGAAACAAGAATGTGCCAACTCGTGTCTCCTCTCGATGCATTTGGGGTACGACGCCTCGATGGGTGGGTCACTCGGCTGGCTGGGGTCGCCCCCTCGCGTACGCGACTGTTGTGGAATGGGGGCCGCTGCCGTTGTGGTGTTGGTTGTGGGTGTGGGAGTGGTGGTTGTTGTGTTGCTGGCCGAGCTGCTGGGCGCGTCAGTGGTGGTCGGAGGTGCTTGTGTTGTGAAGGCCGTCTCGTTGTAGCACCCCTCGAATACCTCGTCCTGCGGACACAGTGAGGAGCACATATGGGCGGCCGGCAGTCTGCTTGCACTTATGTTCATTCTCACGTACCAGGTCCACCTCGGTGTAAAGGCGAATCGATGTCGCAAGTGTCAACACGAAAATCAGCAGGGACAAGATGCCCAAGTACTTCTGAAAGCAGGCAGAGCACAGAAATCCTCATCAAAGCCGTCAACGTGGGTGTCGTGCCCTCCTGGTAGAGTTAAATTTGCGCCGACAGTCGCCCTGTGTTCCACTGACAGGAAAGCGCATGCAAAGGGTCCATGCAGGGATGTAAGTTCGTTCGTGTGAGTGGGTCTTGTGTTTATGACTCACAGTATTTGACGCCGTTCTCGAGTCTCTCGAGCCTCTCATCGAGGCTGGGACCCTCATGCTGCTCTGCACACACACACGCATAGACAACACTGCCTGCCTGCCTTTCTGCCTTTCTGCATCTGCATCTCTTCCAGCTTGCCTGGCAGCTGCTGCACTGCATGAGACACTGACACTGTCCCTCTTGTACTCGTGGCCTTGGCCAGTGACCCCCTCTCCACCATGCAGTGCAAAAGCACATACACGACAGACTGAAAATGACCCCTCCCTCCCTATCCCATCAGCCAGCCACTCTCGCCCATCCCTGCCAGGTCCCTTGCTAGCCCAGACCCCACGATTGCTGGAATGATGCACAGCTTGATGAGCACGACGAACAGGAAGAAATGAACGGCATCTGGCCGGAAGGGTCTCAATGTCGTCCGACATACAAACGCACGTGTGTGGTGTGAATCTGCCTATGTCAATCTATTGCGTGTGGCTGACCTGTGTGTATCGACGATCTGCGCAGAAGTAGCATTGCAAGAAAATGAAAAACCGACTCATGCACTCACGCGTCGCAGCCATCTTGCCCGTCATGTGGATGAGTGCTGATTTATCACCGAGGCCGAGGCGCCGAGAGGAACAGAGCACCAGATATAAAATGTAGGCAGTGATGGGTTGACTGCACACACAGAGAGAGTGATGTGGAGACACCAATATGGAACGCGCGTGTCTCCCACCAATTTCTCTCAGTGCATAGGAGCTGCACGGCGTTGCCACGACGCGTCCTCCCACACCTCCTTCTGCACGCCCTTGGTGAAGGCCATGCAAATGTTCTTCTTCTCCTTCTCCTGGTCGTCATACTCGCTCAGCACAGGCAGCAGGAGCACCACCGTGGACACAATGAGCATGAGGATGGCGGCGATGGCGACGTTGGTTGTAGTCGCCCCAGCGAGTCCCTGCATCCAGGAACCGCAGACAAACGCCGACAAAAGGTCAACTGGTGCATCGCATTCGGTGTCTGTCACCGACGGGCAACTTCATGAGTGCCTGGCAGGCCAACACCACCAAACCTGCGCGCACAAAACAAAGATCATGAAAGCAGAACAGAACAACACGACCGCCGGACATAATGTGCATGAGAGCACGTGATTGATATGGATGGATGGATGGATGGACGTTCACATGTGCATTGTGCTACGCACCTGCAGCATGGGAAGCACGCGGCAAACGCTCGGCCCAGCTGGTTGAATGGCTGCTCCTCCTGAATGATCCTTTTCAGCGGGGAGGGGGGAGGGAGGGAGGGGGGATAGCCGCTATGCGGCGCTTGAGGGCTGTGAGGGACAGGTACCTACAGAAGCCATTCGCAGCAGCCACAGGACCAGCACACTCACACACATTCAAAGAACACTTGAGATGTGTGTGCGTCTGTGCATACTTTACGATGTCGTGCACGCCAATGAGGAGCGGCTCCCCGTCGGGACCAATCAGGAAGGGCCTTTCTCTTTTGCCTGATCAACACAAACGAGAAGACCGGATGAGTGAGTGAGTGAGTGAGTGTGTCCATCACAGTCGTCACCGTGGACAAGGAAATAGTAGCCACTGGTATCAAAGGGCCACTCAGCCCCTGCAACCACACACGTGAATAGACACACGTAAGCGAAGAGGCGTGGCCTCCCACTGCCTTCCCAATGCGTACCTTCAGCGCTCTCTACGTCGATCCCCAGCTGCTGGGCAATCAGCCGACAGACAAGGGCCTTGGGGCAGCCCGGATCTGAAAGTCACCCACATTCGCATGGCGAGCAAGCAGGCATCCCCTGCATATCATCTCCCCATACCTGTAACCAACCACAGCGTCATTCTCATTCCCAGGCAGATCCTTGACCAGGGTCATCACCTGAGGGATCCAGCACACGGATGCGATCCCTCACACATGCACAGACGTACCTTTTCCAACAGGTCGATGAAGGTGTCATCGTCGACGCCGTCATCCAGCGGCACGCTGTCATGCACGGAGCGGTCCAACCCGGCGATACTGAATATAGACACGCACACACACAGAGTGAGAGGGAGAGAGCAAGCAGATGACCCTTTTGCAGATGAGTGCACTAGGCCTCGCACCTGAATAACAGCATCTGGCGGCCTCCGACTTCACAAAATCCATCCCACCACTCCCTCAATTTGGCGGTCCTTGCCGCCAGCGCGTTGACGGTTGTCGTCCCTGGGACCCCTCGCAGAAGGCACCTCGCAAATTGGGAACCCTGGACAAGCGGGAAGTTGGGCGGGTTGTTGAAGTCGCGCTGCCCATGCAAGATGTGCCGTCTTTCTTTGACGATTGTGTCTCTGCAACAAATGACACGCACTCAGACATGCACACACGTCCATCTCAGAAGCACTCCCTGTGCAGGTCGTTCCTCGAGTGCTCACTGCATCCATCCACGCATCTGTGCGAATGTTACTTTGGGCAGACGCGCCAGATGATGATGAGGGTGTCGATGAATACCTACAAAAAATACAAGCGCCGCTCGTGTGCCACTTCTCGAACGACCGCTTTCGCTTCTGCCCCTCCCCGGCCCCCTCACCGCCATCTCATTCGCCTTCGTCGTCGTCACTCTCGCCCTCGCCATCGGCATTCTCGTCCGTCTGTGGCTGGGCTAGCACACCCCAGAGGTTGACCTTTGCGATCGTGTCGTTTGGGGTCTGGGTGGGGCGGCAGATGGTGGCGGTGTCTCTATCGTAGGTGGCGAAACTGCGTGCACATGACGCTGGCGTCGTCTTCGTCTTCGTCTTCGGCAAGCAGCTTTAAAGCGCTGATTGCTGAAGATTGCTGTCCGTCGAGCCCGTATCTCTTGACCAGCTCATTCGCGACCTTGATGCGCAGCGGTTGCACTCACGGTATCGAAACTGTGCGACAAAACCCACACGACATCACTCATCCTCACCGCCGATGGCCATTCCAGAAAGATGCCGTCTCGGCCTCTCGCAGGGGCGGGGCCAGCGTCCCTTTTCCCCTGGTCTTCGGCGAAGAAGAAGAATCCCTGGGAGAGGCACCAGGCCCTGCGGTCGACAGGCCTGGTCTTCAGGGAAGAAGAAGAGGGCACGAAGCATCAGGTCCGTGTTAGAATCTCCAGTCGATGAATCCCTCAAATTTAATTCTGTCTCGTCTTTTGAGTATTTTCTCGACACTTGAGGCCGGAGGAGCTTCGAACCGTTTTTGTGCTTCAGGCGCTTTCCAACGGCAAACGGCCGGTTTTGCGAGCTTAGAAGTGTGAAAATGTCTCCTGGCAATGACGCTGTGGCTTGTGGCTGGTAAGTAAGAGCTCACATGAATCCGGGATGGATGCTCCTCGCCATATTCGAATGTGTGTGAGATTGACAGATCCGGGCTGCCCCAAGGGCGTCGTGTGTCGGCTGGTGGCCGAGCAGCTGCGAATCGATGTCGAGATCGCGCAAGGTACGGAGTGGGAGGGCAGCGGGAGGCCACCCACGCAGCCCTCGCTCACGTGCCTGTGTATCCATTTGTGTGGTTGCAGGCGATGAGTGGCCATTTGACACCAGCGGCTGTTACTTTCTCGTCCACGGTGACGGCTGTGATGGACATACTCACTCATCTGGTCTGAGTGATGCGTGCGTTAATGCAGGCAACAGGGAGAGGCCCTTGCTCATCGGGCCAGACGAGGATTCGCTGCTCGCCGGTGTGCATGACATCGTCAAGTAGGCACACACACACGTGTTCTTGAAGGGGGATGTGTGTGTGTGTGTGTGGTGCTCCTGTGGCTGCTATGACTGACGTGTGTCTGTAGGTATCTGTCCCTGACGGCCCTCCAGCGCCGCATGGCGGCCATCCCCCCACTCCCTCCCCCCTCCCCGCTCAAGAGGATCATGAGAGAGGAGCAGCCGCTGAACAAGCTGGGCCGAGCGTTGGCTGCGTGCATCCCGTGCTGCAGGTGCGTAAGGCACAACACGACTGGTGCACATCAGGTCGGTCGTCTTGTTCTGTTCGTTCTGTTTTGTGCGTGTAGATGAGAATTATCGCCGGCTGCAATTACCCTGGCTGCCAAAGACCTGGGTGAGTCACACCTATGACGCTCATGGCACCTTGACACACACATGTATGTATATTATGTATGGTGTGGATTGTATGTATATTATGTATGGTGTGGTATGCGTTTCTGTGTGATGCCGTCTGTTGGGTGCTTGCCAGCCAGTTCGCCACCAGATACAGCAGCATGGAATGACTTCTCCCCACCAGCAGCAGCAGCCACTGAAGTCGAGACGACGAGACGAAGGATGTCGCCCCTGCAGCCCGGCTGCTCCTTCTTCTCCTCTGGCTGCTGCTGAGCCAGAGCTGCGGTCTCCTCTTTCTTGGCCGTCTCCTCCACCACTGCTGCAGAGGGGGCCGAGGCCGCCTCTTTCTTGACCTCTTCCTTGCCGCCGCCGCCGAAGATGGATAGCGACTCCCAGCAGCCGCACAGGTCAATCAAGTCCAGTCATCGGCTGTGACGTCGAGACCGTCGCCAAAGTGTCGAGCGGCAGAGGCGGCTGGCGCGTGCTGCAGGCGGTGTTCCACGTGCCGCCAAAGCCCGTCGGGTGTGGACTGATGAGTACGGCAGGCGGAGAGCATTCTACTAGCCAGCCACATATGGGTGAGGGGGGGGATGGGCGAGGTATGAGTGGGGCGGTAGAGAGAGACAGGGAGGTGACCAATGATCAGCAGCCTTGAAGGGGGCGGGGCAGCGTCGTAGGTGAGTGTTGGCACGATGAGCTTGTAGTGGATGAGCGAGAGTATACAGACAGACAGACAGACAGGTGGCAGTACTTTCCACAGGAAGGGTGCTGCCTTGCCTTTCTGCCTTACTTGCCACCTTAGCTGAATCCATCCATTGGGGTGCTACACATTAGGTCGTCTGTCTGTCTGTCTGTCCCGCCCTTTAAGTGTACGATATCTCTGCACTCACTTTGGTATTTCCAATCGGCCACTTGCTCGTCTTTGCTTTTTGAATGAGTCAGGTGCATCGAATACATATGTATGGTGCGGCGGGTGAGGAGGTACCTCGGTATCATGGCAGTGCCTTTGTTGGCGAGGGCATATGCACCTGCCTGGTGTCGTCATTCCGTTTGAGCCGACATTGAGATCTATGCGGTGACCCTGACGGACGGATGCCTGCATGATCGACACTGCATGACTTGCCGGTGCGTTCATGGAACAGTTGCCACTCCAGGCAGAAAGACACCCGTCCATGGCCTGAGAATGACCGGCCGCTCACTCGTTATCTGTGTCACCCTTTGTCGCTGTCGGTCAATTCCTTTTGGCTCGACACCAACCAAAACGCCACCAAATACGATATCAAATGTCGGTAGTGTTTCCACTTGGGCACACTTACACAGACAGCCAGACCGACCGAAACGCACACCCAGCACTTGTGGTGAGTTGTGTGGTCTGATGGCCGAAAGTGCGTCTCAGCGTCTCATTTGGTAGCACACCTGCACACCCATGACAGGCAGAGGGACAGATGTGTTGTGTGTTGGCATCGCCCTGCATTCAGGGGTGGGGAGGTTCCTGTCAGAAAGGAGCTCTGTCGGCCAGGGGCCATGCACTGCAGTTGCCCCATCCGGCAATGCACGAGACACACGTGCGTGTGGCCTCCTGATTGAATGAGGCGATTCGATGCTCAAAGTGAGTGGGGTATATGAGTGGTTACTTGGTGTACATCGACCGACGTGAAGTCAGTCAGTTAGAAAGAAGTCGAGATATCAGCATATGTACACAGTCAGAAGGACCGACCACAGGCATAAGCCAGACGACCAACCGACCCGCAGCCACGACGCACCCTACGCACTTGTGGGATTCCTATGGTTTAGCGAGATATTCGGCTATGTTCTGCACTCCAGCGCCCGCAACCACCACACCATCACACCACCACACCACCACACCACTCTACACACCACTGCCCGCCGGTCAGTTGCTGCCGCCCCTCCGCGCCGCCGCCCGTGTGTTGGGCTTGGCCTCCACCTGCAACCTGCGGAAGGTATCCGACAGGCGCAGGTGGCCGAGCGTGTTGCGGTCCGTGCAGTAGCGGGCAGCATTGCGGAGGCGGCGCTCGACGAAGGACGTCTCGCCCTCGTTGCCGCGGGGGGGGCAGGGGCTCTCCTTCTCAAACCTGAAGAACATACAGCCACAAGCACACACCCGTTGCCCATCGGTCCAGATCCATGTGTGCCTTTCATGATTCGCCTACGTTTCCAGCACGTGGTTGAGTTGGGCGTTGCTGAAGTCCCAGCCCTGCGGCACTTTGCCGTCGCTGCCAGCCACTCCGAAGAGCGCCGGCAGCAGGCCAAGGCCGCGGGAAGGGTCCGACAGCAACCACCCCACACTCAGCACCTCCTCACTCCACTGGCCCCTGACCACACAACAGACACACACACAGAAAGAGAGACGATGACTGATTGACTGCCCGATTGACTGGCTCCCGCGGCGCCCTCACACTTACGGGAGGAGGGGACCGTCGTCGAGGAGGCCGTTGATGAAGGGCGCATACGTGTCCTTGTCGATGTGGCTGTTAGCCACCTTGTCCCTCGCCCTCTGCACCCTCTCCTCCTCTCCTTCCTCCTCCTCCTGCCTCTTGGTGGCGTTATCGTCGTCGCGTGACGGGCGGTCCTCTCCCCGCACTTCGGCCGTCTCTTGTTGGTCCAGGCCGAACAGCTCCTCGATGGTGCCGTATCGGCCCGGCAGCTTGATGTCAGGCTGGCCGTCGACGGTCCTAATCCACCAGTGCCCACCCGCCTTGTACAAGACTACACACCCGTCGACGATGACAGGTTGTAGCCCTGACTCTTGAATGATTAGGCAGATGGGCACCACTACACACCACCACCAAATAATGATGCACCATTCCCACCTGGGCCAAACACACACACAGAGCATACGAGAGAATCTTCCTCTTTTGCACTGCACCGTATCCATGCATGCATCTGTGCAAATGTTACTTCGGGCAGACGCGCCAGATTATAATGAGGGTATCGATGAATACCCACAAAAAGTAGAGGGGGCCTTTGTTGTGCGTCTGGCCGTCAGTCATCTCCAAGTAATCTAACACACGGGGTATGACGGCGTCGAGGCTGAGGGTGATGTGCTCATTCGTGCGGTGGTTGCGGTGGCTGAAGTGCAGAACATATCCAAATATCTCGCTAAACCATAGGAATCCCACAAACCCATGGGGTGCATCGTTGCTGCGGGTCGGTTTATCGTCCGGCTTCTCCTGGTGGTTTTTCTTTATCTTGTCTATCAGCTTAATGCATTTTTTGCCTTTAGGAGGCATGGCGGCGAGAGGAGGGCAGCAGCTGGCGGCGAAAGCAGCGGCACAGCAGCTGGGATGAATGCACAACTAGAGGTCGTGCACGCGGCCGGGTCGCGATGCAAGCTCGCCTGCATCGCACTCGCACAAGCAAAAACCAACGCAGCAGCCATTCTGATGACGGGAAGGTGCTCAGGCTGACCCGGCAGATGCGCCGCTCCATCACTGCAATGCGCCGAGGAGAGCCCATTCTCAAAGGTCGGCTGGCTGCCACACACTGCTGAGTGACACAGACACGACGATCATCCGGCAAGGTGACAGTCACAGCGGGTGAGGGTGGCGTCACGATGACGGGCAGCCAGTCAACAGGACGTTCTGATGTGTACGGGCTGTTCTCGTCACTCTCCGTCACTTGCATCGCTCTGCGTGGCCTGTTGACAGGCCAAGGAGCAAGCACACGAGCCGACACGGTCACCTATACACAAGCAGAGAGTGCCTTGACACGAGGGAGTGGCGGCCGTGGCGCCTCGGCCATGAGTGGGAGTGCGTCAGACAAGCAGCGGTGAGAGGGCGGCGAAGCAACGCCAAGCAATGACTGATTTTGGCTGCAATGTGTTTGTACGTGTGTGCAGGTGACTGCTATGGCGACAGTGAGGCCAAAACCATGGAATCAACCCAACGGAATGAAAGGAAACAGCGGGCGGCGTAAACAATTTGAAGGCGAGATCGGTTTTGTCGTGACCGTCACGTTTTGCTTGCTTTGCGTGTGTTTGGATGTGTACAGGCCTTTCAGGGGTCGGCTGTGCGACGAGGAGAGGAGGCAAACGAGGTGCGTGTGCGTGGCATCTGTACAGGTGGGTGATCTCGCTGTGCTGGCTGCGCTTGGCGAATGGACGGGTGTGTGTGTACGCATATGTACAGCGCACAGTCTGTCTGTGCCTCATCGTCACCATTCTGTCCTTCTCTGTACGTCTGCAGGCTCACGATCGCGGGGAGCGGAGGGACTGATGCGTTGTGCTGCGTTCTGTTGTGTGTGTGCACACATTCTTATGGACGTCGGCATGTCTGCGTCAACGTCGGCCGCATTGATTGGCTGCCCCATTCATTTGCTCACAGCCAGGTACGCAGCAAGGCACGCGAGGGCGTCGAGGGCATCCGTATGTGTGTGCATCTGTGACCGTTGTGTGGGGGGGTGCAGGCGTTTTCTCGTGTCGCCATGCAGCGGTCTCTGTGCGCAGAGAAGGGCTTCACACTCGAGTATGAAGGCCATGCGTCGTACTGTGGTGTGTGTGTGCGTATTTGTGTGTATACGCTGTGTTCAGGTGTGGCCGTGGCGGCGGGTCACCTCTGCGATGGGGCTGATCTGATGATCGGCCATCTCGCCCATCGATGGGTGGAGTGTGTCCGCTCATGCCGCCACATCGCTGCTCTGGGGGTGGGGGGCATCGCTGCGGCTGTGTGGGCGTGTGCGGATTCTCGAGGGTGGTGACGGCACTGCGATCACATCGCTGCAATAGCTGCAACAGGTACGGGTTTGACGATGTGCGTGGACACGAGAGCTCGAAGTTGGGAACTTTCACGTGTGTGGCCGATATGTGCGTGTCAGGTGTTGCGGAAAGGCGTCAGCTTCGTTGGTATCAATCACACACCACAGAGATCGGTGGCGCAGTGAGCTTCGTCAATCGATGTGGGTGTGTGTTGCCATTGATCAGGTCAGAGCTGTGTGTATGTGTTCATCGACGGCCATGAAGGTAAGTGACACGTGAGCAGGCGGTCGAGTCAGTTTAGTGCAGCCATATGTATGTGTGTGTGTTGGCGATTGATTGGTGCAGGTGAGTGGCGGCTGGACAGACGTGGTGTGTGTTGGTGATGTGCGAGATACCGAGCGCATCATTTGTATCTTCACGTCCGGTTGCACCGAATGCATTGGAACGTCACGCCCGATCGCTGGCCGGCCATCGGCCTGTGTGTTTTTGTCAAGTGTCGCTCATTTGTGCATAGATACATGCAGATGTTGTTACGCTCTCTTTCACATCAATGAATGGCGCTGCGCTCACACAGTCCATCCAGCCATCCATCGCGTACAATCACATCACACCCAGCAAAAGAGCAAGAGAGCAGCATATTGAAATGCATGTGTTGGCACTTGTGGATACACACACAAGAACATGCACACACGGCCACTGGTCGGACACACGAATGTCCCACGCATACACACAGCCGTGCATTCCACCCGTCAGTTGTCTTGGATGAGCGTTCGGCGAATCTTCGCCTCTTTGTCGACGTGTATTTCGAAAGCGTTGTTGGCCCAATTAAACTCTCTGCTCACACACATACACACGGACAGAATAGCAAGCATAAGTGTAATTTGGGTCTCTTGTTGTCTGCTCATGTGGATGCCCTAATCTCGTCGGTCATACGCTCACTCCTTCGCCCACTCGACTTTGAAGTTAGTCAGCACATACTCCTGCACACACAAGGACACCGCACACGTGCACGTCTCGTCATATATTCATGCCCGCCAGCTGCCTGCCCTTCTGCTCACCTCATCGACGCGTGGGTGGCGGGCGAACTTATCGACACCCCTCCCAAACACGCACACCTTGATGTACCCCTGCTGCCCTACATGCACACAAGATATGGCCACAGCGGCTCATCCCCTGGGCACATTTTTATTCTCCGTGTGTGGCTTACGCTGTCGTCGCTAAGCAGCATGCTAAACATGCGCCCCACCCGGCCGTCCCGCTTCATGTAGTCTTTGATGCCCCCCCTGCACAATTGAGGCATATACATGAGGTCGTGTGATGTGTTGTCGCTTGCGCTTACACGCGCCTCACACGCCCTCGTATGGCCGTTCGTCGGCCGGTCCTTCTCCCCACCACCAGGTCCATGATCCGGACCTCAACCACTGCACTCATGTGCAAAAACATCCATCACACATTGCATGGTGCTTTGCTGATGCATTCCTCTTGCAACGAGCTTACTGGCGGTACGGCGGGGGTTGGAGTTTCTTCGTGTTGCCTTGTTGGCCAAACAGATCACCAGCAGCAGCGACGCGAATTGTGGAACACACACACTCCGCTCGGTTTTGACCCCAAGTGGGGCCTGAAAACCCTTACCCTTGAAGCGCAAACCCTACTCTGCCCACCACCAACACACTAACCAAACCAAACTCCTTCGCCTCCCTTCACGGGCAGATCTACCTTCGGTTGACTGTGCCTCTCGTCGGCGAGAGAGATCTGCCGCACTCGTCGGTCAGCCAGCCATGACGCCTCTCTCTCGACAACGGGATCTCCTGGACTTGCGGCTGCCGACACCGGAGCATCCCTCTCCGTGTGCTGCCATTGCCCTTCAGCAGCCGCACTCGACCAACGACCTGCACGCCGGGGCTGCTGACACAAACCCGAGCAGTGAGCTCCAAACTCGCGCAATGCCACACGACGGGCGAATGACACCTGTGCATCTGTCTGCTGCAGACACACAAAGGGCTGTGTTTCGCTTGCTTCGTGAGCGGAGGGCTTGGCGCTGATTGCGGACATTCTGTGTGGCCGGGGCACGCACACGGCGGCGACTTGCCTGTGTCCATCTCTGTGTGTGTGGATGTGTGTATCAGGCGTCGAGGGCGGTTGGTATCGGCGCATCACTTCACATTCTCTGCAGATAAGTCGCGTCTACTCATCGACGGCACGTCCGTCTCACACGAATTCTCCCGTCTATACATCACGATAATACAGCAGGTATTCTACATACGACTGGGCTACGTCGTAGACGGCCAGCTGCACACACAAAGAGAGGGAAATCACATCAATGACGTCCCTGCTTGCGTGTGTCCGTGTCAGTGCGGCTCAGCTCACCTCGTGGTGGTGCAGTCGGATCGCCATACTTCCCTCCCTCGCCAGCACGCTGTCGAAGCCGTGCGGTGCCGCCCGAGCATCGTTGCGGGTACTCCCGCAAGCGTCGAAGAGGCGGCCGAGGGTCACGCGGCAGAGCAGCATGACCCTCAGACCGCCCCTGCCCGGCTGGCTGAAGGCATGCACTGCATCGACACACGCATATACACATCAAGGTGAGTGACTGCAATGGTGGACACGACATAAATGAATGGGCTGATGGGTGTCACGTGTTTCTCTCACCCTTGCAGGCCTGTGTGGCAAAGTATGAGGCGTGTCCCAGCATCCCGCTACTCACCGATGGGTCGAGGCCGCCCGCGAAAATCCCCTGCACGCACACGTACGGACACACACAAGTCGACGCATCACATGCATTGTCCATCCCCTTGTTGTCTGTTGTCTGTCCGTCTGTGTGCTTACCTCTACAGCATCCAGCTTCGTGCCGTGGAACATGTAGTACTCATTTATCGACGGGTCTACGCCCGTGCCGTCCACCGGCCCCTCGTCACCCTCTTCCCCCATCGCCCTGGCGAGCTGGTGGGTGGGCACACCCATGTCGGCCAAAGTGCGCATGCCGCCGCTGCCGGCCCGGCCCGCCCTGATGGCCTCCCTCGCCACGTAGGCGCTCGCGTGGTGTTGGTGCCACACACGCAGCACCCGCACCACGCCGGTGTTGAGGAGGGAGCCGATGTGGCGGCAGTGGCAGTGGCCATGGCGGCGGTGTCCATGGGACGTGCGGCGCAGCAGGTCGCTGAAAAGCGCCACCGTTGCGGCCGTGACGTCCTCCAGGACGTACCCTGGCCCCTGCAGGACGGGGAAGGGGGACGGGCTGGGGATGTGCTGGGCGGGAGCAACGGCAGCAACGCCGTGGATTGCCACAACGGCGACCATCTGATGAAATGAGCAAGGAGAAGACACTCACTTCGGCAAAGAGGCGTTTGAGGATTGAATCTACGTGGATGGGTCGGTGTCGTCGGGCGCCAGCAGCACCACCGCCAGCAGCGGGGGCTGGGGGAGCTTGAGCAGCAGCAGGTGGGGCGGGGGCAGCCGGGGGGAGCGCACCTGAAGAGTGAGACATCGAAGAGGAAGTTCTATCCGTGTGTATGCGTGCAACGGGGGCTTCATATCATGTGATGGATGCGTACACTCTCGTATGATGGTCTCGGTCTCGAGGTATATCTCGTAGCGATGGCCTGTCGTGTTGTATTGCCTGAGGAAGGAGAAACAGACAGTGTGTTGCATGACGCGTCCACGTCTCTGTCCATAATCGTGTTGACTTGTTTTTGTGTTTGACGGTGAAGTCGGCTAGGCAGTATTTCTGTCAACAGCACATAGACCAATAAATACATCGGCAGATTCTCAAGGCCTTCCTGTCTGTCCATGAATGTCGCCCATCTTACTTTGTCCTTGGCCATCTTGTTGTAGTGTGCGGCGGCGGCCTGCCCGAAGGCGCACACCTTTATGTCCTCCTGACATCAACACACAAGTCATGAATGCGACACACACATCGAATGGTCATTATCTTGCTCTGTGCTCACCTGCCCTTGTCTTAAGTGTAGAGAAAAACATGCTGCTGCCGTTGCTGCAGGTGCCCAGCTGCGATCTGGACAGTGAGACACATCAGATGATAGAGAAAGAATCAAATGGCGGCCGCAAGCCCTCGCTGCATCCCATCCTGTGCTTGCAGGCACTCACATTGACGTCACCGTGGCCTCGATGACCTGCATCGCCGACCGCCCGACCCGCAGGTCGGCAAGCAGCATGGGCTGCCGCTCAGCGGCGGTGGCGTGCAGGTGCCTGCCACGCCTGAGCGAACACATACACATCATATATGTGTGCGTGTTCAACCTTCATTGCAATGCAATCCCTACCCGTCGCCTCGGACATGGACGTTTTTGATGACTATGCAGTCCCCCTTCTCTATGTCCCTGGCCGCCGGCAGGTCGATGGGTATGAGGGCCGTGCGACTCCCGTCATGAACTATACACCTACAGTTGCATGCATCATGCATGCCGTCATACATCGTCTGTCAGCTAGGCAAGGCACACATGCAGTAAAGCAGTCTTTATATATACTCTCGTGGATTGCTTACTTGAGCTCAGCGGGGGTCTTGTTGATGATCTTTGCCACCCGCAGCTTCCTGGACTCCCTCCCTTGCCCCGTGAGCAACCCAACTATGTCCAATGGCGTTGCCGCCGCCATGGCTGTCTCCTCCTCTCCTGCGAAGCCTGTCGGCTCCTGTCGACGTCTCTGCTGTTGGGCGAAGCGCAGGCGATTGAACAGCTTTGAATGAGCAGCTGTTGTTGTGTGGGCGGCTGGCTTTTCTGGCCCCCCGTCTCATAGCTCGCGTGATTTACAAACCCGGAGGAAGGGGGCGAATTCGAAGGGCAAGAGGGTGTGTCGAGGCAGCACGGGGCAAGCTGTGAGGGCGCAATCACTTTTCCCCGCCTCTGGTCTGCACCCAGCTGGGTCTGCACACTTTGGATCTGCCGCACCCGGCGGTCTCATTCATCCATCATCCATCAGGAAGAGCCAGATCTCTGATGGGTAAGCAGCAGCGGCAGCGTCGTCGTGCCGGCAAGGGAGCCCATCAGCCGATGGTCACGAGTCAGGACCTGCGGGAGGCGGCCGAGCAGCACGCCATGCAGGAGATTATGACCAGATGACACGACTACTTTGACGAGACCATCGTCACAAAGGCAAGGCCATACAGCAAGCACAAGAGGTGCATGAATGGCTGTCGATGGCTGTCTGTGTGGTTCCATCAGCTGAACAGCACCGACTGGCGGACGCGGGAGCTGTCGTGCATAGCTCTTAGCAACATCCTCTCAGACCCATCGTTCGTCTATTTCAGCGGTTTCTGTGGATTGTGTTGGAGTGTGCGGCCGACAGCAAGACGCCCACACTCGTCCTCGTGGAACTCCTCGATGCGCTCTTCGACGTCTTCGCCGGTCAGTGTGGTTGGGGCATCCACACACACACACACACACACACACACGAGCCACCATGCATCTGTGCGTGCGTGTGTGTATGTGTGGTCAGAGGATGACAGCAACGATCTGCTGCGTGACGCGGATGCAATCAAGACCCTCGGCAGACTCAAGGGGCCCCTCAAGAGAGCGGTCAGCACACACACACACACACACGGACTCACACACACATCAGCAGATCTGCATGGCCATTGATGCGTGCAGGTGCGGGGCAGGTCAGTGGCATTTGACGAGTCGAGTGTGTGTCGTGTGGAGGAGGTGGCCGACAACCTTGAGGCCTTCATCGACTACAAGAGACAACACAACACATAGACAGATTATCGCTATGGCAATGCAGCCGCCGAGAGGGGGAGCTACGTGGCTTGTCGCCCGTCATCACATTCTACGCCATACACACCCTCACAGGCTCTTTACGCATGCAGGTTTGCGCGTGTTTGTGTGTTGCATGCAGTTGCGAGGGAGGTGCCCTGCGTGCGACATGGGTGCTGTGTATGCCGAATCGCTGACTGACCCATCGGCAGATGATGGTCGCCAATTCGGTCGCCTGCGGTTTCTGCGTGTATGACTGTGTGTGAAGGCGTTTCTCACTGCTGGATGCAGTTCACTATGCATTGCTGGGTCGATAGCGTCCACAATCGAAAGACACACCAGATGATCGTCAATGTTGTCTGGAAGCCCCAAATCTAGGGATGTCTTCACACACCTTCCACGCATAAAAAAAGTCATCCCGACCCTCCGCAACACCTGACACGCACGTATCGGCCACACACGGAAAAGACAAGTCAGCACCGCTCCTGTGGAAGACAATGCCAGCTGTCTGTCAGTCTACTCACCCATCACATTCACATCAGAAGCGACACACACACACGCACACCACCCACCTACAAGGCACCGCCCCGCCTCCTTCAAGGCTGCTGATCATCGGTCACCTCCCTGTCTCTCTCTCTACCGCCCCACTCACACCTCGCCCATCCCCCCCCTCACCCATATGTGATTGGCTAGTAGAATGCTCTTTGCCTGCCGTACTCATCCGTCCACACCCCGACGGGCTGTGGTGGCACGTAGAGCACCGCCTGCAGCACGCGCCAGCCGCCCCTGCCGCTCGACACTTTGGCGACGGTCTCGATCGACGTCATAGCCGGCCGATGACTGGACTTGATTGACCTGTGCGGCTGATGGGAGTCGGTATCTCGCACATCACACACACCACGTCTGTCCAGCCGCCACTCACCTGCACCAATCAATCGCCAACACACAGACATACATATGGCTGCACTAAACTGACTCGACCGCCAGCTCACGTGTCACTTACCTTCGTGGCCGTCGATGAACACTTACACGCAGCTCTGACCTGATCAATGGCAACACACACCCACACACACACACACACACAGATGTCTCGATTGCCTTCTGTGTGTCCGTCTGACTGTCCATCCAGGTATGAACAGACGCACACAGCAGGTCCCGAGGCCAGTCAGCGCCGATGGGTCGGTGTGCAGCTCCGTCATGCAGGTCGTTGGTCGAGTGCGGCTGCTGAAGGGCAATGGCAGCACACGGAGAGGGATGCCGCGGACCGGTAGCCGCAAGACCAGCACATCCCGTTGTCGAGAGAAAGTCATGGCGGGCTGACCGACGAGTGCGGCAGATCTCTCTCGTCGACGAGAGGCAAAGTCAACCGAAGGTAGATCTCGCTGCCGGGAAAGGTGGCCCCAAACCCTTGCTGCGGGCCAAGTAGGGTTTGCGCTTCAAGGGTAAAGGTTTTCCAGCCCCCCGGGTGCGTCTCGGAATCAGATCGGTGGGCTCTTTCGAGGCCATCTCTGTTGCTGCTGCTGACGCTCTCTCTTTGCTGCTGCGGCGTCAAATCGTTTCAAACGAAACTCGTCTGCTGCCCGACACTGCCAAGAGTAAGGCCCAGTTCGAGGCCGAACTCCATGCGCAACGCTCTTTTGTGTATGGCTGCAGTGGTCTGGGCGCCCATCACCGACCTGCGGCCGGGCCGGAGGGTGGGGAGAAGGGCCATGAAGGGGATCGTCACCCGTGTGTAAGCGACAAGCTCATCTGTGCCCAATCTGTGCAGATCGCCGACCTCTCGATGCACTGATGCATGAGATGCTTTGGTGCATGCATGCATGCGCAGGAGCCCCGTCAAGGCCTACAGGAAGGGGGACGGCACACAGGGCCGTATGTTTAGTCTACTCATGACGGACGAAAGCGTAAGCAAACGAATACGCACACATGATGAGGGCTCCACGTGCATTATCATGTGCATGCAGGGCAGCGTCAAGGTCTGTGTGTTCGGCAATGGGGTGCTCAAGTTCAGCCACCATCCGCTGCCGGGCGAGGTGAGCCGAAGGGAACGGGCACCATGAGTGATTCCGAGACGTGTACTTGTGTGTATGTCGTTGATGTGTGTGTGCCCTGCGTGTGCAGGAATTCATCCTGACCAACTTCAAAGTGCTCCCCGCAAAGCAGTGAGCAATTGGATGTCAACCACAGAGACATACACACACACTCGTACACGGCCGGAGCAGGGCTGTTATGTATGTGTGTGATATGTGTGTGATATGTGTGTGTGTGACCATGCAGAGAATTCAACTGGGCAGAGAACGCTTTCGAGGTGCACCTCGATGGCGCGCCGCGCCACATAAGTGTCCGAGTGTGCGTGTGACTGTGGTGTGCGTGGGTGCACTGCTGGCTCATTGGTGTTGGTGCGTGTGCAAGTGCCAATTTCAAGCGGGGGTAATTTGCTCGATGTGACGACTGACAGTGGGAATGCACGTGGGGATGTGCGCACGGACACTCTGACATCGATCAACCGATGCGAGAACCACAGTAACTGTTGTCTACGCCGCCTCTCATCCATCCCATCCACACATTCACAATACACCATAAATCACAACGTCTCCGTCTCAGGCTCGACGTCCTTATCGAGCAGCAACGGAATCGGCCACACAAAGTACCCATGCTTAGCGAGACACACCAGCTGCTGCACACTCTGGCTGGCCTTCCTGTCCACCGCCTCAGCTGTGTTGAACGAGTTGTGCGGCGTGAGGGTCACACGCGGGTCCGCCGCCAGCCTCATGACCGCCTCCACTTCTTGCGCCTGCGGTGTGTCGGGCGGTGGGGCGATCTTGTCCCTCAGCATCTCGGCAAGGCTCCTCTCGTGACTGAAAACGTCCAGTGCGACGCCGCCCAGCCGGCCTTCGTCGAGGGCTTTGAGCAGCAGAGATGAAGCGCAGAACTCGCCTCTTGAGATGTTGACAAAGAGGGCGCCTTCCTTGAGCAGAGAGAGGCGGTGGGGCGTCATGTAGCCGATGTTGCATGAGGTCAGGTTCATGCAGACCACCTGATTTGATTGCACACGGACGGGACGCACCAGAGAATAAGTGAGTGCACTCGATGCAGTTGCTCGCACTCGGATATCTCTCTCTCTCACCACGCAGTGGGCGCCTTTGAGGGCGACTTCAGGCTCCTGGTAGGGCACCAGATCGCTGTACTTGATGGCGATGTCGACACCAACGACATTCATGCCAAGAGCAAGACCCAGACGACACACCTGCATCAAAGCATGACGGAACACACAGACATTCCATTGGTGTGGTGGATTGGATGTATGTGTGCACTTCAGTCAGTCAGCGCCTCCATCTTTCTGCCTGCCTGACCTCTGAGCCGATGTTGCCCACACCAACCACCACCATTTTCTTGCCCTTCAACTAATACACACACACATAAACACACACACACACATGAACACACCAACGCTGAGTGAGTGAGAGTCCCTCCCTCCCGCTGTGCTCACTCACCTCCATGCCTGTAAGCCCATCTCTGTGGAACTGGTGCCACTGACTCCTCTGTTGGGCCAGCTTGCGCGACAGACTCAGCAGCAGCATTATGGCCTGCTCGGCCACGGCACGCACGCAGTAGAGCGGCAGGTGGCCGAAGTGGATGTGCTGCGTCCGCTCGACGGTCGCCTGATGCCGGTACGCCAGCAGGTGGTCATACCCTGTGGAGCGGCTCAGAATCGCCTTCAGATCCTGATGGGATGGAGGACACCCACACATTGTCTGTCCACCATTCAGCGGCCAGCTGGTCATTGATTCTGTTGACTGTGTGTTTCCCGCTCTCTGTGTGTGGCTTGCTTACGTCTGCCCATTCCAGCGGCAGCGTGCTCTGTGTGCGGATGCTGATGACGTCGCAAGGCGGCGGGCCGATGGACGGGCCGGAGGTCTTCGATTCGCCCCGCTGCGCAAGGAACTCCTGTATGGTGGCTGGGACGAGTTCACCCTCCACCCATGGGGTTGCATCGAGGTACCGCCGGATGTGTGCAGCCTCCTCCTCAAACGCTGAGTGCCAACAGCGTACACACACACAGATGGAATACAGACATTCAATGAATGAGTGGATCTGCGTTGCCGCCCTCTCTGCCGTGCTGTACACCTTCGAAGAAGAATGTTCTCATTTTTCGAACGAAGTGAGGATGCTGGGGAGCCCCTGATCTTGAGGCGGCATGATATCGACGTGATGAGATCCGACAGCACGATCCGATGAGCTGAGTGCGGCACATCAGGCTGTGAAGCGTTGCGTGATCTTCCCTTGACAGGCACAGAATACTCTTCTTCCTCTCCCCTTCCCTCCCGTTCCCAAGCTCGCAAAATGGGGCAGACTTTTCCCTGGGGGCTTTGTGTTCTTCATTGGCGCCCTTCAGGATGTCAGCAGAGAACGTCGCGCTATGGATATCTCGCGAGAAGAAGCATCCCATTATCACTCGCTCAGACAAACCATCGGCTGTCGGCAGGTCAGGCACGGAGAACACACAAGCACACTCAAACACACATGTGGTGGATGGATGCACCTGTTTGTGGTTTGTTTGTGGGCTGCATGTTTGCTATGTCAAGGGCCAGGGCCAGATTGGCAAAGGAGATCGGAGCCAGGCGCCCGTCGCCGCCCGTGGTTTCCCCAAGGAATGCCACAGCAGCCTTTTCCCCCACATCCAAGGCCGGCCTGACTCTCCCCCTGCTGCATCAGGAGGCCGCTGACGCTACCGCCAGTGCAGATAAGCCAGTGGCTCCCACAAGAGATAAAAAGAGGAAAATCCCCGGACCGATAGAGTCCACGTCCACGGGTGAGGTCATCAGCCGGCTGTTTCCCGAGGCGCGCGAAGACGAGACCGTCAAGACTACCGCCGATGCAGCCACCTCGTTCATGCTCGACTCCCTCAGCGCTATGCGCAAGGGTGAGGGCGGAGCTGACGGCAAGCGTGGAGGCAGGGGGGGAGGCGGCGGCTCACGCAAACCGGCCGGTCTGCCCACTTCGCCGGTGGTGTCATGCGAGCTGCGTCTGCAGGAGCTGGACTTTCTCACCACCAATTTCGGTGAGCCCAACTCGGTGGCGGCAGCTTTGGCGTGTCAAATGCTGGGATTGGGCGGCCAGGGCCGCGGAGGCCCGAGCATGCTTCAGAACTTCTTTCCCCCTGCTTATGGTGATGTGCTGAAGCGGCTCAAGACTCACTTTGAGAACGCCGTCTTCAGCACGGAGGTCGAGCCGCTTGACGAGTCCCTCGTCGCCGACGAAAGATGGCCTTGTCATCGGAGTGAGGGCAGCGACAATGTGCCTGAGCTGGTGGATGGGCTGGAGAGACGGCTGCTGGAGCGGGTGCCATGGTTTGTAATTGCAAGACGGCAGAAAAAGAAACTCGATGCGCTGCTCTTGCAGGTGGGCGCTGGGCAGCCAATCGGCCCACGTTGTTTGTCTTTGTGGGGTGGATATGTCTCCATCAATCATGGCATCGATCCATGCTCAGGTTGCTGATCTGTCGATGCGTGCGCGTGACGCATCTCGCCTGAAGCGCATGGCGTTGGTTGTGATGGAGAAGACACAGGACATATACCGCCGCGTCATCAAGCGATGGATAGTCGCACTCTGGAGACAGAGCATCAAAGACGGCAGACTGTTCAGGTGGGCAAGAAGGCGTACGATGCCGACAGACCTCTCTGTGTGTCTTTCACCTCCCAGAGACACGTTGGAGCGCCTCTACGGCAAGGAGCGTGACTCATTATTGACACCCTTCGTCCACTGGAGGTGCGACAGCATCACAGCCGTTAAGGCAAAGGCCTGCAGGTCTGCTGCTGTCTGCGGTCACCCCCCGTTGTCAGGCTGCACACCTACCTGAGGCGGATAGAAAAGCTCGACGACCACATCAAGGAGAGCACCCGTGAGGCAACTCATCTCCGTGAAGAGCTGACGGCCTATCAGAATGAGCTGGAGCGGTTGGAGGACTCTCTGTCATTCAAGACCGAGCAGTACAACGAATGCAAGACGGAATTGCAGGGCACCAAGAAGGCCAACGAGGCACTCAAGGTACTGACTGAAAACACAAGACAGACAGAGGATGAATAAAGTGCCTTGCCTGCCTGCGCCTGGTGTGGCCCAGAAAATGTGGGAGGAATTCCAGCCGATGAAGCTGCGCAAGTCGCTCCACGTATCGCTCGAGGAACTCTTCACACTCATATCACAAAAGGCACAGCTCAGGTCAGCGAGCAATGGATCGAAGAGGCAAGGTGGCGTCCATCCAGGGACTGCCTCTTGTCGTGTCTCTCTCTCTCCTGTGTACAGAGACCACCAAAAGGAGTCCCTCTTGCGCTCACAGAACATCCGAGTAAGCATGGAGACATCAGGCGTGATCCTTATGTGTATGGCCTGTCATCTGCGGCCGTGTGCCTTTGCAGGAGATGTTGACTGAGGAGGACACCCGCAGCCTCACCCTCTCACAGCTGCAGCCTGACCAGCTGCTCATCAAGTGGATCAACTACCAATTGCACGTACGCCGTTTACTTCTCTGTGGCGAGTCAAGACGCGTGAATGTTGACGTGTGTGTGTCTCTGTCTGGGGCGCTTTGTGTGCAGCGTGCCACCAACCAGGCAAGCAACCTGCTGGACATGATGGGCGAGCCCCTCACAGACCAGTCCCCCTCATGGATGAACAGCGCCTCGCAGAGGGATACGTACACTCGCAGGTCAGCTGGTTCGCGTCTTCGCTGCTTCATCCTGTGCACAGACATTCTGAGAATGACGACGTATGTTCAGGTTGGATGCGGTGCTCAATGCGCAGCCTGTGAGCAATCTTGGGAAGGATTTGCGGGACAGTGTGGTGCTGGCGTGTGTGGCGGCCATCCTCAAGGCAGATCGGTCCAAGGACGGCAGCTGGATATCGCCCTGGGACCTGGAGTGCCTCGACCTCAGAGACCTCGAGATGAGAGCCACTGCACTCAGAAACACAATGAGGCCGGTAGACACAGACAGACAGGGAAGGAGAGAGACACGCATCGCATGGTAGTGCTGTCTCCTATTTGCAGCTGGTGGCCAACCAGCGAGCGTATGCGGTGCTGCGTCCAGAAGACATATCCCAAGGCAACCACAAGATGGTGACGCTCTTCCTGGCAGCCCTGTTCCTCGCCCACCCCTCTCTCCCCCTGATACCAACCGAGCAGAGGGCCTCACTCCGGAGTGAGGAAGGAGAGGCCGGCGGCAGCTCGTCAGACCTCACTGGGAGGCAGAAGAACGGTGGCGAGAGCGAGTCTGGTGCCACAGACGGGCCACCAACAGCCCCCTTGTCCAGGAAGGCCACAGTGGGGATAGAAAAGGTGAGACGACATTCGACCATGATGTCAGTCAGTCATTCTGCTTGCCTTGCCTGCTTCAATCAGGCTTTGGCAGGCGAGGCAGCCGATGTGGGAGATGAGACCGATAGTGCCAGTGCTGCTGCCGCAGTGGCGCCCAAGACCCGCGGAACTGAGCGGCACCGCATGGCGGCCGACGCTGTGGTGGACATGTTCGAGTCACACGCGGGTGCGCTGGTGTATGACCGGCTGCAGGACCCCACCGGCCTGCTGAAGTCAGGGGAGACCTTCAATGATCTGATTCGCCTCAGCGGCGAAGATATTCTCCTGAGATGGCTCAACCTGCAGGTGCGGTGGATCTCGTGTGTGACAGGAGTGTTTGTGTTGCGGCAGGTCGGTCTTGAGTTGTTTTGCGTAGGTTGGTGATCTGTTTGAGAAACCGATAGACAACTTTGGCCCAGCGCTGCAGGTGGGTGGGAAGACATGCGTCGATCGATCGATCCATGGACAGGATCGGTAGACGGGTTGCTATGGGTGTGGTGTTGCGTGCAGGATGGCATGGCGCTGTATCTTCTGCTTCACGTGATAGCCTATGACGTCCTGCCGGAGGTCACCGCAGTGGCTGATCCAGCTCTTCGGTCAGTCAGTTGGTCAGTCGGGAATCCATTTGTGTGTTCCCATCCCGGTTATCGCATAGGGCGGCGAAGATCACATCCATTGGACAGCGGATCACGGAGATTGACCAGCTGTCAGGTACGTGTGCATATCGGTACTCTGCACCTCTGCTGAACCACCCTCTCTCTCTCTCTGTGTGTGTGTGTGTGTGTGTGTGTGTTCAGAGCAGTGTCTATTGAACGGCCAGGCTGACCTCATCGCCGCGTTTGTCTGCGCCCTCTTCCTCTGTCGGTCCGACATCCGCACACACATGACGCGCCTCTCTCTCCTTGTGTTGTAGTATGTGCTGTGGCGTCCATCGCTTGTGCAGACCAAACATGGCTGTATCCAGCCGCTCGCCTATCTACAATCATCACAACACGCTCGAGAGGAGACAGCAGGACTGGTGGGGACAGAAAGACACACCAACTCGGGTCAGGCGGTGGACACCCATTTGCTTGCAGGCACCGTGTATCCAAGGCGCAGGACTCCATCTTCATGGACTTCTGCCACGACCTAGAGAGCAGCTTCACAGAGGTCATGTGTGCACTGACAGCCTGCCAGCTAGTCTCGCTTCATTCGGTCTATTCATCCATCAGATAGCCGCTGCAATGGAGGAGATCGAGCAGGTACCTGGGACTCATCTCATTCCTACCTGCCTGCCTGCATCGAAAAAGTCTTTATGCGTTGTGTGTGCCCGTGTGTGTTTCGTCAGTAGACCCGTCACGTGACGGACTTGATCCAAGGGAAAGGTGTGCATCCATACCCTACACAAGCGGGATTGCCAATGGATATGTCCCTGATGCGGTCAGTGCGGGAGCTGCACACTGACATTTTGGCTCACCGTGCGAGGGGTCAAATGAGGGCGCTGATGGATGCCCGGGAAAGCCGAGACTTTGCCGACTTCACGACAATTCGAAGAAGCGTCCTGCAGCGCGTCATGCAAATGAAGGTGCGCTCCATGGCTCGCCCATGCAGAGAGTATGCGGTGTGGCGATCCCCATCGTGTGTGTGTGTGTGTGTGTGTGTGTGCCGGGCAGAATGGGAATGGCTCCTTGGACCGCCTTGACGAGTACATGGAGAAATGCGAAGACATCCTTCGGTGAGTGAGTGAGTGAGTGAGTGAGAGTGAGTGAGTGAGAGATGCTGACTATTCATCTGGTCACTCGCCCGACCCATACATATACAAATGTCGATCAGCCGTCACTACAAGCTGATTCGTCGTGTGTACCGCCACTATGCGGCGATGAGGCCCACCAGCCGCTACGGCCTCTCATTCGACGCCCTTATCGTCATATACCAGGTGATTTGAACACGCAGAGACACACAGAGGCACACAGAGGCACACAGACACAGACACGCGACTTTCCAATTTTTCTTCGTTTGGTCAGGACTGCAAGCTGAGGTAAAAACCGCACGTAGATAGAGACACAGCAGGCCCACCTGTCTTCATGCATATGCTTGCAGGTCCAAAGGTCTGCCTCCCTCGTCTGTCGAGGTCATCTACAACGAGATATGCGAGGCGGCCGCCACAGAGAGGGGCGACATATCGCCCAGAGACTCAAGTGGCAGCGAGCAGATACCCCTCGCACCCGACATGTTCATCGAGGCGCTGCTGAGGATGAGCCAGATCCGACAGAGCACCAAGAAGGCACTTCCTGACAAACTGGAGGAAGTACTCACTGACCACATAAAGGTCCAAAGAGGGAGGGAGCAACGGACATGAAAAAGATAAGTCGTGACTTTGTTGTGGTGGGAGTGTGTAGGTGTACGCTCTTCAGGATATTGAGGAGGCCTTCAGGATCCAAGCATCCACGCCGAATGTCCGCGAAGTGCTCAGGTACAGCACACAAAGACCCCATGTGTGGAATGAGTGTCAGCATATGTGTGATGGCCAGGAAGCACGATGACATATTGCGGAGCATCTTCTTCGTGTATGCGTCGCTGGACCAGTCAACAGAAAGCGCTCAGTCCAAAGTCACCACCATGAACATCAACGAGTTCTCACAGCTCCTCACCGACTGCGAGATTCTCGACAGCACCTTCGGACAGGCAGCCGTCAAGGTCAGCCAGACATGCACACCAAGCCACAACGACATCCACACACGAATAGTGTCGCAGGCGACTTTTGAGAACATCCAGCGGACACAGCGGTCCGTGTCTCTCGCCGCAAGAGCGCGGGTGAGCATAACCGAAACAGACTCATGAGCGCGTCCCTTGGATGCTCTCCATTCAATCACGCGAAAACAGGATGATGACGGCAATTTGGTCCCCAGCGCAGTGACGGCCGCCGTGCCGCCCGAGACCCAGCCGTCGGGAGCTGCTGTGGGGGCGGGGCCTGACATGAAGGCGGAGGACGGCCTGGACGACGACAGTGAGCTGGCCTTCTCCGAATTTGTTGACGGCATGGTCAGCAGAAAGACACACACACAAGGAATGTCTGTCGCATGTGTTGGTGTGGGCTGGTGGTGTGTGTCTCACACAGGTGGCTGTGGCGTTGTTTAAGAACCCGAATCCCTTCATCAGTGTCGACAGCAGACTTGAACGGCTGCTCGTCGATAAGTAAGCTGAATTCCATGGATCGACCGATCTGCGTGTATGTCTCTGCCTGCCTGTCGCTCTGTCAGGGTGTTCACGTCCTTGCGGACCCACTGGAACAAGCCTGCGGGGACACAGCTGGCCAAGACAAACCCTTCTGTTAGCAAACAGGCGCCTGCATGCGAGAGATAATAGGCCTGTCTGGCTCGTGGGCTTTGATTGCAGGTGTTACGGATGCTGCGTCTTCTCTCTGATACGAAGAGACGAAAGGGCTGACACGTTGTGTGTGACATACGTGCATCATAACATAGAAGGACAGCGTGAGTGTCTCCTCTTGGATCTGACATGAACGCACGATGACATTCATAACTCATAGAAAAACGACATTCATATACACTCCCAGGGATCACGAAACCTGCGCTTCTTGCACTCTTCTTACGTCTTCTTGCCGTCAAAGGGGTGTCGTACCGATCGCGAGCTTGAGCCCGCAAGGGGGGAAAGGAAAAAGGCGGCAATAGATTCACCAAGCCCCAGCAGCCAGACCCATTGAACCAGACACAGTCGCCGACGAACAAAGAACACAACGTCCCCCAGTCCTCTTCCAAGGCTTCCGCAGTCAGCCATGTCGTCTATGGTGGCCAAAATGCGCTCCCGTTCGGGGTCCATCCAGGACCTCGACGCCTACTTCGCCGCCCTGGTAATGAATCAGGGCCGCGAGCAGACCCTCACATTCTTTGTGGGGGTCGACGGCTCGGAGGCCTCTCACCAGGCTGTCGACCTCGTCATGAAGTACTCGATGCCCAAAAGCAAGAATAGGTGGGCAGACCAACACACGAGGGAGGGAATGGAGCTGTTTCACCCCGTGGGGCCTCTCAGTCTCTGCCCGTGCATGTCTTCAGGATGGTTGTGGCTCATGTCTATGATGAGAGCAAGACATATCTTCCCCGCCCCATGCAACAGGCGGTCCTCTTGGCGGAGATGGAAAACCGCCTCATCACTTCGTTTCCCGCGGCGCGATACGAGCTCAAGTGGACCGCAAAACGACCCGAGCACGGCATCAAAGAGGAGCTGGTGCACTCGGCAAACGAGACCATGGCGGGTGGGTGGGTCGATATGGATACGCCGCAGACACCAATAGAACATACATTTTCCATACATGAATGGCCTCTTTGGTGTGTGCCAGACTTCGTTGTGGTCGGCTTCTACGGTCGGAAGGGCCGCAAGGTTGACCACAGCATCGGTTCTTCGGCTGACTACTCGATGAGGAACGCCAGCGCGTCGTCTATTGTGGTCAAGGATACTTCTCCTCTCATGAGGGACATTGCCGAGGAGAGGTTCGATGGCAATCACCCAAGGCCGATCAAGTTCCTCGTCGGTATCGACAACAGCAACGCTGCACTCAAGGTAACCAAGGAAAGAGACACGGACGGAATGGTACGGTCCCCCCTTGTGTGTATCGATGTGTGTGTTGCAGGCTCTCCAGGATGTGATGAAACTGTCCAAGAGCCTTCAGGACCCCATTGTGATGGTTCATATCGCGCCACAGGAGCAGGAAGATCTGCCCATCGGCTGCACAAAGGATGTGAGTGAGGAAAGGGCACCTGCCAGCCTGTGTCTCTATGCGAATGTGTGCATGTGCGCCGCGGTCTTTTCTGCCTTGCAGGCGATACTGGATAAGTTCGAGAACATTCGGAAGCGCTTCCTTGCGCAGAGGCCAAATGTCACCATCAGAATCGTCATGAACACACCTGGTAAGAGAGAAACAGGAGACACACGCGGCATGTGATGTGAGATCACACACTTTTGGCTGCGCCTGCTGTCTGTACGTCCACAGGTCAGACCCTCTCAGAGCACATATTGGAGGAGGTCGACAAAGAGGAGGCCGACTTCGTCGCCCTTGGAGCAGACGCCATGAAGGCGAAGGCAAAGGGGAAGAACGCCTACTACTTGGGGTCAATCTCCGACCACTGCGTCAAGCAGGCCACCTGCAACGTCATTGTCAGCCACTCGGCCTAGGCAACATACATAGCACATGTCGTAATGCACACATGACGAGGGAAGGAGGGAGAGGGAGACGGGATGGGGGGAAGATACACAAGGAGGGCTGGACTCCCGGGGCTGTCCTGTACATATCTTTTTCTCTGACTATGCTGCCGCTGTTGTTTGTCAAGTGAAGTGCCTTACTGTCCCTGCGTCTGTAACGAATGAAATGTGCTGAATCATGCCGGTTTGGCGGGCGAGAAATTCGATATCGATCTGAATATGGTTTCAGGAGAATAGATGGTGTCTTCGCTCGCTGCCCAGTCCTCGTGCGCACATGCAGCTCCCCCCAACATGGCCCACAGCATCATCGTCCGACATTCCCTCCCTACCAACCTCTCCCTCAGAGCAAGAGTCAGACGGCGTCGCTCAGTCAGGCCGAAGACGCATCGGCACTGTGCCGGCGTTGTCGGCTCCAAGACTGCACCACAGCAGCGAGTCGCCTCGGTACGGCAAAAGCAAGAGACTCCTGACCAACGCCTCTGCTCCTCTCTCCCCGACGGAGCCGTCTTCACAGACAGACGGGCCTTCTCCGCCAATATGTTCTCCGCCTCCTCCCGTCCCTCTATGCGACGTGTCAGACCACCGGGACGGCAGGTCATCGTGCAGCAGCGACCAAGACGCAGCCCCCACCGTCCGCAACACACAGAGCGACCACCGTGAGGACGGCCGAGTGAAGGCAGAGGCCCCCTCCAAGCGGATCCAACAGAAGTCCGGATTGCTGACTGTCCCTCCGTGGCGCTCCTACCTTCGCTCCAGCAACAAAATCGCGTTGGGCGGGCGGCTGTCTCGGTCGGCACCAACGACGGATAGGCCAGCCCGGCCGGGTGATGTGTCTGGGGAAGATGGGGCTGCCAGTACGAGCGCTGCCAGTGCGGGTGGTGTTCGGTTCAACGACGAGGTGGAGCATCCCGAGCGATTTCTCTGCAATCCTTACATTCGCGTTCTAGTGGTGCTGTGTGCTTGTTGACTTTGTGGCGGCAGGTGGAGGTCGCGTTGTTCCGCGGCCTGAAGGACACGAAGCTTCAGCACGTGGAGGTCGTTGACAACGATGGGACGGCAGCGGTATATTATGAAGAAGTCGTGAGGTCAGCGGCAGCAGACAATCAATCAACCCAGATGTCTGATGCGCTCTTTGGCGCCCCCGGTTCCGTTTTCGGTCTCTCTCTCTCTCCCTGTCTGTCTGTCTGTGTGTCTCTGTGTGTGTGACAGCTGGAAGGAGATCGTATCGGGCGACGACATGCAGCTGAACCTGTGTCTGCCCGACATCAAGATCAGCAACATGCGGACGCAACGAAAAGAGAAGAGACAGAAGCGCCGGCAGCAGAAGGACCGGCAGCTGCGGGACTCTTCGTCGGCCGAGGATGCATCGTGTCATGACAGCTCCGCTGACAGCGAGGCCAGCTCCTCCTCCTCAGCTAACTCGTGTCTGCACGTGAGTGCGGACTTTCTGGCGTCCCTGCTGCAGCTCCACCGTCGGGGAAGCGACGACAGCAACGGCAGTGACGACTGAGAAGGGGCAAAGCTGCCGTGCTCATTGTCTGGGTCTGCGATGATTTGAAGCAGGCTGCCTGTTTGTGTCCGTGTCAAGCTGGGCTGTGCGAATGACGTCTACGTATTTGTCGGCGTGTTTCTTTTTTTCAGCCAGCCATGGTGTGTGTGTGTGTGTGTACCGTCCATACCTCAATTCCTTGTAGCTCAGTAGAGAGACGCTGTTTGCCTGTGCGTCTTGGGCACGCCCTTTATTCTCCTGCCTCTGCTTGTCGGGGTGCCCATTCTCATTCCCCTCTGTCGTGTTGACGTCCATACGCGTCCCAGCAGGGCTCATTTGACCACAGACTCCGAGCCCCAGACACTGACACTAACTGACACGCACCCCCTCAATGTCCCTCCCAGTCAGTGTCTGGGAGGAAAATCGGACAAATCTTTGTAGCTGCCGATGGTGCATCTGGAGTGATCTGAAGCGGGCGGGCAAATGGCTGTTTATTGCACACATCAAAGCTACTGCGAGTATTATTATGTACTATTGTTTCTGACCAGGACGCCACCAACGGCAAAGCGTTCAGAAGTTAAGAACCCTTGTGAGAGAACGAAGCCACCCCGCTTTTTGTGTACAGCCCTCGCGTCGACGCCCCTACCGTCCCTGCGCCCGGCGCACGTCAAAACCAGCTCTGCTCCACCCTCACTCTCAGTAAGCCGCCCGCCCGTCGAAAGCGAGAGCTCAGACCAGGACGGCAGAGGGGCCCTTGCACAGGCCCAAAGGCCACTGCTGGTGCTTTGGCAGCCGAGCGGCGCTGCTCACTTCCTCCCACGTGCTGTCTTTCTGTGTGTGGTGTCCGTTGGTGTTCGTTGGGTGAGCAGGCGGCGTGATGAAGGCCCTCTGCCTCGCCGTCTTCGTCGGCCTGTGTGTGGCCTCTGCTTTCGGTAAGCTGCTGAGGTGTCGCTGCAGACGAGACGAGCCGTTGCGTTATTCCGGGTTGTGTGTATGTGTCTCGCGTGTGTCGGGTGTGATGTCGTTCAGCTGAAGAGTTTGAGCTGCAGATCCTGGAGGGAGGCGAACTCTCGTCTGGCAGCATCCTACGCCGCCTACAGAACGGATCGGAAGGAATCTTCGAATTTGTGCCCGAAATCCCACCTGTAAAGGAGACCATACCGCTCGAGGAAATCGAAGAGGGACTGTTCAACAACGAAGTGGACTTGGGCAACGTTGCTGGGTGCACGTGGACTGGGGGCAGGTTCGTCATGGATGGCGAGACGGCGATGGCGATGGACGCCTCGATGCCGCTCACCCGCCGCGGCAACAATCTGAGGACGTCCACTGCACGGGCGCCTCTGCCCAACGGCGGGGTACGGCAGCTGGTCGGGTTCACCACCAACAACTGGTGGGGCCCTATCAACAATCAGCCGACCATGCAGGTCACGTGTACCACCACGTCGATTATTTACAACTGCTTCCAAGACTACAGGAACTACATTTTCTATGGCACCTACTACGTCCACGAGGGGCGGCGGCTGTTTGGATGGAACAGCGGCGGCAACGGTGCGCTGAAGGAATACGAGTTCGCCGTGAAGCTGATGTGCTCCAAGGCCGAAAATGGTGTGTAGTGTAGCGCTGCCCTCGTCATCGCATCTGTGTATAGTCACTTTTGTGTGGTTGTTTTGGTCGTGGGAGGGGGTGGGGCGGGGAGGGTGAGAGAGGGGGGAGGGAAGGGGGAGGGGATGGGCTGTTGTCAAATGACCGCTTGCCCTTGGTACGATCGATGTAACTGCCATACACATAAAGGGGGGCACGGGACGCACACTCACATATCCACTCCACTTCCACCTCCACCCACACGTGGTAGGCTACGGCTCTCACTCACTCGCTCATTCATTCACTCATTCATTCCTGTCACTCTCACCTTGCAATTCTCTGCGTCTACTAATCGGTGTTTGTGAAACGTCCTGATGGACGGATGGTAGCTCACTTTTTCAGCGCTGACTTCCTGCCTGCCTGACTCTGTCACATGAATGTTCTGGCTGTCTGTCTGTCTGTCTGTCTTCCTGCGTGTCTTAACTCCTTTTTCGGGCCTTACCTACTGGCTGCTGGCGGCTGGCTGCTGACCCTCTTTCTCCTGTCGGTCGCCGTCTGTCTGTCTGTCTTTGTCCACTTTCTAAGCTTCCTCCCTCACCTCCCTCCCCCCTCCATCCCTCCCTCCCTGGCTCCCTGGCTCCGTCTCTTTGTGCGGTGTGTGACATGTTTGGTGGCTGGCAGACTGGCTGATTTGGTGGGACCCTCTCTCTCTGTGTGTGGTGTGTGTGTGTGTGATTGTGTGTGTGGTTGGTGGCTTATGCTTCGTACCGTATAGACACAGACACGGCCGTGTTTGCTGGGGTGGGCTGGAAGGGCCTTGGGAGGGGAGGGGAGGGGAGGGCTGCGTATCGCACTGTGCGTATTATGTCAGTATCGAAATACTGCCGGTGGTTTGAGTAATTGGCATGTTTTGTAAGTTTATAGTCGCCGTGTGCATTGAGACAAAGACACACTGACAGACAGAGGTGTAGGCAGATAGATAGGTGCTGGGGGAGGGGGGAGGGGAGGGGGGCGGGAAAATGGTTGCTTGTTCTCCGTCCTTTCATCAGCCACCCACTTACTGGTGACACCCACACAGACAGACACCCAATCCACCAACAAACACATCCCGTCGTTAGACGCAACACGCCATGGACAGACAGACAGACAGCCACGATAGGGCTGCCCTGCCCGTCTCAATACTACTTTGTACAGCCGCTCATCCATCCATCCATCCATCCCCCCTTCATCCCTTCATCCCTTCATTCATTCCTTCACACCTTCATACGTACATTTATATGCCCGTGCCTTTGTTTGTACCTAAATGTGTGTGTCATCTGACTGACTAGGGGCGTGGGTGGGTGTGGGTGTGGGTGTGTGTAGGGGGCTGGCTGCCTGGCTGTCTGCCCAGGAAGGGAGGGAACTCTCGCGGCCAGAAATGGCCGTCTTGTCTGCCTTATTCATATCCTGCCTGCCTGCGTGCGTGTTCTGCAGATCGATGGATGGATGGAGTTGTGTGTGTGCCAGGCCCAGCCGACGCGTACACTCATGTGTGTGTGTAGGTGGTGTTGGTGTGCGCGTGTGTGCGTGTGTGTGTGTGTGTGTGGTGATTTCGTGGAGGAGGTGGTGGTTTCACGTCCGTCCGTCGGATAGGTAGACGAGCGCTCGAGTACCGGTCAATTTAGCTCATCCCATATCATCTCATCTCAGCCCACCCACTCATCCACTCATCCATCCATCAACCATTCATAGCTAGCAAGCATCGCACTTGTCTCTGTCCACCCATCCGTCCGTCCGTCCGTCTGTCTGTCTGTCTTCTCCTCCGCTTACGCTCTCTCCCACTTGGCTTCACTCCTTGATACATACGCACATGTGCCCGCCATTCGACTCGCTACACGCGGCACCAGCCAGCCAGCTAGCCACACAGACAGGCAGACAAGCAGACAGACAGACAGGCAGGACACGTGGTGCATACTATACGATCTGATCCATCCCTTCGGTTCGTTCGTGCGATGGAATGGATGGATGAATGGATGGATGAGACTAATCAAAACATTCGATCTGTCTATAAAAACACTCTGACTGACGACCGACAAGCTGGCTTAATTGTGCTGTATATGCCATGCCACACCAACCCGCTCGTCCGTCCGTCCACTCATCCAGTATCCACACCAACACGCCACAGGCACCAAACCAGCTGGCCAGCAGGGCACTACACGGGCATATATGGCACCAATCAAGGCAATCAATCAAGGCAACATATATAGGGAGGCACTGCACCGCACACTCATTTGATCTGTCTGTCTGTCTGTCACCATTCCAGGTCAGGCGGCCCCACACACTGAGTGCCTGCGTGGCCAACAGACAGACAGACAGACACACAACACATCGATGGACACTTGGGTGGACAGATGGATGGATGGACACCATGCACACGACTGACTGACACACTGTGCCAGTTGGTCTCAGTGTCAGTCACCTTTAGGCCTCTGTTGGTCTGCGTGTTTCCTGGCAACCCGCTCGAGCACCGCATAGGCCATTATCGACTCGTGGCCGTCACTCCTGACACACACACATATACACACACACATATGAGGCAGACGGAACACATAACACGAAACAACAGAATATATATATTTATGTGTGTATATGTGTGTGTGTGTACCAGTGGATGGTGACAGCATAGTTGCCGGTGGGGTTGATGCGATCCGCCACCACATCGCGCGGGACGCGCCTGCACGGCACACACATGATAAAGGGATGGATGGATGGACTGACTTTGTCCTTTACCATGGCTGCAGTTTGGCCTTGCCGGTGAACTCGTCAATGCACTCGGCGCACCGACACGCTGCACACAGACAGCAGCCATCCATGTGTGTGTGTGTGTGTGTGTGTGATGTCAAGGTACCGACCGAGTCGCACCGTCCTTGCCGGCACCAGCAGCACGTCCTCACCCGCCACACCTGCAGGAATGAGCCAATGGATGAATGGATGGGCGAGCCAGTGACACACGCCACACACGCCACACAACACACATACACACACACACACACACACATACAGTCCCCCTCCAAACATTGATACCGCTCATCAGCTCTGATGCCTCCAGTGCACCAACGTGGCCGTTGGTCGCCCCCTGTCCCTCTCCTGATGTGCCATTGTCGGCCACAGCGGGGCCGTTGGACACTGCTGCCGGTGGTGGTGCTGGTGGTGGCGGTGACGCACAAGGGATGGTGACCTCCATCATCATGTCGTCCGTCATGCGCACACGGGGCCGACTGCAGTGATCCATCCATCCATCCATCCAGCTATCCATCCAGCTATCATGTGGTGTGGTGTGGCGGCTGTGTGTCCGTCTGTGTGTGTGTACTTGTCAGCGAATCTGCTCGCTGAAAGGCCTCGTGCGACGGTCTCGGCGATCTGACGGAAACTCTCCCACACCTGACAGACAGACAGACAGACAAACAGACAGACAGACAAAGAAACAAATGAAGGGCAAACCGACGGACACACACACACACACCGACCGGATCGTGGCTATCGACGGTCAGCACAAAAGGGAACGTTGCAGGGGGGCATTCCAGCGGCTCATACGCATCATCATCACCCTCACGACGCTGCTGCGTGTGGGTGGCCTCCTGGGGGACGGTCAGCCGCTGGTCGATGGGCAGTCGGCACCAGTGTGTGCGGTCGATGCCGTACTCGTCCTGCAGCCTGGCGATGGTGTGCGGGGGCCGCTGGAAGATCTCGTGTCGCGTGTGGCAGGTGCCGCAGGTGAAGTAGCTCATATTCTCGACCACCATCAGGGTGGGGATCTTCAGCTGATCGAACACACGCAAACCCTTCTCGACGTCAACCAAACTGCCCACACGTCAACACACCGAGAGGGAATATATATATGTGTGTGTGTGTGAGGATTTCCCTCTTCTTCACTGACCTGAGTTGCTGTGGCGTGGTGACAATGACGGCCCCGTGCACCCGCACCGACTGCGCCACCGTCATGTGTATGTCCCCAGTGCCAGGCGGCAAATCGATCACCAGGTAGTCCAGCTCCCCCCAGGCCGTCCCAGTAATCATCTGCCGCACCATCCCCGACGCCAGCGGACCCCTCAGCGCGGCGTAGTCGCCCGGCTTGATGAACCCATAGCTCATGAGCTTCACCCCCCGGTGCTCCAGAGGCACCATCAGCCCGTCCGGTGTGCCGCGCACACCGTCGCATTGCAGTGGAATCAGGTAGCTGAGCGAGGGGCCGTAGACGTCGGCGTCAATGATACCGACCTTGGCCTTCATGTGCTGCAGCGTGTAGGCGAGATTGACGGCCACGGTGGACTTGCCGACGCCGCCCTTGCAGCTGGCCACGGCAATGATGAACGACACCTGACGCAGGCCGGGGGGAATGCCCTCTGACCCCGGCTGCTGCCGGGATGAAGAGGCCTTCTGGCTGGTGATGTCGATCTGCACACTGCCCGCCGTCACCCACTCCAGTGCCTCCAAGAGAGAGGTGCACACCTGACAACCATACGGAGGATGCATAGATCTGTCGGTGTGTGTCAGTATGGTGCTGCCGTCTGCTCACCTGCACGAACTGGTCCTTGACGGGGCATGCCGGTGTGGTGAGCTCGAGGGTGAAGCTGACAGCGCCCTTTGTGAAGTCGATTTTGAGGTTTTTGATGAATCCCAGTGTGACGATGTCCTTCTTGAGGTCGGGATCTATCACCTTCTTGAGCTCGTGCACCACCTCCTCTCTCAGGCGGTCATCCCGGGGCTGACCTTCGCCACCGCCATCCACAAGTGCGTCATCCATCCTCTCAAACGCTTTGCGCCGATCCTGCGAGCTTAGCAGAGGGAGATCTTCCCTGGGGCGGCCCGTTGCAGCAGGACTGCTTAGTGGATATGGCATTCTCCTGACTACTGTGATGCTCGCCTATTTCCCTCTGCTGTTGGTGTCGTGCTCCGCCACTGCCGCCCTGCGTGGGGCGCACAGCCTCCCGTCTGCTCCCTTCGGCAGCCATGCATTCATCAGCCCGATGCACGGCGGGTCACACAGCCTGCTGGTCAGTGACAGGGAAACCAGCAAGGTAGCCTGGCTCTCTAAGTACATGAGGCATTTAGCCTGATGTGAGAGAGAGATGGTTTGGTTTCATTCAGGCCAGGGTGCTCAAGGAGGGTGGGCCAGATCTGATGCTTGCTGAGGTGAGGGCGGCAGCAGCGTACGTCAGTCAAGCTACACACACAGAGAGACAGATGGATGATATCACCGAGAATGAGTGTCCGCCCATTATGGATGGATGCTGCGGGTGCGGGTGCGGTTCGCGCATGCATCAGGTCGTCCGCCGGATACGAACACACAAGTGCACACAGGTACTTAGGACAGACGAACCCGAGGGCTGGAGGGAGGGAGGGAGCTTGCCTTGGTGCGTGGTGACCAGCAGGTCATGGAGGCTGCTGCGGATGGAGGCAATGGCGATGACACGCAAACAGACGACCACGACACACAACCCGCTGGTACGCACACATACTTTCCTTCCACGCCCCTTCCACGCCCCTTTTGACAGGTGGTTGTCCGTCGGTGTCTGTGCTGCGCTGTGCTACCTTTGCAGACGTTGCGGAGCAGACGAAAATCATGAAATCGCTCGCAGACCTCGTGGAGACACTCAGGCCTTTGGGTGAGCTCACGGCGAAACTGGACGAACTCAAGTCGATCCAGGAGGAGATCAACTCGATCCAGGAGGACATCCTCGCCGTATATGAGACCGCCCAGCAGCTCAAGACGAAGCGTTCTCGAAAACTCCGCTCCGAGGAGGGATCAGGGTAGGGGGCGTTCGGTCTTTGTAGTCAAGTCGGGAAACGGGGCCAAAGGGGTGGAAGGGGTGGGTAGACGGAGAGCGTCTGATGTGTGAGGGCTGTCTCTCTCATGTATGAATGAAGCCGATCTGCAGAAGCAACTATGCGATTATGGCTGACTGGCTGGCTGGCCTACATTCCGACTGACAAAGACCAGGGCGTCTGGTAGGCAGGGTGTGTTGTCGTCACTGATCTGGATGGCCGGCCGGCCGGCCGAGTGAATGGCCAACGTTTGCAGTGACCTCTGACTGACTCGTGCAAATGAATGCACTGCACTCATTCTTGGACGTGTCGTCACCCATCCATAAAGAGCACCACACACAGATAAGATAACACTTACAGGCAGATGTCCCAAAACTGTCCCCTCCCCTGACCTGACCCACCTCTCTGTGCATTGCAATGTGCGGAGATGCAGCTCTCGCGTGCGCTCTCTCTCTCCCCTCATCGCTCTGCGATCTCATGAGAGAAAAAATCCTACACACTGAGCGCGGCACACACATGCAGGGTGACCGGCAGGCAGGCTGGCTCCTCTCCCATGTGAATAATAAAGGTGCACACGTAAGATGCGATGGCCGCCAGCCAGCCAGCCGATCGGAAGCGATAGCGGTAGCAAGCAAACATGCACACAGAACACGGGACATCTGGGTATGTATGTGTGTGTCGGTCGTCGTACTTGGAGAGGCTCTGCCGGGGCGATGGTGGATGACAGCTCATGTGGCACAAAAGTCCGCCCGCGGCATCCATCCGTCATTGCGCAAACTCCCTCCGTCCCCATCATTCATTGTCCTCACTGGCCGGCCTGGTCTGCACTCCCGCTCTCGCGATTCAAAGGCACTCACACACAGAAAACACACACAGACAGACAGACAGTGAGGGGAGCACTCGCTGCCCCCTGTCTCTCTGCACGCAGTACTCACGTGGGTGAGCATCACTCACCCACATCCACCGCCCCCCGCCCACCTACCCACACCTAGTATACTCACCCCCCCCACCCCCCACCCCCCTCCCATCAACCCTCCGTATGCTGACGCGTACCGATAAACGACAGACACCCATACCCTACACAACAGAGAGTCCCTCTCTCTCTCTCTCCCCGCCCTCCCCGCCCCTGTCGCCCTTCTCTTCATTGTCAGGCCATCTTGGTCTCCCGCACTGCACGGTCAAGAAACTCACCTAAGTCTCCCCTCAAATGCCCGTGGGGCGCTATCGGCGCATCGACCTGGCGGCTGCTGGTGATGGTGCTGCTGACAAGGTCTTGTTGCTGCTGCTGCTGCTGCTGTTGTCCATCATCCGTCGTACTCTGCAGCATCAGCAGCTGCCGCTGCCCGTCGGTCAGCTCAGTCTCCACAGCGTCGAGCTCACTCGATAACAGCGACGGCAGATTCTGCAGCCGCTCGCTGACTTGTCTGATGGAGGGTGCCGGCGCCGGGCCACCCGCCTTGACGTCCACCTTCACGGGTGGCAGCCGCTCTATCACCACCGGCACGCCCTGCGGCCCCTTACGCTCGGGCGGCAACGCCGCTGCTGGAGGGGGCGAGTCGCCAGACAGAAAGGGCAGCCGCAGCTGACCCAGTAAGGGTATGGAGGGGCCGGGGGCGGGTGCTGCTGGGGCGGATTGCTGTGGTTGGGTGGTGGCTGGTGCCTTCATGGGCGATGGTTTGAACTCTGTGACGGCCGAGGGCGGGGTCTGTGGCGGTGGTGCGCCGGCGTTGACGCCGTCGGTGGCGAAGTAGAGAGAGGAGGCGATACCAACTGTCAAACCAACCACAGACAAGCAGGATACACACAGGAGGGATGGCTTGTCTCTCACTCCCCCTCTGTCTGTCTGAGTGTGGCTACCTACCTGCCCATAGCCCAGCAACGATGAACATGAGTTTCATGCCGATGCCATTGCCATTGTTGGCCCCAGCCACAGCCCCCGGTGGCTTGACGGCCACCACACCGCCGGTGCTGGCGCCACCAGTGGTGGTGGCCGCCACCAAACCACCCGGCCCCTCATCAGTCGTCGTCGTGGCAAGAGCTGTCACAGGTGCCGGTGCAGGCGCCGTATCGGCAGTGGCTCCGACTGGTGTAGGGGGTGGGAAGCCGGCCGGGGCTGCAGGTGGCGGCGGACCGCCCATGCCCTCCTGACACACACGCACACACAAACAGACAGACAGACAGGTACATCCACCGAGTGGCTGATTGCCTGTGCGTGTGTTGTTTCGCCCGTAGTGTCCACCTCACCACAGGTGTCCTGGGTCCCCTCCTGGCTGCCTTAGTCTGGTCCAGCAGCTGCCTCCCGATGCTCAGCGCAGCCACCGGGGCCAGGCCTGCCGCCAGCCCCTTGCCGAACCCCTCAGGCACCTCCAGCTCCAGAGCCAGCGCCCTCGTCAGCCCCTCGTCGACAACCTCCTCCTCTGTCTTCTCTTGTCTCTTCTTCTCAGCCAGCTGCACCTCTGGCTGGGGAAACATGGTCGGCTCAGGCCCAGGCGTCGGCAGCGGCCGCCGTGTGACGGCTTTGGGCTCCAGCCTGTCGGCGATCTGCGCCACGCGGCCGCGCCAGTCGACCTCTGGGTCGATCCGCGGAGTGGTCACCACCGGCCGCAGGGAGGGATCCAGCTGATACTCGATCTGCTTGACCGCGTCCTTGAAGTCCCAGTCATCCTCACCACCGCCTTTGCCTTTCTTGGGCGGCGGCGTGGCCGAGGGCGGGGGCGCCGTGCGGCTGCTGGGGAGCTTGAACGTGTCGATGCCGATGCGGAAGTCTTCCTCCATCGGCTGGTTGTTGGCGTTCAGGTGTGTGTGTGTCGATGGGCTGCGCTGGAGCGATGTGACCACTGGGGGAGGTGGGAGAGGGAGGGGTGCGAAGGCCGGCGCCGCTGGGAGGTCTGACTGCAGCGTGGCTGCTGACACGATTGAGGGGATGCGGAAGAAGACAAGAGCCGGGAAGATCACCATCATTGCCGTCCTCATAGCGCTGTGGTCACAGCAGCCACAGCAGCAGCAGGGGAGGGAGGCACCTGACAAGGGACACACACACACACGACCAATGCAGCACAGCACAGCATAGCACAGCGTAGCGCATATGGGGTCACAGGTGCTCTGGCCAATGCCGCGCTTTGCGTGATCTGACTGCGTCGTCTCCCACTCCTCACTCCTCACTTCTTGCCTTGCCTTGCCTTCACACGCATCAAACGTGACCAGCACATCCCGCCTCTTCTCACCTTCCTGTGCAGTCGTCAAACCACGGCAATTCGCCGAGAAAGCCTTGCCTCTCCAGAAGTTCGCTGGCTAAGCTCGCAGGCGGATCGTCGGAATTTTCCGCACAAAGAGGGCAGGAGGGAGCAGAGGGGCTTAGATCTGAGGGTGCTGGATACTGCTCTGTGAGGATTTCAAGCTGATCACCACTTGACGGCTATCTCACTCTGGGAAGCTTGTGGATGGCAGATTGGAGGGAGCTGAGGCGGCGAGGGTGAAGGCACGGCACCTCTGGAACGGTACGTGTGTGGTTTGCTGACTGATCTCCACCAAGCACACATCTGCCTATGTTTGCATCTATGCTGCATTCCAGATCCCCCCGGTCAGGCCATGCGTCGCATCTCGACGCCTCCCCCTGCAGCACAACGCTCCTAATGCCCGTGTCAACGCTGCTGCTGTCCCTCCTCGCCTGTCTGCACTATGTGTCAGCCTTCACTTTGGTCTCCCGTCCCACCGTCCCCTCCCTCTCCCGCACCTTGCAACCTCTCAGGCGGCATGACCATCAGCATCGGCATCGGCAGCGTCTGTCGGCCTCGACTGACTTCAAGATCGAGATGGACATGGGCACACTGCCCTCGGCACCGACCGTCAGACCACCCCCTCCCCCACCCACACCCCCGCCCACACCCCCGCCGCCAGTAGCTGCCGAGCAGGCTGCTCCTCCTGCACCTGCCTCTGAGGCGCCCGCTGCTTCGGCTGGTGCTTCTGCTCCTGCTGTTGGTGATGCCGCTAGCCCGACTGTGAGTGAGGGTCAGCAGCAGCCGCCGCCGCAACAGCAAAGTGAGGCGAGTGGTGGTGGCGGAGAGGTCAAGGCGGCGGAGGCCGCTGCTACTGCTCCTGCTCCTGCACGCCCTGCAGAGGGTGAGGCGGCGCCAGCAGCCGCGACAGCGACAACCGCGCAGCAGCAAGAGCCGCCATCTCCAGCCCCTCCATCAATGGAGCCAGCTCCTCCAGCGGCTGCCGATCAGCCCAAGGAGTCAGTGGAAGACAAGCTGACGCGTGCGATCCTTGAGAAAGAGGAGGAGGCGGCAAAAGAGCCCGAGCAGCCACCATCAGAGACTGCTGTGGCTGAGGGCGAGGGCGAGGTTCAGGCCCAGGAGGGCGCCAAGACAGAGGCCACAGCAGCGACGGAGGGGGGAGGGGCTGAGGGTGAGGGTGACTTGGCTGCGGGCAAGGAGGAGGGCGAGGCTGCCCCGAGCGAGGAGAAGCCGGAGGTGGCGGAGGCGCCTCCGCCGCCCTCACCGGCACCCTCATTGGAGGAGGCGCAGAAGGTGCTGGAGCCCGTCAAGGGTCTCAAGATACCTGAACTCGCCGCGGGGGTAACCTAGCCCACACAGCACAGCACACATACACACGATAAAGAAATACGGGTATGTCACGGCTGTGTGTGCGTGTGATTCGATTCCTTCCCTCACTCAGGTAGGTGCCGGTGCGTTGCCGTGGGTGATAGTTCCGGTGGCGGCCCTCAGCCTCGGGAGGCAGCTGCTCGACACCACCAAGGAAGCCAGGGCACAGGCACAGTTCAAGGTGGGCAATGGACACACAATGAACAGGACGAACGAACGAACGAACGAAGGACTGCCGATAGTGACGTGTCGATGGTGTCTGTGTGTGTGTGTGTGTGGACGTAGGATGAGTTGGCTGAGAGTGAGAGGAAGGCGGCAATCGCCAAGGACCAGGTACACACACACAGACACACACACACACACACACATGGCCCGCCGTATGCCACCAATCATCCCCTCTCCCTCCCTCCCTCCCCCTGTCAGGCGTATGCTGCGATGGCCAAGAGCCGGGAGCCCCCCAAAGGCATCGGGATGCTCGCCGCTGCAATCGCCGGAGGTAACGACAACAAACCACAGCCACAGACACAGCAGCGAGGAGGGGCAACAGCAGCAGCCGCAGCCACAGCCAGCACCGGCACCAGCAAATCAGCTACACCCCCTGCACAGCAACAACCAGCAGCCCAGCAGCAGTCAGCAGCAGCAGCAGCCAGGAAGCCCTCCGTGTCCCCAGCACCCTTCCTGTCCGGGTGGCGATCTGGCTGGCGCTCCGGGATGCCCCAGCCACAGCAACCGAAGACAGCAGCTGCCCCCAAGAAGCAGCAACAGCCGCAGCAGAGGCAGCCAGTGCTGCAAGCCACCGCCTCAGCCCCGGCAGGCAAGAGGCAGCAGACACAGCCACAGGCACAGCCGCCCCAGCCCCGTCGCTATTCGCCCCCCCCATCCCCGTCCCCGCCGGCCGCCCCCTCCTCCACTAAAGTGCTAGAGGGTGCTCGTTCATCTCTCACGGACCTCCGCGTTGTGCTTGCAGTCGGGATCGCCTCGTCGCTCGGACTCCTCTACGCCACCACCGTCCTCACCAATGGCAACAAGACGCCACCTGACTTCATCCAACAGCAGCAGACCAAGACGCAGACACTGCCGACCAAGCCACAGGGTGCGGCGGTGCTGCCGAAGGAGCCCGAGGGGAGGCCTGCGCTGCGTGACCTGAAGCTGCCGTCGTTCTTTGGCGGCGGTGAGGAGATCCAAGGCACTGAAGGCAGCGAGGGCGAGAGGAGGGAGGAGACAACGGCGGCAGCTGGCAAGGAAGTGGTCAAGACAGCAGAGGAGAAGCCGCCGCCACCACCAGAGGAGCCGGAACCGTCACCACAGCCAGCTGCCCCAGTGTTCAAGCTGCCGTCGTTCCTGGGCGGCGAGGACAAAGACAAGGCACCTGAGGAGGCAAAGGAGACAGCACCCGCTGCACCTGCCCCACCAGCACCAGCCGTCACTGAAGCCGAGACGAAGGAGGCCGCCCCATCAGCCGCCCCACCAGCCGCTGTTGTCGAGCCGCCCAAGCCATCGGAGGGCTTCCAGCTGCCATCCATCTTCGGCGGCGGCGGCAAGGAAGAGGTCAAGAAAGAGGCGGCCCCGGCCCCCCCTGCAGCAGTGGTGGAGGAGACGGCCAAGAAAGAGGAGACCGCAGCTGTGGCTCAGCAGCAGCCAGAGGAGAAGAAGGAGCAGCCGGCGGCCAAGACGGAGGAGGTGGCAAAGGTCGAGCAGAAGAGGGCAGACGAGGAGAAAGCCGCCCCCTCCGCTGCCCCTGCTGGCGTCAGCGAGCCACCCGCCCCTCTCGCCAAACAAGAAGAAAAGGTGGAGCCACCGCCACCACCACCATCACCAGCACCACCTGCAGCAGAGAAGGCACCACCCGCAGCCACAGCCACAACAACGGCCGAGAAAGAGGTGTCTGGGTCGCAAGAACCGCCTGCTCGTGTGTCTGAGCAGCTCAACAGCATGCCTGTGCGGGTCATGATCGAGCCACCGCCCAAGCCAAAGCCACCACAACAGCCGCAGCCGACCACCACGGCCGAGAGGTCTGCAGCCGGGGGTGGAGAGGAGAGGAAAGCCCTGGTGGACCTGACGGGCATCTTCAAGAGGCAGGGGCCACCGGCGGGGGGCGAGGAGGGTGCTGCGACGGCCGAGGAGAGTGGGAGTGGAGGCGGTGAGAAGAAGGCGCCCGCACCGGCGGCGTCAAAAGGTGAGCAGCACAGATCACAACAAGTGCGTTGATCTTTGCCATGGTGCTCTGGTGTGTGTCTCTCTGTGTGTGTAGGTGTGCCTGACCGATCTGATTTGGTTGACAAGCTGAAAAAGCTGCGGGGCGACCTGCAGGCACAGGCAGACAAGAAGACTGAGACCGAGTGACTGACTGAGCTGCGCGGTTTATCGACCAGACAGACAGACAGACAGACGTCCGTGAGTGGGTGAGTGAGGGTTGGGTGGTCTGCGAATGAAGCTAGCTAACACATTTTTCATATGGCCGCCGGCGGGGCGGTGGTGCGTGAGCTGCATCGAGGCGAATGAATCGAATCAATCAATCAATTGATGGTGGAGATCCTACACATATACACATACATATACATGAGGTCGCCTCTCACGGCATTGGGGTGAGAGCTTTATGACCTGCCTGCCTGCCTGCCTCCGTGCCTGCCTGTCTTATGTGTGAATGCATTGGCCCCAATGCATGTCTGTCTTCCGTGTCTTGGTTCTGTGACGGCTGGCCGGCCGCCTGGCCAGCCGGAAGGTTTACAGAGAGATGAGAGAGAGATGATGCATGGCTGGCGGCAAGAGAGTGAGGGATGGGACGTACTGTCAATCAAGTGAGGCCAGGAACTCACAGTTTTGCTTGAGAGATTGTGCCATCAGATCAGATGTGTGTGTTGACTGGGTGGGTGGGTATGTGCCTGCGAGCTGAGTGATGGATGCGATGTGTGGCCGAGTGAGTGAGTGAGTGAGTGGACATCGGCCGGCCACTCGGCCACCCAAGCATCACTCCGCTTGGGTACACCCAACTAAGCCAAGGCACAGGCGGGGAAGGCGACGCAGACGGGCCAAGATGTGGACACACAACACATTCATGCTCTCAGTCGTGACTTCCAATTTCGGTCAGCGAATGGCAGAGTTAGTGCGCGGATGAGTTGCACGGGCGATGGGGAGAAGCCTTCTCCCCTCCCCCTCCCCCTCTCAGTACTTTCTGGCATCGCCGCATTCCTGCTCGTATCCTGAACTGCTCCCCCGAGCGTTGACTGCCGAGCCTCTCTCTTCTCTCTCGTGACATCGGTGTGACGTGACCGTGCGGCAGTGTCGTCGCCCTAGTTGGGTTGGACCTTGCGGCAGTGTGAGGCGGGTGGTCATATATCGAGCGATATATATGGCAGGCGACGACGAGCTGCAGGACGTCAAGATCCAGGACAACTCACCACCCAATGACAAGAACGAGGACGAGGACAACCAGGAGCACTCGGAGCCTGATACTACTGCGTCTGATACCGGTATGTAAGCACAAACAGCACACTCACCACTGTCAATATGATTCACTCGATGTGATGCTGTCTAATTGACGCAGATGCTCTGATTGAAGACAGTGACAGCTCTGTGGGGCGACTTTAAGTTACCCCTATGGCGTGTCGTGGTACACCATCATCGTCAGCCTGGCCTTGCTCGGCCCCTTCGCAGTAGTCCTCGTTCGGGCTTCCGTCGACAAGCACTTCGCCGACTCGTTCCCCAACTACCGCATCGACGGCATCTTCGTCCCCCACTGGATCCTCTTCCCTGTAGGTGCGGTCTTGTCCGTGATTTGCTTTGGCCACTTCGTGATGATGCTGTACGTCAAGCTGGTCGTCCGGCCATCCCTTCTGCTGCGGCCGACGTACGTGGCCGTGCCAGCTCCTTTTGAGTCATACCTGCCATGGCACTTCACCGTCACCGGCCGCGTGCGGACGGTGCACTTCTCGTCCGTCACCAGTGTGAGACTCATGGAGCGGCGATCGCGAAGGAGGTGCACCGAGACAAAGTACCGGTACATTGAGCTCACCTTTCGGCGCATTGAGCTCGTCCCACCCCCTTGGTGGGACTCAGCAGCGCAGGGGCGTGTCGAGATCCATGCGATGCTGCTGCCGAGGGGGGACAAGGATCTTGACGAGGCGTGGAGGTTCGTGGAGGCTAAGACTAGGCCTTATCTGCAGCAGAGGGCGGCCACACAGGCAATCAGCCAGGCAATCGGCCGGCCTGCATAGATAGCCTGGGTGTCTTAATCGTGTTTCATTACTCTTCCTTACTGAATGTGTGAGTGCTTGGCTGGTGCGTTTCGCTGTGTGGATAGTACAATTCACACACACATACGCACTTACACGCCAGCCATCCACTCGTTTGTGGCGCTGATCTCCCTCCGTCTGTCAGTTTCTCTCTGTCTGCGTCTGTCTGTCTGTCCACCCCATGGGCAATCAATAGGTGATTGCCCTCGGCTTGCCTGCTGTGCGTAGGTCGTGCAGGCAGGCAGGCAGGGAGGCAGGCACCTTAGACAGGCGTGTATGTGTGCGTGTAGTCTTATCCGTGTGTGCGTCTGTGACCCATAGTGAGTTTGGTGGTTGTGCTGTGATCGATGGACCACGGTTCGATGTGCGCATATATATAAGGAATTCAATGTTCGATTCTGTGGTCCTGGGCCCAACACCCACCCACCCACATCGCGTATGCGATGCATCTCACATCTGAAGTAAGTAAACACACACACACATCAAGTCCCAGCCAGAGATATATGCGACACACGCACATCACACACACAGACCAGTACATAGAATAGACGACCTATACAAAAAAACTAATCAAACGCAGTCAGTCTGCCTGTCTGCCCAGTCAGTCACAGGTGGGCCCTCGCCACGACTGTCTGCTCCACACAATAAGTATATACTATGTCACTTGGCCGGGGCCCCCTTGGCCATTTTCTTCTTCTCCACTCGCTGCTGCGCCCGCCGGCTGGCCCGACTGCCGCCAGATGACGCAGACCCAGCACACACGGAGGCGGACGCCTTGGAAGCGACGGCACTGACTAGCCGCACCACCTGCAGACAGACAGACAGACAGACAGATGGGTGAGTGAGTGAGTCGGTTTTGGTATCGCTCACGGGGTGGTCGTCGTCGTCTGTCGTGTACCACAGGTGACCGGCATCCATCAGCCGCTTCAGACGCTGGAAGCAGTCCAGCTGTGGCCACGCACCGCACGCCACACAGACAGACAGACAGGCAGACAGGAAGGAAGGAGGAGCGCCGTGTGCAGATGATCCCTGTAATAGCCCATGGCTGTACTTACCTGTGCGATGCGGTCGGCCATGAGGTTGCTGTGGGTCTTGCCAGCGGAAACCTGCTCGTCGCCATACCTGCACACACAGACACATGGAGAGAGAGTTGGCAGACAAACACGTCCCGCACACGCCCACAACCGCACCCACGCACTCATTCGTCGGTTGGTTCGTTCCCTCACACACACTTACTTGACGATTTCCACGAGGATTTCCGCCGCCATGTCGCGGTATTCTTCCTCGCGCATCGTCACCTCCCCAGTGACGAAGCCCACCAGCGTCTGGCACACGGCGGCGGGGAGGGCCTCATACTCGGCCAACTGCACACACACACAGGCACACAGCCATCCCGTATCGTGGCCAGCAGGTGTGTTGGATTCAACCTTGCCTTGTGGGTGTGTTGGCGCGAAATGAGCCATATGGTTTCGATGCAGCGGCGGGCCACCATACCCTTGACGTAGTCGACAGGCATGCCGCGCAGCCCCCGCACGTCCCACTCGTTGCGTCCCAGCTGCCCGTCTGAGTCGCACATGCGCCGCAGCAGCACCGGCACAACACCGTGGTCCAGAAGCGCCGACAGATGACCTCCACCTGCATGTCAGTCCAACACACACACACACACACACACACAGGTGTGTTGTTTGAGCCTCCCTCCCCCTCTCCCTCCCTCTCTCCCTCCCTCTCTCCCTCCCTCTCTCAATGAATTCAATTGTGGAGGTGGCGCGCACGTGCGAGAGCGCGCGGGACGTTGACGGCCATGCTCATGTTGACGTAGCCCCAGCCGATGTTCTTGGCCCCCATGGCAGACACCAGACCCGCCATGGCCTCGGCCCTCGGCAGATGCTCAAACAACGGACCCAACACTGCACACGCACAGACAAACACACACGCACGCACAGCTGTCCGTTCTCTGTCATGTACCTACCTACCGACCTTGTTTGCCCTTGTCCTCGTCGCCCTCGTAGACTACTTGCATGGTGAGCATGCGCCCCAGCACATACACCGCCGCCCACTGGGCAACCGGAGTGCTGCCAGGGGACGCCAGCACGGACACCAGCGGCTCCATGTGCGGCCTCACACGCGCCTTGAAGGCATCCACACGCAGCTTCTCCGATACCTCCTCTTTGCAAGCCACCACACACACACACACACACACACACAGAGAGAGAGAGAGAGAGAGAGAGAGGTCGCAGTGTGACAGGCAGCACACAGTGGGGTCCGGGGGCCGTCACCTTTGCTTACCCGACTCGTCTGCTCGTCGACTGACCTCTGCATTAGCAAGCAGACGGAATGCCATCCATTAAAGGGGCCGAGCCCGGACTCCCACCCACCCATACACACACCTGTGAGCCTGGCGAAGCTTTGAATGGACTCCAGGAGGCCGGCGATCCTGTTGGCTCTCCTCTTCTCGTCCACTCCCCCCTCCATCTGCTTGTCGCTCAAGATCACGCTTGTCGCCTCCCCGAACAGCCGATACCGCTCAGCAAGGCACGGCCTATCGCGCCGGGCCTGCGTCAGGAGGTCGATGGCGGAGTCAGCCAGCTCGATGTGCTCGGGCGTCATGGCCGCGACGGCAGCACGCGCTAGGAGGTCGCCGTGGCTTTCTGTGATGGCCTCGCGGACGGCCGTGGCTTTCTCGTCCGGGGCCGAGCCCACCGAGTTGTGGTCTCGCATCGCCCCGCTCAGCATGCTGAACAGACCCATCTCGATGAAGGGGCGGTCCGCACTCGGCGCTGCGGGGATGGCCTCCTTAAGGCGGCCCACCTCCCCCAACAGCAGCTGCTGGCCGGCCCCGCCCGCCAAGAGGTCGCAATGGATCTCCGACATGGCCGCCATGACCATCGCTGACCGGCGGGCGAGCAATCGCTTCTGGGGGTCGGCCGACGTGTTGCACATGGAATGCACCAGGCTGCTGCGGAGGCCCTGGCCGACAGCGTCTGCTTGCATGGCCTTGAGGCTGTCCCGCACCGCTTCGTTCTTGGACCCGCCCGCCTTGTTGAGGTGACTGAGCAGCCGATGCAGCTCACGGAGGTGCTGGCACCGCACGGCCGCGCCATGATGCGACGATTGGAAACCTCCCGCGGCGGCGAGAAGATCCAAGAGGGGAACACCGTGAGGCGTGCTGATGTGACGGTCGGACACGACGAAAATGGCTGCTTGGAGGAGGCTTAACGACGAGATCTGGATGGTTGGTTATGGGCTAGAGAATGGAGAGAGCGGTTTCACAGACCGAAGCTGCGAGCTTTCCGATTTCTTGAGCAATGTGTGAATCGTAGTGAATTGAAGGCTGATCTCAGGCTGAGGAGGTCAGCTATCAACAATTCCACCACCATGATTATTGTATCTCATCATCTATGTCGTTCCGTGCAGGTCGGCGGAGGGCGTGTGTGGTTGTACGCATGGATGGCCACACCCCTAGCAGGAGGGCCAGCCGCAGCCCCTCGCCTCCTCTGGTCGATCCATCGCAGCAGCCATGGAGTGATATAATGAAGGGCGTCGAAGGAGTTGCTGGAACTCATCTCGCCAGAGCAACTACAGGAGTTGTACGCAGATGAGATCGGCACCGACCCAGCAGCCGACGAATTCGAAGCGCCGCAACAGAGTCGCCAATCGGCCTGTATACGCCTCCAGGGGTCAATGGCATCAGCGTCACAGAGCGACGCGCACCCTGACCGTGGCTCGACAGCATCTCACGAGGCTTCGCCACCACCTCTCCGACCGCCACCGCCACCGCCAGTCATCGAACGCTCCCCGTCCAGTGCAGCATCCCCGCTCGACTCACAGCCACTCCCCTGGCGAGTCAAGCAGGCGGCGCACAAGGCCAAGACCATCATAAAAACGGCCAAGAAGGCACTGGCGAGGGCGGGTCATCTTGGTCAAGAAGGCGTCTGCAGACGGCGGGCAGATCGACACCATCGGCTTTGGGTATGACCTTGCCGGCCTCCAGCACACCCAGTGGGCCGCTGACACGACTGAAGCGGCGCTGGACGAGGCGATGGTGGCGGGGAAGGGCTTCATCGACGTCATCGCCGCCACACCTCAGTGGGCCAGGGCGACACAGAAGCATCCCTCTGACCCCAAGTCGGGCTGCAAACATATTCAGAAATTTGTGGGCGGCATCCACAGTGAGTTCAGCACAACCAACCGCCACAAAGCCTTCAATGCCTTCGTATCGCGTCATGTCGTTCGTGTGTGTCGTGGTATGCAGTGAAGGCCGACCAAGTCCGCAGCTGTCCCGCTTATCTCGCCCGCTTCTCGACCTCACCATCACCGTCCTCACCACCCACCAGCAGCCCTTCTGTACCCCTGCATGCCGCTGTCCAGTTGGTGCTGGAGGTGGTGTTTCGGCACAAGCAAAGCCTACGCGACCGCCAGCTGAGCAGCGGCGAGATCTATCCACAACTACCGACAGAGGCACGGTTCGCCATGCTTCAGCTGAAGGCGGCGTCGGAGGCCACAGGGGGCAGTGGGCGAGTTGGGATTACCCTCGAGCGGCACGCCGACTTTGGTTCGGCGGACTTGGTGTGCGTGTGGGCCGCGTCGCTGGCTCTGGAGGAGATACACGAGGCCGTCAGGTACATGGCGGCGATAGTCCTGTGGGGGCTCGAGCCCACAGATGTGCGGGCGGTGCATAGGGAGGTGTTCGTGGAGGCTCTCCGTGCCTCCTCGGACGCCCTTGGCCTTGACGATAGCCAGGTCAGGGAAGCGAGCACACCTCTCCTCACCTCTCCTCAAGATGTGCCTTCCTATCTGTCCGTCTGTCTGTGTGCTCGTCAGGTCGGTGAGTTGGTGGATGCCGATGGATCGGAGAACGACGAAAGCAACAGCGAGACAGACAGCCCCCATGCAGGTGGAGATTGGGCCGCCAGGGTGTGTTCGCCCTACAACTGCCTGCCTCCCGACGTCCATCACTCGTCAACGACAATGGCTGTCGACGAGCCGCCCGCCAAGCCGCCGTTGGCTTCGGAGGAGGTACTTCAGGCGCTCCGGGAGGAGGGGATGACGATTGGCGTGGTGAGGCGGCCAGGGGCTCACGGCTTTGTGTATGACCTTGCCGGCCTCCAACACACACAGTGGGCCGCTGACGCGACTGATGCGGCGCTGGACGAGGCGATGGTGACCGCCGACAGTATTGATAGTGCGGCCACGGCAGCCGTTGGCACGGACTTCGTGCGAGGCATCATACTCTCACCCCAGTGGGCGAGGATGACAAAGCAGCACTCACCTCCCCCCAGACCGAGCGACAAGAAGATGCGGCAGTACATGGACAACGTACACGGTGAGTGAGAGCCTTCACACGACTGTATGTATCTTTGGATGGATGAACGTCATCATCAAAGTTTACGTGTATGTTTTGTATTGCCTGTCTTGTGTTGTGCAGCGAGCGCTGAGCGCGTCAAGTCGTGTCCCTGCTCTTCCTGCCACAGCAACCCCTCCGACAGCCCCACCTGTAGTCTTGACGAGGCCGTCATCTTCATGCTGGAGATGATATCGCAGCTCAAGGAGACCCTCCGTGAGGCCGAGCACATGACGGGCGGCACCCATCATGGCCTGCCGATGGCGGCAGCCCTCAGCATCTTGCAGCTCAGGGCGGCATCGGAGGCCGTGTGTGGCCAGCCTAGCGGCAGTGGACGCGTCGGCGTGATCCTCACACCGCACCCAGCATTCGGCACGGCGAGTTTGGTCTCCGTGTGGGCGGGCTCCCTGCGCCGTGACGAGATAGCCGAGGCCATGGCCATGATGGTAGCCGGCATCTTGAGCGATGTAGAGAGGATGCGCCCGGTGATGCGGTGCATCATGAGGCAGTCCTGGCGGGCCTTCGGCGAAGCGTTCTTCCAGAGCTATGAACCGCTGGAGTTTGACATGTAAGGGATATCGTCTGAGCTCCATGTTCTCGATGTGAATTCGGCGTCGAATGTGCTGTGTCAGACTCGACGTGAATTCAGCAGAGTGCTCAGAAGACGGTGTGCAAGGACATGTGTTGGATGCGGGTGGCCCGGGTGCGAGAGGTGACGACGTGTCTGCGGGCGGCGGCGGCTCCTCCCATCCCACTCTGCCCCCGCTGCCAGCCTCTCCGCCCCCACAGCTGCACCACACCGACCTACCGATTGGTGACCAGCTCAAGAGCGCCATCAAGGCCGCCAAGCAGCTCATACACCAGGTGCGTGGGGCTGGCGAAGTCCAGCTCGGCGTCTGCAAGAAGAGGTCACAGCCAGGCGGGCCGCTGGACTCAGTCGGCTTCACCTACGGCGACGACCCCCAGCTGGCCGTGTGGGCGCGGTCCCTCAAGTGTGCGGACGTATGCAGGGCGCTGCAGGAGGCGTGTCTGTCGCGAGACCTTCCCATCGAGATCGTCGTGTGCCGATCGGGCCTCGAACCGGCGGGAGCACGGCGGGGTCCGGACATCGTCATCTACCGCAGACCGTCCCCAGACAATTTCATCCTCATCGTCGGCGTGGACCTATCGACAATGGCGGCATCGCGTCGGTCCTACTGGCTGGCTGACGAGGCATGGCAAGACGGTGACCCGGTGGAAGAAGCTGTGAGGGTGTTCCGGGCAGCTGTCGACGATTACCAGGTCGTCGTGGCCGAACCGGAGATGGCGTCGTTCCGGCAGGAGTACCCCGAGCTGGCCAACAAGCTGCGGCAGGTGTGCGTGGCGGTTGAGGGATATCCGAGTGAGTCGTCGTCACATGTCAAGGTCGGCTTTGCCGAGGCGGTACCTGTGCAGTCAACAATGTCTCTGCCGATCCCCACATTCACGCACTGCTGGGCGGAGTCCCTGCGGCCGGACGACGTCAGCGGGGCTTTTGCGGAGCTCATGGGATCCCTCTTTGGACAGCTGGCTGACCGGGGGAAGGGTGTGAGCCAAGAGACCTTCAAAAGCCTTTCGAATGGCCTCAGCCGGTTGTTGCGTCTCAAGGCCATGCCGCCCAACTCACCGTCCGCCGCTGCAGCCCCCAGCCCCCCGCATCAGCTGAGGGGGACCACACTAGTGGGACGCGTGTCTGAGGGTGACATGCCAGCCGACGGCAGCGGTTCCTCGGTGGCAGTGGGGGGTCCGCGCGAGAGCGGGGGCGACGTGGTGGAGGGAAGCGGCAAGTCCATGCCGCCCCAAGACATCAGCATCATGCTGGGCCCGCACCCACACCCGCCCCCAGACCGCCCTCCTCTCGTCAAGCGAGAAGACGAGGTCCTATCCATCGAGTCACGCCCACCAGCGTCGAAACATCGGCCCCAGGCAAAGGCCCCTCCCTCTGTGGAGGAGATAGACGAGCCCGACACCCCGCCCAAGCCCAACAGGCAGCCATGTGACAATTGGAAGTCACACCGTGGCTTCGTCAGACCTCCTGGGGCCAGGCTGGAGGGGCTGGGGCGCAAGGGCATGGGAGAGAGACGGCATCTGGGGTCCGACAGCGGCAGTAGGGATGGCCGTCAGCAGCAGCAGCAGCAGCAGCAAGGTGGCACCGTGGCCGCGGGCGGCATGGCAAAGCACCAGGCGGGGGACATCAGAATGGTGTGGAGGTCATGCTCGGCTTCCACCAGTGGGGCATCCACCAGCACGCCTCTCGCTAGGTCAATCGCATAGACACCATACAACGGACATAGACGCGCCTCACTTGCTTTTTTGTCCCTTCTTTGCGTGTATACGGCGATGTTTCGCATAGTTGTGGCGTTGACGAGAGGGATGGGCAGAAGGCCGAGGGGGTGCCACCATCCGCTGCGATGCCGTCATCGACGGCAGAGGCGGCTCGGCCGAGTGACGACCAGCCCAGCAGCATCTCTCTACCCCATATGGCCGATCTCGAGGAGCTGCCGTCGTCCTATGAGGCTGGACCACGCTATCGAGAAGGTGAACAACAGCCGGCAGCAGCAGCAGAAGCAGAAGCAGCAGTAGCCGAGAGTAGCCCCTCATGGCAGCAAAGCGACTACAGGTCCGACACAAGATTCGCCACACACACCACATACCACGGACGGCATCATTATGGCGTGCATGCATCCTCGTGTTGCGTGTGCGTGTACGTCTTTGCAGGGATGACGAGGAGCGTGAGGCACAGGTGGCCATCTCTGCGTCGCTGCAGCAGGCGGCTGACGAGTTGGAGCAGCTCAAGGGACAGGTCGCCGCCGCAGAGGAGCAAAGGACAGGGTAACCCATAGAACAGAACAGACACGTGAATGTTATGCCATCTCCGTGAACTATGTCTCCCCGTCGTTGCCCGTCAGTTTGGAGGCTGCCTTGCGTCACGTCCAGGGGGTGGTCAGACAGATGGAGGCACAGGAGGCACAGCTCACAGATGACAACGCCAAACTGCGCGAAACCAATCCCATGTACGCAGGCGGGCAGGCAGGAAGGCATACACGTGTGGTTCTATCATTCATTTCCCGCCTGCCAGTCTGGATGAGGGCGAGCTGGCGTTGAAGGCCACAGCAGAGGATGTGCGGCGGTTCCAGGCGGCCATCGACAGTCGATGGCATGACCTGCAGGCCATGACCACTGACGCATTCCAGCGGCTCGTCCAGCTCTCGTCACACAACACCGGCGGCGGACAGCCAGACGCTATCCCGAGCGACGAGCAGGACCTGCGCTGCACCCCACCTCCCGCCATACCACCGCCTCCGAGGAGCGACAGGTGGACGGGCCGCAGGCAGCAGACGAAGCATCTGTTATCGTAGGCGTATCTGTGTCATCATGTGTGCAGCCCTCCACCACCTGCCGCTGCTGCCGCTGCTGCCGCTGCCGCTGCCGCTGCTGTTGCTGACCTCAACGTCACCCGTGCATCTGCGTTGGCTGCCATCCCGTCGAGCCCGAGTAAGAACAGCAATGCATCACCAGTCATTGCAACTGTCATTGTGTGTTTCCCTTCTAGTGGATCTGTTTGTAGAGGAGAAGTTGGAGGAGTGGAAGTCGATTCTGGCCGAGCAGGGCGTCAGATGGACGCACTTTGAGGCACAGACGCAGGAACTCGCCTTCGGTAGGTCAGAATATCGCATCAGCCATGCGAATATCTGCCATCGTTGCACTGTGCAGAGCTGGAGTGGTTTGAGGTGTCCATGGAGACTCGAATGAAATACAACAAAAAGGTGTGGTTGATGCGTTGCTCCTCACAAGCTACTGTTTCGTCTGTTTCCATCAGCATCTCGAGTCTCTGCAGGACGAACCAGAGGATCCTTCCACGAGTGATCTTGCTGCAGACATCGCCAAGGCACGCCAACATGTAGAGGACACCCATGCCGACATCCACAAGTACCCAAGACGGCACACACCGACCACACACGCGCATCGCATGGATGGCATGTGTGTGTGTGCTGTGTGTGGGCGTGTGGCGTGTTCTCGTCAGGTTGATCGTAGCTGTTAGCGAGGCCGAGGCCAAGAGGGCTGCATACAGAGCCAGGCTGCAAGGCCTGATTGATGACAACGAAGAACTCATGCAACGCGATGCAGATCGGTGAGACCGATCGACCTGTCACTCGACATTTGCCTGTCTGTCTGCCTGGACGTCTGCCTGTCAGGTTGACCAAGGAGAAGCTTGACGGCCTCATGTCGGTTCCTGCCGCCATGCATTTCCAGCAGGCGGCCACCAGCGAGTCGACACGCCTCAAGCGGCTCCGCGACCAGTCCAACGAGCACCTCATGAACCTCGCCAATGCATCATTCCAGAAAGATGTGGAGGGCCGCATCGCCGCCATGCGCGAGGCACGAGACAAAGAGGCGGCCGAGCAGCTGCGTCAGCAGAAGGAGGCCGCAGCCAAGAGCATCGCTGACATGCAGGCACAACTTGAGGAGGAGCGGGCCAAGCGTGAGGAGGCGGACAGCAACAGCAGCAGACAGGAGGCCAAGGCCAACACGACGTGTGTGGTGTGTCTGGAGGGGCCCCCTGAGGTTATACTCATGCCATGCCGACACAAGTGCCTCTGCACCGGTACGCACGCGGGTGGGGTGGGCAGCCGGGAGAGAGAAGATAGTGAGTGGTCTGTGATTCTCTCTCTCTGAATCACAGACCACTCACTATCTTCTCTCTGTGTGTGTGTGTGTGTGTAAAGGGTGTTTTGAGCGCATGAAGAAGGAGCACGTCAGCAAGAAGCTGCCGTGTCCCATCTGTCGAAAGCCGTGCATCAAGCAGCACTCGGGCGTGGTGTACGAGCAGGGGTGGCACCCAGACGACTGAGTGATGAGATCACACCACCTCCTGGCAGCCAGCCATTGCCCAGACAGACGGACAGGCAGACAGAGAGGCAGGCAGACAGGTAGCTGCACCATTGTGAAAGGAACCGCTAGGTGCTAGCTGATGGAGGGAGGGGTGTATGTGCATATATGTCATATGCATGCGTATCGACCGAGTATCTGTACATATGTATACGTAGGACACGCTGGCTGTGAGTAGGCGACATCTTCATGCATTAATGCATCGTTGGTGTCGCTCACACACTTTAGAATACAGGCAGGGACGCACGCGCGGCGCATGAATATGCAGATCCGCCCACCCACCCACCCACACACCCAGCCAGACCAACAAGGCCAGTAAGTGAGTCAGCAGCCGCAGTCGTATGTCTCGTTGTCAAAGTAGTTGAAGGGAATCGACTCACCCACACGCCACGTGAACTCCCACAACCTACACACAGCCACCCACCCATTTATCCATCCATTCTTCTGTATGTGTATGTGTGGAAGTATCTATACCGGATGGGTGGCTCCCGTCTTTTGAACAGGTCAACGAAGTTGTCTCGCATTCCTCTGAGGCCGCTTCCCAAGCTAAAGGGGGCTAAATGGGGCGGCAGCTCACGAAGGTAGTCAATCCTATCACGACGCATGTGTTCTCTTGAAGTTGAAAACACACACACACACACACAGAGGGAAGACAGGTCATTTCTTTTCTCTCTGACGTGTGCTGTCACACACTTGGTGGTCTGGTTGGTGAGTATGAGAAAGGTCTGGTAGGCCAGAAGACCCAGCTGCACCACACGCACACGCAGAGTGAAGGACAACAGACAATCCGTCAATCCATCCATCGAGGTATTGATCTGCTCGCCCTCCTCTATTGTTCTTGGCTCACCGTGATGCCCACGAGCACCATGAGAGAGCCCCATATGAGGAGGGTCAGCATGTTCCTCTTCAGCCAGTCGATAGCGTAGAACTTCTCGTGGAACGCTGAAAATGCCTGGACACACACACACACACACACACCACACCGAGGACGCAGAAGCACTATCCATTCCCTGCTGTCTGTCTCTCTTTGTGTCTGTCCGTCCGTCCGTCCGTCTGTCCGTCGGTCGGTCGGTCGGTCCGTCTGTCTGTCTGTCTGTCTATGTCTGAGCATACCAGTGACGCATCCCATACGAGACACAGAGCACTGAGCCACAGGAAGATGTAGAATTTCCAGTGGTTGAGCTCGCCCACGCAGCCGCCGACGTAGAAGCAGTGGTGGTCAAAGGTCGCCACACACAGCCCGCACTCTCGGCAGTGGTGCGCCCGGCGCGGCTGCACGATGTCACATATGTCACACCAGTGAAGCGGGGGTTGGACCTCGCCAGATGCCGTCACGTGGTAAAAGATGCTATCCACCTCTTCACCAACTGCCCCTCTGCCGTCTCTGCCGTCCGCTGTGGCTCCCTCTGTGTGGGCGTGGGTGTGTGTGGGGTCACCGCATTCACTACCGTCTCTATCGCTGGCCAGGTCGTAGACGTCACACTGTGGGCCATTGGCCTGGTCGGCAGAGGATGGCTGGGCGGGAGTCTCGTTCTCGGCGGTGTCGCTGGTGGATTTGCCGACCACCTGTGGCTCAAGCGACTCGGCAGTGCTCGCTGTCGTGTTGCGGTGATAAGACGGAGGGACAATCTCACCCTCAGATTCCTTCACACGATAGCCACTATCGTCCATCACTGGAAGCGGTGGTGGTGGTGGTGGTGGTGTCTCCCTCTCCCTCTCCCTCTGCCGGTCTTTCTCCTTTGTTCGCCGCATTCTCTCAGCAAACGTCCTGTTGGGCTTCAGATACCCCGGCCCGCGGCCCTTGCAGCTGACGCTGCGGTACCAGTACCAGGCCAGGCCGTGCAGCGTGGCGTATGTGAGTATGTAGAGGGACGAGAGGGGGTGTGTGAGGGTGGAGAGGACGTGTGAGAGCTCTGAGTCCTCGACAAACAGCCAGGAGAGAAAGAGGAACGAGGCGATGCCGTGGAAGAGGCGGGAGGAAAGGCCCGTCCATCGAACCTGGCATATATGCATACATACATGCACCGTCCGTCCACCATAATGTGGGGCCTGCCCTGGCTCCTACACCCAGTCACACCTCTTCGGGGAGGTGTTTGGTGGGGTCATCCAGAGTCACAGTGGTTGCCTCTGACCACATGGCTGTCGGCCAACCGGGCCCACAGCCACTGTACTCAGCGAAATCTATCCCATGGTCGTCCTGCAGCACACGCACAAGGGCCGTCATGGAGAGGGAGAGACGCCATCATGACGTAAGCATCATTGCATCAATGCTTGGGTGTGAAAGGCCCTTCATCTTCCCCCCTACTGACCTGTACCTCTTCACTCGCTTCCCTGTGGTCCTCCACCCCCGCCAAGTCATTCTCCTCGATGACGAATTCCACTCTTGCTCGCCCGTTGTTCCTTACATTCTTGAACGGCGACAGATCAACAATTTCAGCCCCTGGAGATGAGGACTCACGCACCCTGCGCTCAGGAGTGGTGGGCGTCATGTCGAACCGTGTGAGACGCCTCCGGGGACGCCGAGGCCCCCACCGCGATCTCAAAGTCGATCCCTCGGCAGATGCCGCCCTCTCCTGACCTCACACCTCATCGCTTAGCTCTACAGGATGATGATTATCGGCGTCCTCACCTTCTTCGGTCAACAGAAACGGAGATTCGGCGAAGATTTGCTCAGATATGTATCGTCCGTTCCTGGCTGTGCGTGATTGCAGGCTTCACCAAGAACAAATCCAACTCTTATCTGCCGTGCATTCACGGGGACCGCCAAATCACGCCGACAACCACATTCTCCCGCCCTCCCTGCAGGCCCCCCGGTGTGCTCTGAGAAGACACGGGTGACCATCTGAGGCATCTCGGCTCATTTCTCTGAGGCCCACCTCCCACCAGGAGCCCAGGAGAGCCCCTGTTGGCTGTCGCGTGATTTGTCCCGCCCCGCCATCCGTCCATACGACAACACGTCCCTCTGGTCAGCACAAGGGGCTGGCAACGTAATCAATGGGTGCGGTCACTTTGTGGAGCGTCCTACCTGGGGCCCTCCAGCCTGTCCTTCTCATCGCTCTGCTCTGGTCTGTGGGATTCCTACTCGGTCAGCCACACACACCAAAACACACGGCACTGTCTCAGGTTTTTTCTTCCATCTCAGGTACGTTTCCCCGTGGCAAGCCTGTGTTGGATGATGGGTTCGTCAAGAAGCTGAGCCGCCTGACGACGGAGGTGCTGCTGCCGGCTCTTTCCTTTCTCTCCCTGTCGGCGTCATTCTCTGTGGAGAAAGTATCGACTCTGTGGCCGCTGGTCGTGTGGGGCGCCTTCCAGCTGTCACTGTCCTTCTGCCTCGGACAGCTGGCCGTGCTGACCCTCAAGATCGCTGCCAGGAGGTGGAACCTACCATCGCTCCCACCGCCTGTGCTCGCACTGATTCCTATGGTAAATGTGTGCAGATGAGGGAATGCACTGGGTCTGTCCTTAGAGTCATTCGTGTGCTGCTGTCTGGTGGTTTGGTTGTCTGGTCGTTGTTTGTGTCTGTGTCTGTAGGTGTGTACGTGGCACAACGCTACAGGGTTTCCCGTGCCAGTGGCTCAGGCGCTGTGCGACTTCCTGGACGACCCTGAGGTCAGTAGATGTACCAAACGGACCGCATTGGCCTCGATGTGAGAATGTGCCATATGTGTGTGGGCTGTTGATTGGTTCAGGAGTGTGCCGAGGAGATGAATGGGTATTCGTTCATGTACACGCTCATGTGGCGCATCACCATCTGGTACGCAGAGAGAGACACAGACATCAAAACATTGGAAAGGCAGACATGTCCACGTGTGGCTCAGGTCCATCGGCGACTACCTCATCAGACGGATAGCCACACTACTCGAGAGAGAAAAGGAAAAGACCCAACTGCCGCCCCTGCCCTCCCCCTCCCCATCCCCCACCC